TTTAATATTAATTTCTCAATAAATTCCACGGTAACCTATATATTTTATTGTAAAAAACAAAACCTAAATATTTCAATAACCTTATTTTTAGTTTTTTTCTACTCCATCTAATCAATAAATAATAGTATACTTAATTATAATTCGAAAATTGTTGTTGAAGTCTTACTTTCTCGTAAGACACTGTACAAATACCGACATTTTTAAAATTCTTTTTTCTCAAAAATTTGCACGGTAAGGTATAGTTAAAATTTCACTACTAGATAAATAAGGACTTCAACTATTAGAAAAAAATTAATTTTAGTCATAATCTACCATTTTTACTTTCCTATCTGTATACAGATATAAGAAAAGTATAGGAATCATGATTTTTTTCGACCTCGAGTTTTCGACGGATTTTTACGTTTTAAGGTCCCCTGAATCCGTTTTGACTATTTTCGCGATGATGTCTGTGTGTGTGTGTGTGTGTGTGTGTGTGTGTGTGTGTGTGTGTGTGTGTGTGTGTGTGTGTGTGTGTGTGTGTGTGTGTGTGTGTGTGTGTGTGTGTGCGTGCGTGTGTGTGTGTGTTTGTGTGTGTGTTTGTGTGTGTGTTTGTGTGTGTGTTTGTGTGTGTGTTTGTGTGTGTGTTTGTGTGTGTGTTTGTGTGTGTGTTTGTGTGTGTGTTTGTGTGTGTGTGTTTGTGTGTGTGTGTGTGTGGGTGTGTGTGTGTGCGTGTGTGTGCGCGTGTGTGTGTGCGCGTGTGTGTGTGTGTGTGTGTATGTGTGTGTGTGTGTTTGTGTGTGTGTGTTTGTGTGTGTGTGTGTGTGTGTGTGTGTGTGTGTGTGTGTGTGTGTGTGTGTGTGTGTGTATAACGCATAACTCATGAACCGATACACGGAAAAACACCAAATTTTAAACATAAGCTTTGTTTCAGCGTCCAATGAGCTGATTAGATTTTGGGCAGAGTCGGAACATCTGGTGGGTACTTTATAGGTGGTCATTTTTATATTTTATGGAATATATCTGTTATTTACGTTTGGAAAAGAAAATTCTTCAATTAAAAGTTACTTCTAATATAATTCTCTATAATTTTTATTCTATACATAATTTCTCTAAAATGGACCGTATTCGAGATATTTGAGAAAATGTGTAAATTTCGAATTTTGAAGAAAACTCAAAAACGGATAAAAAAAACATTAAATTTTAAACATAAGTTTTATTTCGGCCTGACGTGAAATGATTAGATTTTGGACATAGTCGGAACATCTGGGGGGGGGGTACTTTATGGGAGGCCACTTTTATATTTTATGGAATATATCTGTTATTAATGTTTGGAGAAAAAAATTGTTCAAATAAAAGTTACTTCTATTATTATCTATAATTTTTGTTTGATGTAAAAATTTCCTGAAATGGTCCGTATTCGAAAAATTTGACAAAATGTGCAAAATTCTGATTTTTATGAAAGTTTTTGAAATAAAAGTTGTTTGCGATATCGATCTCTATAATTTTTGTTTATACATGATTTTTCTAAAATGGACCGTAATGAAAAAATTGTAGGAAATTTTAATTTTTCAGTATTTTCGTTTTACATGAATATCTATAGAAAAATGTTTCGAGGTAGATGTATGTGGACAATGTATATATTTAGTTTATCCTCTAAACATTTATAGAGATGCTGCAATAGGTTGTACAAAATAACGGGAAAAAGCCTATAATAACTAGATAGGAAAGTCATGTGTTGGACACATCAGATTTTTTATTTAACATTGGTGGCGAAAGGACCTCCTTAAGAATAGTTTCATTTAAACTTATTTCTTATAGCGGGAAGTTGACAATAATGTTTATTTTTTTTTTAACATAACACATCTGTGGCCTTTTCCATTTCATTTCTAACCGAAAGGATATTAAGCTCCCATGAACCAGTGAAAGTATGATGACAGTACTGCCGTGTTAACGAAAAATGCCTTAACTGCTTTTTTTTTTGTAATTAAGATATGTCGGCCATATGAAAGATCAAGCAATTTTCTACCTAAATGTAAAGAAAAAATGCTTTATCTTGCTTTAATATGGCGTTGTGTGAATTATTACTAATCATCCCAGCCACAAGTGCGTCAGTTGAGTGAAGTTTTTCAGCTTTAAAGCACATTAAAAGTATTGTACGAAATTCAACAAGTGAAGATAGAATCTCTAATTTAGCCCTAATATCCATTGAAAACCAGCTTGTTAAACAGTTATCAGAAAATCAAAAATGTTACGACGATGTTATAGACAAATTTGCAGCCATTGAGGATAGGCGAATAGATCTTAAGTATAAATAAATGTCAACTACTGTGTCAACTGTGCGAAAAATGCTGGAAAAAATAAAAAAAAATAACTTCAGTTAACTGTTTTTTTACGTTTAAATAAACCAAGGAAGCTTTTTAATGGTAATTTTTTTTATAGCTTCTAGTACTAAACTAGGTAATAAAGTAATAGTAACACCTCAAAAATTTCAATCTCGAATATCCATAGTACTGAGGAAAAAAGCTAGATTTTAACAAAATGGTGAATGCGCCGCGAAAAATTTTCGTCTGCGGCGCTGTGCTTACTGGCCCGCTGTATTTTTATACAATCGCTTCCCCTTCCAAAAATGTCACCGCACGCCACTGACAGTTAGTCTGGACCTGGTAAGGCCACAGCTTATACAATACAGCTAAAACACTCTCTTGGCGGCAACGGTTTGCGTCGATTCCGTCGCGCATTGCTTAAGCTCCTCCTTCGGACGGAAAAGACGGCTTTGGCGTTCAGAATCGTACTTAGGTAAGGATTGAGTCGTGCGTATAATTTCGTTGATTACATAATTTCGTTGAGCCTATAATTTCGTTGATTTTGTTTGAGCTACCTGTTGTGTTAAGTTAAAGGTACTGTTATTATTTTGGTGACTCTTTAACTGTGAGTAGAATGAGTGAAAAAAAAAGACATCATTCTGTCTGTGCAGTCAAAAGCTGTTTTAATAAGGGTTATACCTGCAAGAAAACAAAATATACATTTAAATGAGTTATTTTTGTGTAGACTCGATAAATACTAGCATTTTTGTTTGTATGTGGTCTACATTTTGAAAAAAAAATTAATAGAACTACATGATACTAATTTAATTACGAGTATTAAAACTAAAATCCTAAAAGTGTCAGTGAAGATGAGGACAGAGCATCTGTCTTTCACGAGAAAAGCCCGGGATCTAATCTAGGCCGGGGACTAATTAAATTAAATTTTTTTAATGTTTATTTTATAAATTAGTAAAATTCGTAAATTATTTTAAAATTAGTTATTTTGTCTAAATAACCTAAAATAATTTATTTTAATTTGTAGATTTTCGTCAGTGGGTCGTAGAAAAAATATACTGTACAACTCGAGTAGATTGTCCATATCCACTATTGTTGCACAAACTACTATTTATTTGTTTTCTTGGTTTAATATTTACATCAGTAAATAGGAACTAAATTAATTTACTTTTCGAGTTTTCTTGTAAAAATCGATATTACTTTCTCCAAGTACAAATTTAGTACCTACCTAAAATAGGTACTAATTATATAATTTCGCATAATATTGTAATTTAAATTTCACATTACTATCAAGTTTCAAAATTCTCTACTTCGGTACGGTCAGATAAAAATATAATATATAAATAAAAGCTGTCAAATTATTACTTCAATTCAATCTTTATGAATAAAAATACATCTAAAAAAAACCGATATTGTTAAAATAAAAGCACAAGTTACCGATTCTTTATAATAACCCAGAATAGCATCGAGTTCCCAGACCTCAGTCAGTCGAAGCAGTCGTTTATCTATAGGTAAAAACACTATTATAAACACTTTGCGCGATGAGTGACACTTGCTAGACACACACCACTTGATTTACATCGACTGTCACAATTTGTCGTGAAGTGACTGTTTTAGCTCAAAACATCTGTTAACAATGATATTACTAGCTACATACAAATTATTTTATCTCTAATCCGAAAGATGTGCTATTATTCGTAATATTTATATTTAAATAATTTTTTTATTTATATTTGACAGATTTAAAACAAATTTAAAACTTAATTTCTCAAAACTTACTTAATGTGGCATGTAACCAACCTTATTACGCCAAGGTCTTCAATTATTTCAATAATAAATATATTTTTTAATCCGGGCCCGACTTTTCCGTCGAATCTAACAGAGATAGCACCATTCCGTCTCGCTTGGTTCTCGACCGCCACATCAAAGACGCCGACACGGAGTTGTGGAGCTGTATTGTATAAGCTGTGGTAAGGCCGCTATATTGATGTTCACCTACAAAAATGTAACAGCATAGAAAAAATCAAGCCTGTCTAGAAAAATCTCGATGCGTTCGTAAAGTCCTACCTACACGAGTCGGGCTGCGTACAAAGAAAAATCCAGACCTAACGGTCAGGTACGGTCGCATGTTAATAATTTTCTCATTTAGAGATAGTGGACTACCCATGCCTTTCATAGAACTGAACTCTGAACTATTTTCCATTTTCAAATTAATAATTCAATATAGCGCCTACTTTTTATTTTTTAGTTGGAGCGCCTATGGCTTGCATGTTTAAAATGGATTTATTAATATCTATTGATAGCGAATATATTATAGATAACATGTTACCTAGTAGAAAAAGATTAATATGAGCCACCTGTAAGCTGGATCCAGTCTAATTATATTTTAATGATTGTTCTCTAGGACACTTACATTAAATTAAATGCTTTTAATTCACCGGAGTCCCAAGTGTTTCTAAACCATTTGTAAGCCCATCGTTTAGTCTAATCTAAACACTTTTTCGTTGGATTTTGTGATGGAAACAATGAGCTAATTTCTGATCACATTTCCAATTTCACTTTTCCTTGATGATTTAAAATGTAAGACCGGTGATAAAAAGGTCGTTAAAATTTATTTATATTGCTTATCGATAACAGATTCTTATCTTTAAAGTCAGTTTAGATGTAGTTACACGTAGATATTTACCTACCTATTTGGATGTATAAATGCAACTAAAAATAGGTGTGATTGTTAGTTCTGGATGCGTGTTTGTTCATTTCTAAAAATAATATATTCGTTACTTTTTCGAAAAATAAATTTTGGGTTAAAAAATGTCTAGAGGCGTGGAAGATATACCTTTAAAAGATAGGTATACTGATTCTAGGCATGCAATTATTTTCAACCAGGTGAGTCTATTTATATTTTTATTTGCGCTATATATTCTTGTTCCGCTCGATGATTCAAGTTATACAATGTGTCCAATAATGTATATAAGTCTCTATATTGTACAAAATACAGGGTGTTTCAGAATATAATGTACATACGTTAACTGTAAGTACGGGAAACTTGAATAATTCGAAATCATCCATTATTAATCACATTTCATTAACTAGATACAAAACTCAACAACCACTGGATATAAAATAATAAAATTTGCCAGGTAGGCTTATCTCAATACAACAAAAATAATGTGAAAAAAATAATCGGTGGGGAAAGTTTATATCGATTTTTTTAACGGTGAGAACTTGAAATTTGGAATTGTAGCCTTATAAATAAATAATACTGACGTATTTTAGAGTTTTTGGATTTTCACATTTTAAGGGGGGAAACGTAGGGTGAAAGTTTTTACGGGAGTATCAATTTTTTTAAAAGATAGGAACTTGAAAATTGGAATTGTAGCAACTCAACATAAATAAATAATGACGTATTTCAGGGGTTTGGAATTTCACATTTTAAGGGGAGGATGGAGTAATGGGGAGTGAAAGTTTGTATGGGAGTATCGTAAAAATAAATTGAAATAAATAAAAATAAATAAAAATAAATAAAAATAAATAAAAATAAATAAAAATAAATAAAAATAAATAAAAATAAATAAAAATAAATAAAAATAAATAAAAATAAATAAAAATAAATAAAAATAAATAAAAATTAATAAAAATAAATAAAAATAAATAAAAATAAATAAAAATAAATAAAAATAAATAAAAATAAATAAAAATAAATAAAAATAAATAAAAATAAATAAAAAATAAAATAATTAAAAAAATAAGTGAAACTTCTTACGCCTTGGCATGAAAAATATGAGGAGCCAATTGATAAACACGACATATCTCGATGCCTCGACCGACACCTCGACATACTAAGGGAGCTTTCAGGACAGTTTTATGTGGCCTGAGAGTCAGTTCCGCAAGCAATCTGATGATATTAGCAGATGAAAGCCGTACCAGAAATGTAGTATACAAAGAGATTCTTAATTTAATTATTATACTTAAATATTAGATTACTCTTCTCAACTATAATCTATAAAACTATTACATATATACTGTTCAAACATGACAAGCATTTTTTAACATAATATACTTCGGGCCCGTATAATGTAACATAATAGTGTATAGTAAACATAAAAACAACAATATATTTCATTATTTAATCTGTATTGTATTACCTAATTTAAAAATCTCATATAAAATAAAAATCATGTTTCAATTACATAAACAAACTAAAATCAATGCCAACTCTGGAAAATGCAGGAATGCAGTTTAACGTATTTCAAATTTCCGAGAAAAGATTTCGTTGGCAGCAAATACGGCAGGTATTTGATAACAACCCGCGCGAAATATAGCTTACTCACTTTATTGAAATTTCCGAGTAAATAAATATAAGTTTTAACTCGTTACCACTCGCACCTGTAAAAATAAATAATATGTACACTTCTTATTCAATAATTATAACATGTTACTCTCTCTCTCTCTCTTTCTCCAAGCCAACCGTGTGAGACTTCGCCACTTTCTCTCAACCAATCACAAGACAGTGTCAAACATACGATTGTTTCTCTAAACCAATCACAACAGTGTCAAGTACACACTTTAACACAACTAGACGGTACACGACTTCACAAACTGAGATTCAGTTCAACCTCCGAACAAACAACAACTTATTTTAATCTGCACGAACAGTTATGTGGTTAAAAAATGCAAAGTTTATAAAATTAAATAAACCAGCTGACAGCAGCAATCACTTTAATATCTACATTCCAAGACTACCCAGGAATTCATCACCAAAACTCTTCAAGATTTCATCAAAAAATACAGTCCACGCTCTACCCTGTAAACAGCAAGTAACACTTAGCAAAAATTTAAAAAGAAAAAAATTACTGCTGACCAACGACACAAACCATGAACCCTAAAAAAATAATAGCACCTTTTTTTGGGCATTCAAGCATTTTTTATATTGAAAACATGACCCCAAGCGTGCACAGCCGCGGACAACAGCTGGTTTTTTATAAATTACCATTATAATTCGTCAGACTGTCTTTTCACTTGCTACTTGATTCTCGACTCTTTTTTTTAGTGCGATGAAAACAGAGACGGATTTATTTGCTTCCGTGAATTGGAAAACTACATCAGTATCCATTACGATGAATGTAGTTGTATACCTGAAAGGGTACTCAAAAAAATTCACAAAAAAGCAGACGCTGATGGGAATAAACTATTGAATTTCGAAGAATTTGTAGAGTTGTTGGAAAGCAAAGGTTTAGAATATCATCTTCACAGATGTATTGCGTCGTAAGTATATTATATTGAATCATAATCTGTTGGTACTTGTCAAATAAAAAAAAAACTCTAACTATAAGAAAAGAACGCCAGTTTCTATTTTTAAAAATTTTGTTTCGAAGAATTTTCATTTCGTCAAATTCAGACTTAGCATTGTTTTGTATCAACAGTGAGTTTGTGGATATTATAGGTACCTTCATCACTTAGTACCTCACCCGAAAAAAACAACTGCACCGTTTCAACTGAGATCAATAAGAATCGAAAAAGATGACGAACACAACCTTTGCAATGAGTATTCCTGTTGTCCTCCGCCAATTTTTATGTTTTTGATATCCGTTTTGGAATTCGCCCTTTTCATTACCGACGAATTGACGCAAAAAGATTCCACATTGACAGCCACCGGAGTTACGGGGAAGTACCTGCTGTATGATCCGTTCAAGAAACGGGAAGTTTGGAGGTTTTTGACGTACATGTTCGTGCACATCGGGTAAGTTCAATCAACCATTTTTTCTACGACTTTTTTTACGAAAAGACATCTTTCTGATACTTGATTTCTGTCACTAATGAAAGAAAATTGCTTAACTTTAATTTTCATCTCTAATGATAAAAGTTGTTGCTTATTTTCACATAATCTTCCGCCTCGTACCTATAGTATTTTGGAAACAAACTTATTATTGATGAAATAAAAGGATTCTCATTAAAATCTAAATGCGATTACTTGTTAAAAATACAACGCATTTTTACCTGTAAATATATTTAATAAATAAATTAAGTACGGCTCTGTAAAAACTTCAGACACATGCTACATTTTAATATTACAGAAACACAAGATACGCTTTTACTATGAGAGATGATTACATATTATAGTCCGTTGCAAGATAATCTATAGAAAGCGCAATGATCTGCAACCGCTTGAATCGTTCGCTGACATGCTGGACAGAGCCGGCTTAGGTTGAGTGTTATTTGTTCAAATGTTAAAGATAATTTGATTTCTAAAAAAATCCTGTCTGAATTGCATTAAAAAAAATATAACATTCATTTCAAAAATACTTTATTTACAATATGTTCATAGGATTTTTAATTTAAAATACATAAAAAATATAACACGTTGAGAACTTGTAAAAAAAATAACATAGGTTTTATTTCCAAACACAACATGTTCAACTAAAAAATATAGTGAAAATTGAAATTGACTAAAATTATTAAGTATTAATTTATTTTATTTTGTGGAAATGTAGGTAAATTAATTTAGAAACGTCTATATTTCTAAATCACTTTCACAGTCACTAACTCCATGTTCTGAAATAATATCATTATCATCATCAGTATCATCCAAATTTATTTAAATTTTTTTAATTGTATTGTTAAATCTCATATATTTCTCTTCGATTTTTTTAACATGTTGAATAGCGTTTTTCCAGTTTTCAACAGTTATACAGTTAAATGCATTTCTAACTACATCAATTACAGAAGAAGTGGACTTATGAGAAGAGGGAGAAAAATTATAATCATATTACAAGCCACTACAGCAAAACTATGTCCGTAATAGGAATGTGTAAATTAAATGCAAAATAGACTTCTAACAATTTTTTTCCTACTTTTTTGTACTATCTCCGATAATACTGCAAATTTTCAGAGCTGTACCTTATCACTTATTTTGCGACAAAATTGCATGTTTAACCCCCTACCCTTACTTCCAGGGTGACTTCTGACTGCCCGCCTATCGCTATGTTGGTAACAATCGAAACTGTAAACAACAAAATTTTGACTGTACCGAGTCTTTGTGTCGCCAGCTCTTCGTCTAATAATGTTACAAGCACAAAATGTTTTTCCCCGGCTTTTTTTCAAGGCTTTTTCCTGGATTCATATTATGGGTGTGGTAACACGGTTACCCTCTTTTGACGGTACCCCACTGGGACAGTGTTCTGTGAAGTTCACGGCGTATTGTTTTAGTTTATCTAGCGCGATCGACTAAGGGTGAGATTACAGAACGTCTGCAACTTTGCAGATCTGCAAATATGGCGGCAACTTTGCAGATCTGCAAATATGGTGGACTTACAGATGCAAGTATCATATTTTCGTATTCCAAAAAATATTTGCAAATTCGCAATTTATTGTAGTTTATTACCCCCAACAACACTAAACCCAAATCCACCCTTAAGGAGGTTAGAACATCGTACAAACCTGCAGCTTGTTAATTTTTACTTTTTTTTAATAACCATGAAGTCTTATGTTCCTTTTGATTGAATACAGTTCGTGGTGTCAGATTATAGAGTTTTTAAACATAGTAATGGATTTGGGTTTAGTGTTGTAAGTCCGCCATATTTGCAGATCTGCAAAGTTGCCGCCATATTTGCAGATCTGCAAAGTTGCAGACGTTCTGTAATCTCACCCTAAGACGGTAAATAACTGGAACACTCGCATTTCTTACACACATACATACAAACGTGGTCTTAACGTACACATATTACAGACGGTCATTCAGTGGGTACTTACAATACAATCCTTCTATTCATACGCGAATAAACATTCATTACATTATATCAGTTAATTCGTTTCTTAAAAGATGAGCGAAATATCGATACCGGTTACTTTTTAGAGTAAAAAGTAACTAGTATGGACATATCTTCCACCTTTTGTATGCTCTCAGAGCAAGCCGAGCACTGGAATCGAAAACGCTATTAGTTATATATTATTGTTTCTTGTTCCGATAATAAAAGGTTTTTCACCTTAACCCTACGCAGGGCCGCCGAGAGCCAGGCTGGGCCCCAGGACAATTCTCTTGATCGGGCCCTGTGACAAAAAAAAGCTCTTCAAAACAAAAACTTTTCCTCCTCTACTTGAATTGAATTTTCTAATAAAAAAAAAGATCCCCAAGCTAAAACTTTTCCTCCTCTGATTCAATTGCTTTTTCTAAAAAAAAAGAAAGGTCCTCAAGCAAAAACTTCTCATACAGTTTCTCATACAAAACAAAAAAAATCCAGTTGGCGGGCCCCCATTTCAGTCGGAGCCCCGGGAATTAGTCCCGCCTACCCCCTCCTCTAGTCGGCCCTGACCCTACGTGCTTTATTATCAATAAGCCACCTTGTCATACTACAATGGGAATAATTATTATAATTACTCATCAGAATAAACGTTTAGAACTATTTCCTTGGCATAACTAGAAAGATGACAACGCTTCTGTTTTCCTGTTTGTCCAAATTTATTTCGGAAGAACACTGTTGAACATTAACTACGTCACTCATTTTCACTACTTATTTTAACTATATAGTACCGAAAGCTCGACCAAGTCGCATAAACTTTGAAGCTAAACTAAAGTGATTAGGTAAATTCTACACCAATACTACCAGGGCCGGATGCTCCCGTGTTCAGTTTTCGTCTGCCATGCGCATGACGTCACTCATAGCCTGACTCTTAGTGCTTATTTTCTCTGTAACGCATTTAGTATAACAGATACAAGAAAATGTTTAATACGAGAGATGTTTATTAAGATTCGGATAGGAAAAATATTAAAAAATATAAAATGACTAATTTCATGTATCTTTACTTTGCGCTTTACTTTCGCTGTAAAATTGGTCTCTGGGATTTTTGGCACAAATCTTGCGGAAAAGGTTTTTATAATAAGTTTATCTTTCCTCTTGCTAAGATGCAACCACTTGTTGCTAATGTTAGGGTCTTTAGGAAAACTAAAAAATCTCACAAACATTCTTACGAAATATTAATATTATCATGTTTGTTCCCCAAACAGAAAACATTAATTTTTAAAGTCTATTTGGGAGCACCGTCCCTGTTCCAACTGATACACAACCTTCCTTCATAAGCGAGACGATTTTCTACTATAAATTGCAACAGACTATAAGAACAGTAGCTTAGTCACGTAAAAACACTAATACACACTATTTTGAAGTCTGTCAATGTTAAAATTTCATTCCCATCACTTGAGAACAAATACCATTTAACCACCGCTAATTTTTTTAGGTACAATCACATAATCATGAACCTTATAGTTCAGTTGGCTCTAGGAATACCTCTGGAAATGGTTAACAAATGGTGGCGAGTTTTGACTGTGTACTTTTTGGGAGGCATAGCCGGTTGCTTGGCGCACGCCGTCATCGATGGAAGCGTTCGATTGGGAGGCGCCAGCGGCGGAGTTTATGCACTTATGACGGCTCATCTGGCACAAGTTATAATGGTAGGGTGAACCCGAATAGAGATGATACCATTACGTCACTATGGGCACTGTTATTAATCGCCTTGGCACTGAATACACTGAAGTGTAACTCTCGAAAAATTACAAAAGAACGCTGTGGCTGATTTCGGTGACCTTTCGATAACCAGCTTAGCACAAACGGACTGGTCAAAGTCGGTTTGGTTTTAGTAATCGCATTACAACAGATTACACTCGATACTCGACTTTTCAAATTGGCAACGCTGAGTGACAATAAATCTTGTCAACATCGTAGCCTAACCCTAAACAATGGCCATTTAATGTGCACCAACTGAGATGCGCGGACTCTTCCCGCCAAAGTGAGTTACCTTTCAGTCTGTTCCTGTGGTCTGTTCAGATGCCTTGGTGACATCGATCTTAAATAGTGTCAGTAGCGCCGCGCTTGTAAATTAGCTTATCGTTGTGATTACTAATCATACACGCCACTGGAGAAATATGACATAATGGTATCTTCTCTATTCGGGTTTATTATTTTTTTTAATACAGCTCAGTGTCTTAGATAACTTACAAGTAATAATTATTTCTTTTTTAGAATTGGAGCGACCTTCCTTTTGCTTACGTGCAATTCATAGTGTTCGGAATCATAATAACGGTGGATCTGGGCTCAGCGGCGTATCATCGCTATTACATGAATGTGGTCAACGAAATCGGCGTCACCTGTCACTTGGGCGGAGCGCTAGCCGGGATCCTAGTCGGGATATACATTTTAAAGAACGTTCATGTTACAAGTGCGGAAAATTATATTTGGTGGAGCGCTTTGGTTGTTTACGTGTTGCTCACGGGAGGTGCTATATTAGCTGTGATTTTTACGTGAGAATATATTGTTAATGTAGGATTATAGATGAACCAACGGGTAACTGGTCATTGCAGTAGTCATGAAAATGAGTATACAAACATTTAGCGACCATATTAGGAATTATAAACCTGACTGCCCAGCTACTCTTTAATTTTAGATTTTTGAAAAAAAATAATACTTATTTCATCTAACAAGAACAATCCCAGCTACCAGTTTCGTCTTTTGCCTTGGAGCACGAGCCCAGAGAGCTCTCTCGGCCTGTAGGGGTCCTGAAATGCCGAAACTCAGTGCCCATATAAATTTTAAAAAACACATTGGTTTCTTAGTATATCTATATTTTAAATGTGACCATAAATAATATGATAATAATTCAATGTAGTTGACAACGTCGCCAAGAGGTGCTTCTCTTATATCAGCCGATACTCGCCAAACACAAATCTTCTAATAAATGAGAGCGTCGGGCAATCGTAGAGGATATGCTCGATAGTCTCATCTTCCTGTTCGCACCCCCTGCAGAGTGCGGATTCTGACAACCCCATGATATGGAGGTGCTTCCGTACTTCACAATGAGCAAGCGTAGATTCTGTCTAGTCATAGTCAAGTATTTGTTTGCTACAGTGTTGTCAGGATAACTTAAGAACTCCCTGGCAACTCTGCAGTTTTTTGCATCATCCCATATTTCCTTGAATTTTACAGGGGAATGTTCTTTAATTAGGTCTGTCACTAGCGATGTTGTTAGGCCAATAGAAGGACCAGGTCCAAAAAGTATTTCTTGGCCAGTGAATCAGCAAGATGGTTACCTTTCGATGTGGCCAAGGTCAATGTACGGGGAACTATAATTAAATGGCCTAATATATACAAATAAATACCATTATTGATTGTTTATTAATTAGGATTCAAAATTCCGATTCATTGTTAAGTTTATTATAATTATAATAATACTCTCCCTAATTCACCCCCTTACGAATCAATTTCAAACCCTGAAGCCGACTTGTGTAGGGGTAGCACTGTTGCCAACCTTGAAGTAAGATTTTTCCCACTTTTTTGAAATCCCGGACCTTTGTAAAATTTGTAAACAAAAAGTCTTCAGCCTCATTTTATAAAACAAGTCCTTTACAGTTTCTAAAAAAAAGTCCTCAGATTTTATAAGTTTGTATCATTGTAATAATTGGCATTATTATTTTTAAAATATAAAGAATTTAACAAAAATCCCAAAAATATCTAATATTTTTAATATCTATTAAATTAACACAACATATTTATTAAAACCAAACAATTAGAAATAGTTCATTGTACTAGAAAATTAAAGGACAAATCGTGCGAATAATCATTAAAAATAAATAAGTAGAGTTTCTTTTTAAAATAATCACGTTAAGGTTGATATAAATAGAGTGTCAATCGTTGACAGAAAAATACTCAAGGGGCGGCCATTGGGCCAAACCTATGCCCCAAAACGTAACTTAGTAATTATTAGTATTTATTATATATAGTAAAGTGTGTGTGTAGTGTTTTAGTTTCAAAGGTAATATCTATTTTATTTTAACATGTTTAAATCTCTTGTTTGGGTTATGTATTTTAAAACAGTTCATTAGTCTTCTTCAAATGCCAATTCTTTCATTTTCGTCCCAAGTTTACTTATTAAATGTTTTTATCAGTTTTAAGGGTTTTATCATATAAAGAGTTTTTTTATATTAAAATGTTTTTGTGATGTAAAAGGTTTCTTTATATCAAAGTTTCATCATAGATTATATTATATTAGCATGGTTTATCATAACAAAGATTTACAATTGTGGGTAGTAATTTTTGCTATGTCTTATTTCAAAAATAGAGATTGTTTTGATTTATTGAAATTTGTTATTCATGTTTTACTTATATTTAAATATACGTGTTATTGTTTATTAACCTATTTTATTCTCACCTCTTTCCAAAAACCAGTAAGAAATATTCCGAGCATGTTAAGCCTCGGCGTTCCTACCCTTAAGGACTTGAGAGTCTTAAGTCAGTTGCCAAAACCGCTCGACATATGCTATTAAGGGATGTTTTTTTTTGTATTTTTATTATTTTATTTTGCCACTGGCGAATGGATGTTCCTTCAGGACTCCAGGACCCTAGGGCTGGTGACAAGCGCTGCCTTTATCCCTTAATAGTATAGTAACAGTAGCTAAAGACCTATCAGTAGTTGTAAATGGTCTTTAGGAATAACTGGTTGTTACATTTGGTGACGAGCGTTGGTCTTTAGGCAAACTGGTTGTTACATCATAAATAAATCTTTTAACAATACTTTAAAAATACGTCAAACAATTAACAAATTTTATTTTATTTTTCAAATCATACATTTTTCACATTGTAGACTGGAGTAAAAAAATTCCCGTTTTTAGTTAACTTTTCCATTTTTCCCCTTTTTCCCTTTTGTTAAAAATTCCCGCAAAACGGGAAATTTCCTTCCGGTTGGCAACACTGAGGGGAAGGGCTATTATTATTTGCCGTGGCGCTCCAGGGCGACTTAACCTAGCCCATCATGGAAACGGTAACGCATGGCGATTTTTATAATCTGGATGTCATATCAACATAAATTAAATTTCTGTTAATACGGCATCCATCAAATCCTTTAGAGAACCATGCAACTAAATTCACATGATCTTCTGTAGGATTTGAAGCCGGGTGTGTCTACGCTACCGTCTTGACCAAACCAATGAACTGGAGTGGGGTAGAAAGCCAATGTGCATATTGTATCAATAGAACAAGATGTGGATTGAACGCAGCCATTTTTATTTCTTATCTCACTTGGGAGTATTTATAATAGCCATTTTCTGTTTCACATTGTTATTGTTCAATCCACAAGCTGGTGGATCAGACAATAACAAAAAGAAAATGGTTGTTATAAATACTTGCGAGTGAGATGAAAAATAACCTGTCTTCGCTCAGAGTCTCATCTCAAGCCTATTGACAAGCATTCTACCCCACTCCAGTTCATTGGACCAAACCAATACATATTAAGTAAATATTAGGTATACTTACCTATTTTCATGACTATCAAAATGACCAATGTATTTCTGACGAAAGCTCTTATATTTTATAAAGAAAAGTTAAAATGTTTCTATTTTAGACGTATTTATGACAAAATAAGTTATTTATTTAGCTGAAAACTGCCTATATGTTATATTCTTTTTTTATATACTGAATTTTTAAACAATGAGACAAATAAAATTAAATCTGCTTCTAAAGTTTTTTTTTATTTTCTAAAATAACTCCCTCACTATTTACATCGTGTGATAAAACTTACCTTTAGGGATTATTTAGTGCACAAATTATTAAAAAAAAATGCCATTAACTTTTTTTAAATTATATATTAAAAAAAATATTTCAATGATCATCCTCACCAAACACCCGTACAAAATCCTAAAAATAGAAAACTTATAATAATATAAATAAAAAACAAACATAAGGGATAGTTGTTTTCCGTACTTAGAAACGATTTTAGGACATTCAATAATGATTTGTGTGTATAAAAGTCTTTGGAAACATAAACTTAAAGATTTTTGTGAAAACAGTAAAGAAAATTAAGGGGCGGCAACACAACAGAAAAAAAAAATTAGAAAATTAAATTTGAAAAATTCCGCTTTAAGTAGAATTTGAACAACTATTACATGATATTTCATTATCAAAACAACTAGACCATGAAAGCGATGTGTATCCAGCGTCCTAACAATACTTTTAAGTACAGTACAAGATTAAGACGGCAAGTCAGAATTAGATGCACACTGGAAAATCTAAAAATGGGAAGAGTCATCTCAGTTAAGGCTGCGCTATCACGACGAGATATAATAGTTTTGTGTTTCGTTTGCCTCCGATCAGCTGGTTTAACTGGATAATATATAAATAGCAGACCATTCTTTTATTTTAAAAGAAAGTTACTAAAGTTTCGGGCATTGATAAGGCAACGTAAGGATACGTCATATGCATTATTTTTGATATAAAAAACTGGGACCGGTAGGCGTGGCTTTTGCACTCACTAAAATGGCGGTAGAGCAGCACCGGATTTACAAGTTTTTATTGTACTATTTCTGGTTGAGTGTCATTATTTGAACTATAAAAAAATTAATTTCCTTTTTTATTGACATTGAGTTAAAAGGTGGTGGAAGGCCGAGGGTATAAAAGAAGGGGGTTGAAAAGCTTAAATATGCCCGGTTTTCAGCCGAAAGGTGCTGAATAAAGTAAACGAAAGAAATAAAATATAACTGATTTAATTATCACTCAAGTGGCTATTAAGCGCTGGAGAATATATTATTTGCAAAATTGCAACTAATCAATGACCATGACATAACTAACTTGGGGCCGATTCCACCATTGGGTTTAACGAAGTTTAAAATGACATTTTTATATAAAATAAAATTTTAATCTTCAATTAATAGTTTAAACTTTAACACAATGGTGGAATTAACCCTAAAGCGTTGAAATCATTCACAGAAAAAATAAATAGTATATTTTTGGTTCACATAAGCGACAAAAGTAAACAGAGTTCGATTTATTGGATCAGTCCTCACACGTTTGCACTAGGGCACATAAATAACCCAATCTATAATTTTTCTATGAGCCCAATGGTTTCTGGCTTTAAAGTACAAGGTCGCAACTGTCAACTAATCTAACCTTACTTTAATTAACAGCTTTCTCGAAATTAAGAACAAATGCTCATACTCTAAAAGCTCGATAATCAGATACGAAACTTAATGCAAGGCTCGCGGAAAATGGCTAATAAGCAATCTCTGTGTAGGTAGATACACTATTCAGGAAATCAAAATGTGGATTAATCTTACTTGGTCTTGGTACTTTTGTAGATTCAGACTGAAAAGTGTTATCTTCATGCAAGACATTCAGTAAATCAGCGAAGCCCCAACCAGCGGTGTGCAGGTGCACTTCTAACAAATGTAAAATATGAAGTGATCTTACTTGAGACCTAGGTATAGATCCAATGACGATATTATGGTGGTTGGTTTGATCTGGGCTTCTCACCATCTGCAGAGATTATGACTATATACTTATGTAAAGGTCTACCCTAGTAACACACATGCACCACAAGTGTGTCGGTCCAATTTAATTGGTCTATGCACAATAATCATGCATGTATGATTGAAAGTCAGACAAGAATGTGAAGATAAAGTTGAAGTCTCAACTATAATTAAAGTCACAGATGAAGTTAAAGTTAACAGTAAAATAGTTGAAATTGTATGCTGGTGATAAAGAGAGGCCAACATCTAGGTAATAAATGTTTGACGAGTTAGGAAAAGTATCCACTGTAAGTGCTTTTCTTAACCACTAAGGTAAAAACCAGAATATTTCCTAATACACAATTTCTTCGCTAGGCAAAATAAGAAATACATTTGTGAGAGTACTTCCCAAGTGTTTTTTCAAAAGTTCTAAGAACAAAATTGACGAAAATGGCCTAATCCAAGTTCAAATTCTAAAAACTTGAACATTAAAGATAAGTATCTTACTGTAAAACACCGTTGTGCAAATAATGTGTGCTGTGATTAAATAAAAGTGTACAAAGAATAAAGTTTTAATATTTTCTTATCCATATCTATGTGTGATATTTATTTTTAATACTAAACAAACAGTTATGATTTTGTTGCTGGTCTCATTAAAAAAGACTAAGTGAGTATTGATGTTAAATATTTATTATTATAAGAATTTATATACAGTATGTTCATATTGTGCACTGTACAAACTTAAATATATTCCTGAATTCATTTCAAGCATTAAAAAATGTCCTATGAACGAATATCCAATTCTACATAGTTACCAAGCTAAAAGAGTTTAAATATCAAAAGATGTATTAACATAGTATTCCATGTGTTTGAATATGTCAAAACACAGCACTGAATGTTTGGTGCCTTGGAACTTGTCGGTATGGAAATCGTCACTGATACTCCATACAAGCAGCTCGCAAATATTCATGACAAAATCATTAAAGGTACACTATGTTGGCATATTAATTCAAAAACAGCAAAGGCGTGTGCAAATTTAAATTTATCATAAAAAGGAAAAGTAGTTGACAAGTGTAGTACTGAGTAGCCAACTGACGTTTATAATTATTGTTGATAAACAACCAAAAGTTTTGAAAATGTGATATTTAAGTTTGTATAGTACGTCTTGCTACATCCTGTATATGTAAGATCATTTTAGAGATGTAAAAAATGTAATCTGGACAGCTACAGCTCAAATAAACAAACGCAGATGTAGTAGATGTGTCCAATGTAAATAAACAAATGCATAAGACCTAAAAAATGCATCAGATGTGGATATTCTAACGCAGCAATAGTTAGTAGGTTTTTGACAGTGACACCTATGAAGATCAGTATTGTGGCAGTACCAGGGTGCATTGACGATGTTCCTTAATGCTTTATTCTGGAAACGTTGAATAACTTCGATGTCACTTTTACTGGCACACCCCCAAAGCTGGCGATTCGCTTCATTTTCACAAATTCCTTTAAACGCACTAATCTGAAATAAATTATAGGTAATTAAAAAGGTATATTAATATTGTTTTAAATGAACTATAATAAAACAAACAATACTCATGCATACACAAAACATGAAGCTCCACTTTTCAATTAGCTATAAAACTAATAAATAAAATTGGTGGATGGACAACAAATGTAGGTTATATTTAAATAGAAATAAGAATATAAAATGCCTATAAATTAAATTTGATAAACGAAATGGCGTACGATTAATGTACTTCTCAAGAAAATGCTTGAAACATATACTGCTGAATTTAGAAGGTTACCAATTATACTTGTTGACAAACTGTATCCACGCGCTACGTTTTTTAGGATTTTTTGGAAATCTATAAATATTATTTCGTATGAAAAAGTATTATTCCAATATAGGTAGGCCCAAAAGTTGATAGATGATTTTTTTGCATTTTTAAAAGCATACTTTTACACATTTTATACAAACCTATCATAATACTGTCCTGTATAATATTTATAATTTTGATACTAACCTATGAAACGTTATTCCAGTCGATTTTTCACAAAAACGTCTATCGCTAGAGCAGGAACGTATAACACAGCAAGGCATTATATACTTTATAAGTTTGTAACATTCAAAATTTGCTCAAACACAAATTAAATTCATATTTAATTACACAAATGACACTAAAAATATAACCTATAAAATTTGACAAATTGCACTCACAGTAATGGCGGACCGGTCCCACTTTTCGCTTACGCATATCGTATCCCTAGGTTGCCAGATCAATGGTTTCGGGTAACACCTCGCGGCAATTGTACTGAACTAAAATCTAGTGACAAAATGGCTATTCTCCAATATTTGCAAGAATTTTTAACCCGTGAAGGTTTATTAACGATAATGATAGAGTGTAGTATACAAATTTTTTTGGAGAATTCATTGATATACAAGAATTTTTATATTACTTCTTCAATTTTGAATTACATTTAAATACATTACCGGATCTGCATGCCCGTAAGTATGTGTGAATAAAATTTTTATTTAACTTGTTACGCAAATCTTTTTAGCAATATAAATGGTATCATCATAAAGTTAATACTATACAGAATCATAAAATATTTTGAAAACTTGGATAAAGTACACATTTTTTAAATTAACTTGCACGAAAGGAGTGTTTCTTTACATGTCTTATTTTGACGTCATTTTTTTGTCGTGATAGCGCACCTTAATTCAAATACTTCGCTAACAATAGCTTCAAAGTTCAGCCGTTAAGTGATATAACTCCTCCCATTTTTAAATTTGAGAGTCGGGTCAGTCAACTTTTTTTAGAGATCCGGCTCACTGAATCGGAGGATCTGATTTGCCCATCACCAATCAAATGCAAGAAAATCCATTGCTTCGTTCACCAATGTTAAATAAAAAAAGTTAAATATTAATAAAAGATACAGATTCTTCCACTGTATTAAGAACACAGTAAATATGATGACTCGGAGGGTATGGGCTATGTGATAAAAATTTTGGATTACAACCAAAACTTTACCTATCCTATTATGGTAACCTACGTTTCGGTGGTGTGGTAGCCGAAAACACAGCAAGCTGGGGGCATTCGAAGGCTCAACGGTATTCAAAGGTGAACATGCTTGAGTGACACAGGAGTCAGGAGAACGACTGCAAGAGTTAGAAGCCTTGCTAAACCTAACACCACTATAAATAGTCATTCAAGCTGAAGCCAGGACAGTCGCATACAGACTACACAAAGATCCATCACCCATAAGCAATCTGCATGGGCATGACTACTGCGAATTGGAAAACGACCAAAGAATGCCCATGCATTCAGAAGAAATGCTCCCAAAATATAACTTTTAAAAACCATATAAAGTACATCAGATAGGTAAGAGTGGAATGGAGAACATCCTCAGATATCACCTGGTGAATTACCAATAAAGGAGCAGGAATAGGTATATCTATATAGTGCCAAGCCAAAGAGAATAAATTTCACTAAGCTTAGATAAACATTTAACAGCAATACATCACTTCGCAAAAGAAGAACTAAGACATAATATAAATGAAAAAACCATTGTTATATTCTCAGAAAATCAGATGCTAGTAGCACTCAGTGCATGTACACTCAAAGCTTAAGTGGAACCGTTTGGAGGCCCTAACAGATCTGGGTGGTCGAAACATACTAACTTTAGGCCAAAGTGGACATAAAGGCGATGAAGAGGCTGATTTACTAGCCTAAGAAGAAGCCTCAGATGCTATTTTTGACCCAGTCCCTTCTGTAGTGTCACAAAGACCGTCATCAGAACATGCACCAAGGAGTGAGTGTTGAACAAATATCAAGACTGAATAGAAGATCTATTAACAGGGCATAGTAGGCTTAAACCAAATCTAAGTAATAACAGAGATTATAAAAGTACCATCGCCAACACTCACGGAGCATCTACAAAATCAGAATACAGTAGAGTACTAGTAGACCTATTAACAGATCATTGTAGGTTATGCCGACGACATAGTCATATTTGCTAGAGGCAAGTTTAGAAAAATCCTGTGTGATATAGTCCAACGAGGACTAGAACATACCAAAAGAAGGTTCCGTGAAGTGGGACTTAGTATAAGCCCTATAAAAACAACACTAGTAGCCTTCTCAAGGAAAAGAAAACTTAATCTCAAAACCGTTAAATTAGACGATATAGATATAGAATGGAAAAATGAAGTCAAATATCTAGGCCTAACCCTAGACAACAAACTTCTCTGGAACACACATGAGAAGGAAGTAGTAAATAAGGCCACAAAAGCCCTAATGGTATGCAAAACATTGCAGGCAAACGATGGGGATGTAACCCAGACATACTGCGATGGATGTATACTGCAATAGTGAGACCAATCATCACTTACGGGGCTATAGCCTGGAGTAGCAGAACTAATTTAGCTACTACGAGACCTAATATCTCAAAAGTACAAAGACTAGTCTGTTTGCATTACTGGAGCAATGAGAACCTGCCCTACGGCCACAATGGAGGTGATCTCAAACCTCATCCCTCTACATTTTATGATAGAGAATGTGGCAAAAAAGACACGATATAGAATAATCAAGAACCGATTAATCAGACGAAAGTCTACTTGCTTCAGGACTAAAGATGCCTGGGACATGCCCCAGGATGAAGTACAGTTTTGTGAAAAACTTTAAAACCACAGAGCTGGACTGCAAGAAAGAATGGACCCAAGAATACATCGCGCTTGCAACCGAAAGACATGCTATTCAGTGGTATATGGACGGTTCCAAAACCATAGAAGGAACTGGAATAGGAGTGTATGGGCCGAGAACAGAGCACTCCGAAAGCTTGGTAAAATACCCAGGCATCTTCCACGCGGAAAGTCACGCCATCGAGAAGTGTATCCAGTTTAACATCGAGAGAAACTATCATAGACAAGAGATTATTATCATGTCCGATAGTCAAGCAGCCATCAAAGCGCTGAGCTCTTACAATCAGCTCAAAAATGGTCTGGAGATACCTAGAACAATTGAATGAGCTAGGCGAGAAAAATAGAGTTACTCTCACTTGGGTCCCGGGACATAACGGGGTACAGGGTAACGAGACTGCAGATAGTCTTGCAAGGAAAGGGGCTCAAACACCCTTTGTAGGACTTGAGCCGTTCTGCGGTATCAGCAGTAATATAATATTAGGAGAGATTAAAACAGAATTGGGCAGTAGAAGAACCGTTAATTGTAACAATCTCTTGGGGCTGAGACATGCTAAGATACTTCTGGGTGAATATAACCAGAAAAGATCGGAAGCCTGCATCTGTCTGAGCAAGAACAGGCATTGCCGACTAAAATGACATCTCAGCAAACTGAGAGTAGTAGAGGATAGTTAGTGCAGATTCTGTGAGGAGGAGGAGGACGAAACCTCCATTCACATTCTAACTGAATGTGTAGCACTTCAGAATCCAAGGACACCACTATATCTAGGAGAATATCAAATAGAAGAGGGAGATTTACCTAACTTGAAACCACTTCAAATCCTAAACTTCCTTGAGAAAATAGGATTGGAAGGGGTCGTTATAGGCATTGAGACATTTCCTTGGTGCATTAGCGACAAGAACGGGCACAATAGATCTTTTAGGTCGCAGTGTATTAACACCCCATTCCCAACATAACATTGTAGGTTTAACCCCAATATAAGTAATAATTAGGGGTGGGTAAAATAATCGATAATCGATTATTTTTGATTATTCGATTATTTTCGATTAATCGATTATTTTCGATTAATCGATTAGTTTCGATTAAAACCAAAAGTGATGCACAGAATAGCAAGGGCGGCTCCACAGTGAATATTTTGTGGGGGCAATGCTAATAAATTTTTGTTTTTAAAGCTGCACGAGAAAATTCTGAGGCAGCGACGACCTCTTTTTTTGCTCGTTAACTCAACATAAAAGGCGCATTTATAAAGTAAATTGGACGTTTGAAAACGATATTTTCGGCATTTTAACGTTTAAAAACCGATATTTTCAATATTTATCAAATATTGACGCCTAGGAAACATTTTTTACAAAAAATATTTTTGATATATAAACGTTTGAAAAAAGGACATTTATGGAAAAAAATTGACGTTTGGGAAGCGATATTATCGATATTTTAACGTTTGAAAAACAACATTAAATTCATAACTTTTGAGGCGTGGAAAGACATTTTTGACTAGCTGGAAATCAATAATTTTGAAATATTGACGCTTTGAAAATAGACAATTATTAACTTTAGATATATGGAAAAAAGATTAGACGTTTGAAAACATTTTCGACATTGTAAGGTTTGAAAATCGATATTTTTGAAATGTTGATGCTTGAAAAAAGACATTTATTAAAATTTGACGCCTGGAAAACATTGTTTGCAAAAGATGATATTTTGGTTATTTAAACGTTTGAAAAACAACATTAGTTTAGAAACTTTTGACTATGAAAAACGATATTTTTGACGTTTAAAAATCGACTTTACTTTAAAAACCACATTTATTAAATTTTGATGTATGAAAAAGAAAGTTGGCTTTGAAAAACAACATTATAGACATTTCAACGTTTTAAAAATGACATTTATGGAAAAAATTGATGTTTCAAAAGCGATAATTTAACGACATTGATTTAGAAACTTTTGAGGCTTGAAAAACCACAGTTTTGACTACGTAAAACAATATTTTTGACTTTTTAAAATTGACACTTTTGAAAAACATTTATTAAATTTTGATGCATGGAAAAATATGTTGACGTTTGAAAAACAATATTGCAGACATTTTAATGTTTGAAAAATAACAATTATGGAAAAATTGACGTTTTAAAATCAACACTTTTGAAATGTTGGTGCTTTGAAAAACACATTTATTAAATTTTGATGCATTAAAAAAAAATATGTTGAAAAACTATATTGTAGATATTTTAACGTTTGAAAAACGACATTTATTAAATTTTGGCTTATATATATATATATATATAAAAAAAAAATAATGTTTGAAAATCGATATTTTTATTTTATCGTTTGAAAAATGGTATTTACTATTTTGAAGTAAAAAACGTAATTGACGTTATGAAAAATGGGTTTTTTGAAAAGTTAATGTTTTGAAATCTGATATAAATTGAATGCTGAAGCATAAAAAAAATTATTACATTTTGATGCACAAAAAACAATATTTTTAATATATAAACGTTTAAAGAACGATATTTATTAAATGTTGACCTGTGGAAAAAGTCAACGTTTAAAAAACGATATTTTGACATTTTAACATTTAAAAACGATATATTAGACATTTTAAAGTTTCAGAAACGGCATTTATCTGCTCTAAGTAGTAAAAAAAAAAAACAAATATGATATTTTCACGTTTGAAAATCGATTTTTTTGAAATGTTTATGCTTAAAAAGCGATATTTATAAATGTTGATGCCTGGGCAATATTTTTACAGAAAAACGATATTTTTGACAATAAAACGTTTGAAAAACGACATTTATTAAATTTTGAAGCATGGAAAACGACATTTCGAATATGTAAAACGATATTTTTGACATTTCGAAGACTGAAAATCGACATTTTTGACATTCTGACGGTTGAAAATAGATATTTTTAACATTTCAACGATTGAAAGATAAAACATTTTTTTCGCATCTAACCTAACTTCAACGTCATTCGCTCTCGTTCAACTTAGCCAACAAGAGCGCCCTCTGTTTCTCCAGCTCCGTCTCGCTCATTTCTCCGCCACGTCCTTCTTCGCGGTACTTGGATTGAGCCGGCGGAGGGGTGTTCTGCAGAATGTTAAAAAAAACGTCCGTTAGAAGCGTTGTCTTCTAGTTATAGACGGAAACGGGAATAGTGGATGCATTCTAGGATCGGTAAGAGTTTTCGTTGAGGATTGTTTTACCCAAACGGAAAGACAGGATGGCATAGGGATACAGTGTGGCCAATTTAAGATGTAAAATGCTTATTTTTCTTCCGATTTGCAAAATTCTTTTTTTTATTATACAGAGAAACGTCCAAAATTTCATTAAAAAATATTTTATTCTACACAACTTTAATTTTGGAAACGCACTACTTGAGTATTATCTTTTACTTAGATTTTAGACAAATTTGGAAAACTGGCAACAGCGTCAATAGAAAGTAAAACCTTTATGATGAAAATTCGATTTTTATTCTCAAATTATAAGCCCTTAGATAGATTTTACTTTCTATTGACAGCGTTGCCAATTTTCAAAAATTGTCTAATATCTACTTAAAAAATATACATAAAATTAATGCTGCAGTAACTTTGTTGTTAATATATACTTTTTAAAGAAATTTGATGCTCTGCATGATAAAAAACGAATTAATCCAAAAATATGTATTTTACAAAGTTACTTTTTATCTTAAGTGGGACACTATAAGTTCTTTTTATTTGTCATACCTGAAAAATTCCTTTAAATTTTTATTTAATAAATATTTTCAAAAAAAAAAAAAAGAATTGTTGACTGAGGAATTTTTCGGTGCTACGTAACAAATACTGGCGAGCGTTTATGGTGAAAAAACACGTTGATTGGATAATATAGAACGATATACAGTGATAAACAAAAAATTCGCACCATTCTTTTCTTTTGGACCCATTTAATGTTTTATTACTCCCCTCGTACATGTCAAACATTTTTTTTTATTTAATATAATAGTTGGTTTTAGGTGAATCGTCAACTTTGATTAAAAGTCGTTTTTTGAGAAATTAACAATAAAAAAGTGACAAATTTTTGAGCATCACTGTATAACGGACATTTTTTAACGTGCCGAACTTCCGAATGAAATGCTAGGACAGTTTTATATTATAAAATAGAGCAGAATATTTTTAAGGTCTCAACATAAACGCCTTACCCTGTATATTTTGATTGTATTATTTTTTATATATGGCTAATCTAATTGAAAAAACGATAATAATTTTATTATTTAATTGAAAACATTTTTATTATATATATGTACATTCAAAGAAAAACAGCGAATATCGCAAAAAGTCTAAAAAAATTGGATTTAACGTTTCAAAAACATTTTTCTAATGTTAATGCTTGGCGAACGATATTTTTTACATTTTGACTAATTAAAACGATACTTTTTATATGTGAAAATTAACATTTTTTGAATGGGTGCTTGACAAACGACATTGACTGATTTTTGACGCATGGAAAATATTTTTAACTGATAACTTCACCATTTGTTTGAAAAACGTTTATTAAAATATGTCATCGATATTTTTGATGTTATTAAATTTTGACATTGAAATGTTTAAAGTGTCATTTAGAAAATATTTCATGTGAAAAAGACATTTTTGGCTAAGTGAAACGATTTTTTTGACAGCTTGTTTGTTAAAAAAAATCGATATTTTTCATATTTTGTCGTTTTAAAATTGATACAATTAAAATGTCGATTCTTGAAAACATTTCAACCGAAATACAATATTTTCCGTCATTTAAATGTGAAAAATTACGTCTATTAAATTTTGAGGCGAGGAAAACGACGCGAAAAAGACATTTTTGACCATGTAAAACGATATTTACATTAAATTTTAACACCTGGAAATCATTTTTAACTAAAATATGATATTGTCGACAATAAAATATGTGAAAAAAACGACGTTCATTAAATTTTGGGGCGAGGAAAGCGACTTTGTTGACACTGTGACGTTAAAAATCCATATTTTCGACATTATTGCGTTTGAAAGTCATTTAATAAATTTTGACTCATGGAAAACATTTTTGACATTTAAACGTTCGAGAAATGACATTTACTAAATTTTCAGACGTGAAAAAATCCATTTTTGACAATTTAAAATCATATTTTGACTATTCAATTGTTAAAAATCGACATCATTTAAAATTTGATATTTTTGAAATGTTAATGCTTAAAAAACGAAATTTATTAAATTGTGACCCCTCAAATACGATATTTTCGACATAAAACGTTTGAAAAACGATGTGTGCAGTTTATTAAATTTTGAGGAAAGGAAAACGACACTGTTGACATTTTAACAGCTAAAATTCGATATTTTTTAACTTTATGGCGTTTGAAATCGATATTTTTGAAATGTCCATGCATGAAAAACGACATTTATTAAATTTTTACAACAGGAAAATATTTTTGATATTTACAAATATTATTTACTAAATTTTCGGATGTGAAAAAGGCATTTTTGACTATGTAAAATAGTTTTGAAGGTTCGATTATTAAAAAATCGATATTTATCACATTTTGACGTAAAAAATCGATAAATTTAAAGTGTTGATGATTAAAAAACGAATTTTATTTAATTTTTTCGCCTAGAAAACATTTCAACTGAAATACTATATTTTCGACATTAAAACGATTGTAAAACGACGTTTATTAAATTTTGAAGTGAAGAAAACGACATGTTGACATTTTGATGGTTAAAAATAGATATTTTTAAAATTACTGCGTTTGAAAATCAATATTTTCGAAATGTTGATGCATGAAAAATGATATTTATTAAATGTTGACACCTGGAAATCATTTTTGACAACTGGAAATTATTTTTTACATTTAAACGTTAAAAAAGAAGCCTTTTGTAAATTTTCAGCCGTGAAAAAGACATTTTTGACAATGTAAACCGATATGTTTGACTATTTGATTGTTAAAAATTGATAGATTTAAAATGTTAATTCTTGAAAAAAGGAAATTTATTAAATTGTGTCGCTTGAAATACGATATTATCGACATTAAAACGTTTGAAAAACGACGTGCGAAGTTTATTACATTTTAAGGCGAGGAAAACGATATTGTTGACCTTTTGACAGATAAAAATCGGTATGTTTGATATTACTGCGTTTGAAAATTGATATTTTCGAAATGTTAATGCATAAAAAACGACACTTATTAATTTTTTAATGTCTGGAAAACCTTCTTAGATTTAACTGTTTAAAAAATGAAATTTACTATATTTTCAGAAGTGAAAAAGACATTTTTAAGTAGGTAAAACGATATTTTTAACAATTCGATGTTTAAAAATCGACATTTTTCACATTTTAACGTTTGAAAATGGATAAAATTGAAATATTAAATTTTATCGCCTGGAAAACATTTGTAACTGAAGTGGGACATCTTAATATTAAAAACGTTTGAAAATCGATGTGTATAAAATTTCGGGGAGGGGAAAACGACCTTGTTACCAAGTTGGCGGTTAAAAATTGACATTATTAAGTTTGAAAATCGATTTTTGAAATGTTACATGGAAAACGACGTTTATTAAATTTTAACAGCTGGAAAGCATTTTTGACATTTAAACGTTTGAAAAATGACATTTACTAAATGTTTAGCTGGGAAAAAAGACGTTCTTGAGTGTAAAACAATCTTTTTGATAGTTCAATGGTAAAAAATCGATATTTTTCCACACTTTGGCGTTTGAAATTGATACATATTAAATGCAGAAAGCCATTTTTAACTAAAAACGATATCTTTGACATTTAAACATTCGAAAAACATTTATTAAAATTAGTGAAAAAGGAAAACGCCATTGTTAACGTATTAATAGTTTTAATTTTGAAATTAATACATGAAAAACGACACTTTTGAACGTTTTACATCTGGAAAATATTATTCACATTCAAATGTTTAAAAATGGCATTTACTAAATGGACAGGCATGAAACAAACATTATAGACAATGTAAAACAATATTTTTTAACAGTTCTATTGTTAAACATCGATTTTTCACATTTGAACGTTGGAAAATTGATAAATATGGAATGTTGATGCTTGAAAAGCGTCATTTATTAAATTTTGTCTCCTGAAAAACATTTTTAATTGAAATACAATAACTTCGAAATTAAAACGTTTGAAAAACGACGTTTATTAAATGTTGAGGTGAGGAAAACGACATTGTTAACATTTTTAGAGTTAAAAATCTGTATATTTGATATTATAGCTTTTGAAAATCGATATATTTTTTAAAATTTTAATGCATAAAAAACATTTATTAAATTTTGACGACTGGAAAACATTTATACGATCATAGACATTAAAACGTTTAAAAAACGACGATATTTAAAAATTCAGAATTATTGAAAAACGATATTTTTGAAATTTTAAAGATCGAATAAGTCTTTAACCCTTGAGACATGACAGTTTTAGCATTTTGACGATCGAATAATGCTATTTTTTGAAATTAATCAGTCAAAATGTAAAATTATTTAAAAATTTCTTTAGTGATTTAAGTAGAATTAACAGAAAAATATTTTGCCATAAAATAACCAAAATTAATAATCAACTAAACTCACAGGCGACATCTTCCTCTTGTGCTTCTTTTTTGATTTCTTCTTTCTATATTCTTCCCCGCTTTCTTCGGAATAAGGAGTCGGACTCTTCGACTTGTGCTTCGATGTTTTTTTATGCCTATCACTATCTGAATCGCTAGAAGACGATTTGTACGCTTTCTTCTTCTTCTTTTTGGATTTCTTCGACCTCGAATGGTGATGGCTGCACGATTCTTCCATTTCATGTTGGTATTCCTGCAAAAAAATATATTAACGCCCTAAAATTACGTTTTTTAAATCTTTACCAACCTTATACACCCTTTGACGTTCGCTATCTGAATCGAAAGATTGAAATTCCTCTTCGTTTTCTAATTTACTCCGGATCTCCTCCCAAGATTGCTCGAAATCGACGTTCATTTCTTTCAAGAGAGCCTTAAAACCGGTTTCTAATTTTTTCATTCTTTTACTTTCTTCTTTTAGTCGTTCCTTTTCTTTCACCTCCGCCTGAAATGTTTGAAAACGTCAAAATAATCACTTCTTACATGTCATCTGTCAAAATTGTCAAATATAACGTGTCAGTTGTCACTTATTTTATCAAAATTATCTGGTATGTCACCTGTCAAAACTGTCACAATTCAAAGCTGTGCTCCATCAAAATTGCTTATCTGGACAATTAGAGTAAAATAAACAAACAGGCTCCTTTTTATTATTTTTTTTTATAAATACCTTTTCAAGGAAGGAATTGTACGTCAGTTTGACGTTTCCGGCGTCCAGAGAGGCGGATCGTTTGTCCTCGCAAATGACGGTGGCGAATTGATCAAACGAAGTGTCGATTAGGACTTCAAAGTCTTTTTCTCTTAAAATCTCTTTGATGATCTTTTTCTCGTCGTGGAAACGGGACTTGAGATCTTCTACGTAAAATTTGAAAAGATCCAGAGGCGTGGAACCGATTTGACCTGTAATAAACACTTCGATTTGACGTTTATAAGCGTGATTTTTTATAAAAATTACCTAACATGGCTGAGAAGCGAATATCGGCGGATATAATGGGATACAATTCGACCCACAGCGACATTGACGTTAATTTTCCTTCTTCGTGCAGATGATCTAACAGAGCCAGAAATTGGTCTCTGTTTTTCCTGCACTGCCGTTTCATTCGTCTTTTTTCTCTCTCTTTTTCTTCTATGTACTCCTTTTCCAGCACTCTAATGTGCTCTTCGAATACTATTAGAGCGTCCTCCTTGTCCATAGCCAATAAATTTACGTCGTTCTTAAATGTGCTGTTCTCCAATAGTAATACCTAAAGGAAATCAAGAAAAACAATGTCAAACTTGAAAATATTTATGACATATAAACGTTTGAAAAACATTTATTAAATGTTGAAGCATGGAAAACGACATTTTTAACAATGTAAAACGACGTTTTTGACAATAAAGATATTTTTGACATTTTTACGATTGAAAACTGATACTTTTGAAATATTGATGCTTGGAAAATATTTTTGACATTTAAACGTTTGAAAAACGACTATTATTAAATTTATATCATGAAAAACGACGTTGTTGATTACAAAAACGATTTTTGACATTTTGAAGGATGAAAATCGATATTTTTTACTGAAAGATATTTTTAACATTTAAACGTTTAAATAAAATTTTTGACGTTTGATAATAGCCTCTTTTGAAGTTCAAAAACGATATGTATTGGATTTTGAGATTAAAACGTTTGAAAAATGTTTATTAAATTTTGAGGTGAAGAAAACGACATTGTTGACAGTTAAAAATCAATATTTTTGACATTATGGAGTTTGTAAATTGATATTTTTGAAAGGTTGAAGTATGAAAACTACATTTATCAATTTTTAAGACTTTAAAAACATTTTTCACAATTAAACGTTTGACAAACGAGTAATATTAAATGTATGGCATGAAAAACGACGTCGTTAATTATAAAACCAATTTTTGACATTTTGAAGGGTGAAAATCGACATTTTTTACAGAAAGATTATATTTTTGACATTTAAGCGTTTAAATAAGATCTTTGACGTTTGAAAATAGACTCTTTTGAAATACTGAATCTTGAAAACCATATGTATTAGATTTTGACATTAAAACGTTTGAAAAACGACGCTTATTCAATTTTAAGGTGAGGAAAATAACATTATTGACATTTTGACCATTAGAAATCGTTATTTTTGACATTATGGAGTTTGTAAATTAATATTTTTAAAATGTTGAAGTACGAAAACAACATTTATTACATTTTGAGGCTTTAAAAACATTTTTGACATTTAAACGTTTGAAAAATGGCAGTTACTAAATGTTCAACGGCAAAAAAGACGTGTTTGACCATGTAAAACAATATGAAAATAGATTCTTTTAAAATATTATACCTTGGAAAACGATATGTATTAAATTTTGACTCCTGGAAAATATTATTTACTGAAAAATGCTATTTTTGACAATTAAACGTTTAAAAACGAACTTTATTAAATTTCGCGTGGAAAACGACATTTTTGACTTTGTAATACGATATTTTTTACATTTTGGAGGTTGAAAATCGATATTTTGACGTTAGAATATAATACTTTTGAAATAATACATCCTAAATTAAAAAGTGACATTTTGATGCATGTAATATATTTTTGACATTTAAACGTTTGAAAAATGTTTAAGCACAGAAAACGACGTTTTTGATTATAAAAACGTCATTATTAATATTTTTAAAGTTGAAAATGGCCACTTTACTGAAAAATATATTTTTGACATTTAAACATTTAAAACAGGATAATTTGGACTATGTAAAACATATTTGATTATGTAAAACGATAATTTTGACTATGTACAACATTTATGATTATCATTTTAACATTTTGAAAATATTTTTGACATTTAAACGTTTAAAAACCGTCATTTATCAAATGTGACATGAAAAACGACGTTTTTGATAATGTAAAATGTTAGTACTTAAAAAACAACGTTTGACACCTGGAAAATAATTTTGAGTGAAAAATGCTTTTTTGACATTTTAAACGTTTGAAAAAATTTTAGGAATGTTAATCGACATTTACTATCATAAAAACGATATTATTGAAGGTTGAAAATCGACCGTTTCTACTGAAAGAATATATATTTTACATTTAAAAACCGACTATTATTAAATATATAGTATGAAAAACGACGTTGTTGACTATGAAAAACGAATTTTGACATTTTGAAGGTTAAAAATTGACATTTTTTACTGAAAGATTATATTTTTGACATTTAAACGTTTAAAAATGACGTTTATTAAATTTTCGAGTAGAAAAAAATATTTATGAATAAATAAAACATTTTTGACGGTTGAAAATCGATTTTTTACATTTTAAAATTTAATAATAACTTTTATTAGATTTTTGGAAAACGATATTATGTAATACGATATTTTTGACGATTGACATTATAACATTTGAAAAACGTTTATTAACTTTAGGCGTGGAATACGATTATTTTGACTATGAAAAAAATATTTGACTATGTAAAACGATAATTTTGACCATGTAAAATACTTCTGACTATGTAAAACAATAATGTTGGCATTTTAAATATATTTTTGACTGAAGAACAATATTTTTGACATTTGAAAAACTACATTTATTAAATCTGACATAAAAAACGACGATTTGGACAGTGTAAAACGATATTTTTGAAATTTCAAAAATTATACTTTTAAATGACATTTAAACGTTTAAAAATTTTGTATGCACGCTAATAGACATTTATGATTATAAAAAATGATATTATAGACATTTTGAAGGTTGAAATGGATACTTTTTACTGAAAGTATACATTTTTGACATTTTTATGCATAAAAAACGACATTTGTTTTAACTATGAAAAACGAAATTTATGTCATTTTGAAGATTGAAAAATGACATTTTTTACTAAAAGATTAGAGATTTTATATATTTAAACGTTTGAAAAATGACGTTCATTAAATTTTAATGAGGAAAACGATATTTTTGACTTTGTAAAACGATATTTTAACATTTTGACGGTTGAAAATGGATATTTTTAGTATTTTGGCAATTGGAAAACTATTTGACTGAAAAATTATATTTTTGACATTTAAACGTTTGACAAAAAAACGACATTTACCAAGTGTGGTATGAAAAACAATGTTTTTTACAATGTAAAACAATGTAAATTTTGATGCGACTACCTTAAAGCTTGCAATATAGAATGAAAATGGCAAATGACATAATTCAAGAAGTATCTGTCATAACCGTCAGCAGTCACGTTTTATCTAATAGAATATAAAAATTAAGTCACAGATTTTTGTTAAAAATAAATATTATTTTTATTTAAATAGAAAACAGGAACTTCGTTGTAACGATAATACAGCGCGTCCCATTAATAATATGGAGATACTCAAATTATGATGAAACTACATACTTCTATACTACATGTGATATATACACATTTTTACCTTACAAATTCCACATTTCTAGATCTAGTAGCTAGGGATATGGGATAGATTTTAAAGTTTTTGAAGTACTTACCTGAGCTTCGCTCCAAGTGGTGTCGTAATTAATTTTAGTCATACATTCGAGTACCTCGGCCAATTTCTTCATGTTCCTCTTCTTCAGATTTTTGGCTTCTTCTTTTTCCCGTTTCGACAACGTGAACATTACATCATCGTAGATGTCCCTGCGATCGGAATCATTGACGTTGTGCCATACCTGCGAGAAATAGAAATAAAAACGAGAAACGACTTGAAATAAAAGTCTTACCTCCATGGTGCTGAACAACTCATCGCATCTGTAATATTTCGTCGTCGAAGAGATCAAATCCGTCTTCAAAAGGAATTCTTCGAGCTGCTCTTTGTATTTCTTAGATTTCAGGCGTTGCTCCTCCTTTTCGTCCTTCTGTTTTTGAGTCTTGTAAGCGTTGAAAACCTGTTTTTTCTCGTTCAGTTTCTTGAACGATCCATATCTGGGATCGCTGGATATTATTTTGACGCATTGTTCCCACGAGGAGTTCGAGGGAACGTTCTTGTCTTTTAAGAGCTCTTTGAACGCCTCCATGGCTTCTTTTTTGTCCTTGTAGACTTTCGGCTCGGGAATAGAATTGTTAATCTCTTTGACGAAATCGCCCGGAATCGAATGGTTCGAATCTTCGTCTGCAAAGTAGACGAAGTTGAAGGTAAATTGATAACTTTATTAAATTTTGACCCATAGAAAATATTTTTGAAAGAAAAATTTAAACGATTGAGAAACGTTTATTATTAGATTTTTAGGCATTGAAAACTACTTTTTTAACACTGAACAAGGATATTGTTTACATTTTGACCATTGAAAACGACATTTTCAAATGTGGCATGAAAAACGACGTTTTTAACAATGTAAAACGTTATTTTTGACGTTTAAAAACTAACACTTAAAATGTTGATGCTTAAAAAACGTTAATTAAATTTTGGCACCTGAAAATTATTTTTGAATGAAAAATGCTATTTTTAAGATTTAAACGTTTGTAAAAAAAATTAGGCAGGAAAAACGACGTTTATGATTAAGAAAAACGATACTATTGACATTTTGAAGACTGCAAATCGACACTTTTTACTGAAAAAATATATTTTTGACATTTAAACGTTTGAAAAATGACATTTATTAAATTTTAGCGTTGAAAACGATAATTTTGACCATGTCAAACATTTTTGACTGTTATATATTTTTGACTGAAAAAATGATATTAAACGACATTTATAAAATATTGCAGGGGAAAACGACGTTTTGACAATGTAAAACAATATTTGTGACGTTTAAAAACTGATACTTTTAAAATATTGTTGATGCTGGAAAAATATATTTTTGAGAGAAAAATGCTATTTTGGACATTTAAACCCTTTCGAAAAACGAATTGTATTAAATTGTGGCGTGAAAAACAACATTTTTAACTTTGTAATATATTTTTGAAAAACGATATATATTAAATGTCAAAGCTTGGAAAATATTTTTGACCAAAAAAATGCTACTTTTTACTTTTAAACGTATGAAAAAACGGCTGTCATTCAATTTTTAAACATAGAAAACAGCGTTTTTGATAATTAAAAACGATATTTTTGACATTTTGAAAACTGACACAGGTTCGCAAAAGATACTTTTGGAAATACTGAATCTTGAAAAACAATATTTATTAAATGTTGAATATTTTTGATTAAAAAATTGTATTTTTGACCATGACAAACGATATTTTTGACATTTTGAAGGTTGAAAATCGACCTTTTTACTGAAAGATTATATTTTTCTCAAATGTGCTGTTTTTCAATAGTAATACCCAAAGAAAATCAATGAAAATAGTGTCAAACTTGAAGCACTTGCGCCTGGAAAATATTTTTGACCAAAAATGATACTTTTGCTTTTAAACGTATGAAAAAATGGCTGTCATTAAATTTTTAAGCATAGAAAACGACGTTTTTGATAATTAAAAACGATAATTTTGACATTTTAAAGGTTCGAAAAACATACTTTTGGAAATACTGAATCTTCAAAAACAATATTTATTAAATGTTGAATATTTTTGATTAAAAAATTGTATTTTTGACAATTAAATTATGAAATTTTTAGGAAAACGACGTTTTTGACTATGACAAACAATATTTTTGACATTTTGAAGGTTGAAAATCGACCTATTTACTAAAAGATTATATTTTTCTCAAATGTGCTGTTTTTTAATAATAATACCTAAAGAAAATCAATAAAAACTTGAAGTACTTGCGCATGGAAAATATTTTTGACACATAAACGATTGAAAAACATTTAATAAATTTTGAAGCGTAGAAAATACATTTTTGACAATGTAAAACGATATTTTTGACATTTTGATGTTTGAAAACAGATACGTTTAAAATGTTGATGTTCGAAAAATAACGTTTATTAAATTTTGACGCCTTGTTCTGGTCGACCCGCAAATATTCACTCGTTACACAAAATAAAACATTTCGTAACTAGTTGCAAAATAAATTATTCATCCATTTAGATCATTATACAAGACGTCATTGATAACTTCTTTTCATAGAAAAACTTTCCCATTTTATTGTAAGCAACATACAAAGTGTTTTTGAAGTACAAGTACATATTAAAACTGTTAATAATTGAATTCTCATCGAATGAACAAAAAAATATATATTTTTTAAATACATGTATAGTTAAGCTTGGAAGGTCGAGTTTGATACAATTCCAACAGGTGCCTAGTGGGTCTGTTATTGACAATGTTGCCTGTGTTTTGACTTTCGTTAGAAAAAGGTATTTTAGTAACAAAGGCAATGTTTAAATTTTTTCCATGTTCCTTTAGAGCCGGGGTTCTCAACTGGTAGGAACATTGAGGGATGCGAAGTATTTAAAAATTACATAAATGCTTCGCGAAACAATAATCTCACTTAGTCAAAAGGAAATCTTTAACGCAATATGAAATTAATTTAATAAAAAAACACTTCACTGCTATTTTTACGGATTTTTTAAACTTTGTTTTGATCAAACGAAATTAATATTTATAAAAAATCAAAGTTAGTGGCATTTCCGTAAAATCAGAAGTCGGCCGTTTTGTTTAGGTGTAAGTATTAATTCTAAATTGTGTCTAGAATGTTTTTCCCAAATTTGATAGAAACCGCTTCATAAATCAAAGAGATATTAACGTGGCCCTGATCTTATTGTCACTCTGTATACTACTACCTATTTAAATATGTAATGTAATGCAAAAACACCTTGTGTATGAAAGTATTTTGGCTTAGTTTGCAATTTTCTTTTAAATTAAGCTACGATTTTGAAACGGTTTTAAAAAATTTCAAATTCAAAGAACAGAAATTTATTTTTCAGAATAATTAAAAAACAATTTTTCACTATTTTTTTAAGTACATAAACTTTAAATACTTACGTAAAAGAAAGTCCTCTTTGTAGTAAAAAAATATCAAAATGTTTAAAATAATGTAAATATTATTTATACAAAAAAAAAGAAAAACAATGTTGACAGTTTGGTACATAATTAATAATTACATCGATGTGCATTCTCACTGTTTTAATAATATACAGTAAGGACCTCAGATCCCTTTAAATTTCGAATGGTTAAAGCTTTTACTGTGAAAAATGGTTTAATATTTTACACTGGCTCACTTTTTCACAATATCAAAATAGAAAATATCTTATCCAGTGAGTATTACAGATTAGTGCCTATCCATAAAATTATTACAAATAAATCATATCTTTCAGAATTTTTCTTTACCAACAGTTCTTTTAAGTTATAAGGGTACAGTATAAACTAACAACCTTTGGCGGATTTTTTTAGAACTATGCTCATTTTATGGAGATTATTTTCTTTTGTGTTTTTATGAGATTTGATCGATGTTGAAACACCTATAATAACTGTCATCCACTGTGGGTAAGAGTGGTAAGACCAATCTATAAACATTGAATTAGAATTAATAAGCTTTAATAATGTAAAAATAGATGGCACTAGGGTGTGTATTTGTTCTCATTCTTCACATGTGGCATCATCTATCAGTGAATTTTGTTACCAAAGTGAGTTAGAATCCCCATAGCTGCACTACTCTCCCAACATAGACTACTTAAAAAGAATCTCAATTATGAACTCACCTTGTTTTACTGGTAGATTGGGCAAAGAGATAGCAGCTAATGTAGCTGCCATTGCAGCTTCTAGAGCACTCTTTCCGCCAGGGCTAGCAGCTAAAAAGTTACAAATTTAAGAGATTGAAACAAACAAATAGAATATATACTTACTCGATACTGCAGGTGAACTTGGCCCTGTAGAATTACCAACAGAGACAGCAAGAGGCAGTGTTGCTGGTATAGGACTGATAACTTCTCTTGGGGTCGTCGGGCCAGAGGCTGGTTTCAACCTAATATTTAATTTCAATAAAATTACAAATTATTACATATAACAGCATTATAAGTACAAAAAGGTAAGACTATATTCACAAAGAAAAGAAAATGTGTCAAGAATAGTACTCACTCTTCTGCAGCAATTTTTTTCTTGATTTCTTCCAATTCCGGGGGTACAACCCAACGAGATTCCTTTGTATTAACATTGTGGTAATATATTTTGCCACTATCTGCTGTATATTCTTTCCATGGACATTGCGATAACATTAACTATAATGATTATACTTTTATTAATGATATCAATATATAAATTATCTAATCATTGACAGGCAAAATGCAGTAAAAATTCTACATACCTCTGCAGGTGTCTTTAACTGATCAGGTTTCTGCCAAGAACTTTGCTTAGTAACCGAATTATAATAATAAGTTCTGCCGTCGGGAGCCTTATGCTCGCTCCATTCGCTTCCAGGAACAACTGGACCGACCCCGCCTGGGGGCCCGAAGCTGCCAAAACCTGGTGGCGGTACATTGAAGGAAGGAACCATTGGGGGAAACGGGCTCAGACCGGGCATGGGAATTTGAGGTAATAGAGGAGGTGTCCCAATGCCCGGCGGAGGAACAAACGCTTGAGGGGGAAGGTTAGGATCCTAAAAATAGGAAAACAAAAATCAACACAAACATAACCTCAATATTTCTTGTTTGTACTTACCATTGGAATTTAAGATCGAAAACAATCAAAACAAATATAAGGATATGATACTTAACACATTTTATTAAAATAATGTTTATTTACACTTAAATAGTAACGTTTTTTAATAGAAAACACTATAAAATACGGAAATTACACCGCATTGAAAGGTCGAAACGTCATGTTTTGTCACTTGTCACGTCAGGATGTCATGACATATGCAATGATATATACCAGTCATATAGATTGCTCATTCATATGAAAATCAATTTATGAAAAGACGGTTTTATAGATCGAGGTTCTCTTTATCTAATACATACAATTTATGTTTTGTCTCATTTTTGTACCCAGTTGTAAACAAATTATTTACAGAACCGGTTTAGACATAATAATCTTATAATCTTCAGTACTTTCAAGATTTTTACAGATTTAAATATACCCTTTATAAACATTAAATATAATGCTTGTTAAAAAGTAACGGTCGGCATTTGATAAAAGGGATATAAATCTGACCTTATTTCATAATAAAGTATCAATCTTATATTCTTTTGTCAATTTCCCAGACAGCACACCAAATCCTTTGGATATCTACTGAACATCCCAATATCCACTGAATGTCCAGTCCATGGTGGATATCTATTTTATATCCATGAAATGTAATTTATAGACATGCAAATGTCCATAAATAATTGTAATTATATAGCAAATTATTAAAAAATTACGCCATTGTACTCTCCATTGTGGCTAATAGTACCGTTGAGATATTTAAAATTAATTTTTTTTAAGGTGTATTCAATATCCCATGGACATCCACTATAAATATAAATATATCAAAGTCTAAGCGCGGACGCAAACCATCGTGGATATCTACTAGATGTAATTTTTGATTTTGCTTCCTAAGTATAGATGGCGATACCACTTTCGTATCTACTCATGCTTAACCCGCCGTAATTGAGTTTGATCGACATTGTTTCACAAACAGACTTCATTAGAGACTGAAGTCGAGAAGTTCCATTTATTGATGAAGATTCCTAATAAGGATGATTTTCTCCTTAGTAGGCAAAATCCAAGGCAGATTGTTGGGAATATTTTTTACCTCTATTTTCTTTCGACGTTATTCAATAACCATGGTTACTTATGAACCTCTACTAAAAATAATTATAAAATATTTATATGAATTTCTATATCCTGGGATATAGACGGACATTTGGTTGGATATCCACAAAATATATTCTATGGATATATCTGGGATTTCTTGTATTGTCTGGAGATACTCATTAGATATTTTGCTGAATATACATAGGATATCTTCTATATTCTGGATATAGACGGACATTTGGATATCCATATTAGTTCCACCAAAGAATACCTACCCAAGAAGCGACACTAAATGGGCGATTCGTGGACAAAAAATTGCCAAGTTTTCTCAGTGTTTTAGAGGTAGTTTAACGTCAAATATAGTTGTCAGTTCATGTAGTGTATGACGTTTGGTATATTATTCTTAGCGTTTTGAGAAAATTTCAGTAGGTTTATTTAAAAGTAGTAATTATATATTAGATAGTTTAAAGGTTTTTATTACAATGAAAAAAATACATTGCGTTGTTCGTGGTTGTGTTACAACTTCAGAACAAGGGCTAACAATGTTTAAATTCCCAGGAGATGCCATAAGGTATGTACTGAAATGTTACTGTTCAAATTTATTTAGAAAAATTAAGTATTACTAAATATAATTTTGTAGAGCTCAACTCTGGTTAAAAGCTTGTAATCGTGAAGATTTAAATTTCACAGTTCCTAGTGGCTTATCTTTATATAGAATATGTGAACAACATTTTAAAGAAAAATATTTTTCAAGCAGTACATCTTGTAGAAGACGATTATTTGACAATGTTGTACCCACAGTATTCTCCAAATGCAAACGAAGCTATGATATTCTCACTATTGATCCTCCAAAAAAGGTAGTAATTGTTTCTGGTGTTTCAAACTAATATACATATAAAAATGTTAGTTTAACGGGGGTGGCGTTTGTTCAGTGATTTTAACCAGTGTTTAACATGAAGAAATAAATTATGGTATTTGAGTACAATTAAATATTACAAATTAAAAAAAAAAACATTTAGCTAATACTATAGTCTTCGGTATACGAGGAGCCGAAGCAAAACGATTGCTTAGATTGGCGACATTTTGACAGGGTCGTATCCAGAATCAATTATTATAGCAAGAATTTTCCGTCATTTTAACTTTAGTATGTGTTTAATTCTCATGAACCAAACAACAAAAATTGATTGGAATTATACGTTTCCCAGTGTATTAAGTTCCCATTTACGTCAAGGTCGCTGCTACTTTGGTACATAGAAAAACTCATTCAGTTTCGCTTCTTGGGTATGTATTCTTTGGTTCCACGGAATATTTCTGATATCCTGTGGATATATTGGATATCCACAAAATATATTCTGTGGATATCTCTGGGATTTGGTGTGTTGTCTGGGTTAACTCTTTTGTGTAGTGATTAAATACTATATTTCACTTTTATAAAATAAGTATACCAGATAAAAAACTTCAGAATTTTAGATGTTTTATTAGTATTCATATTTAATGGTAGTTTCTTCCAACATTATTTTCTGCTAGGCATTTTAAGTTTTTACATGTCGATTTAGGCACAAATAATATACACGAGATTATTCGCGTTGGGTCGATTTACTCGATTTGCTAGAAACTAGTGTTGTGAATATCCGTATCTTTTTAGTATTCGGATAATACGTATTCGGAACCAAGAGATATTCGGATTCATCATCCGGATACGTATCCATATGTGTGAAATCATAATACGCAACCGTAAATACACCGCGACCTTGGGAATCGGAATCGGGCAGTGTTGTCAACCCTAGCAGAATTTATGTTTGAGAGTGAAGTAACAGGAGCTTTTAATGTTTATGAATAATAAACACAAGATAAATCTCAAATATTTTGTTTTTTATCATAATATCAGGAACAAAATTTCTCATTTATATTTATATAACTTCATGTTACCTTTAAAATATGCAGTGCATGCCGACTAACCGATTATGAAATTGCAACAACGCTAGACGATTACGAATTCTGATTTCGTATCCATAGTTCGTATCGGCTGCCACCCGCAAAACCCGAATCGGCTCTGTCATAACAGAACTTGCAGCATTCGATTCGTGTATTACGATTTTGTTTCTGTTCTTTTTGATACCGAATTCGTATTCGAATTTACACTATTGATTCCGGAATATCCGGATCCTTTTAATATTCGGATTCAACGGATTTTTGGATACGTATTCTTACATCACTACTATAAACCTGGCACAACTAATGACCATTTATTGCAATGCTATAAAAATTAGAAGCCTTTTGATATGTTATAGAACTACAATGCTGTGCCAATAAAAACAACTTAAAAAACTGTACTATACACAAATTATTGTCAAAAGAGCTCCCAACAAACTTTAAAATTCTAGTATTAGTAAAAATTTTTAGTGACATTAACATTACTCAGAATAAAGAAAAGTGTCTAATATATATCTAACCAAAGTTGTTTATATCTCATCTCAAAGTTGTTTACATACATTAATATCGTATTTAGAAGTAAAAATTAAGGTAATTCTTTTTTTTTTTAATATTCAAATGCCGAAATTTTATTTTAGACAACACAATTGTGACAGAACGGTTCTGTTCAGCATATGGGCAGAGACAATTGGGTGACCACAGACTAGGGATGCGCAAAATTTTTAAAACATCGATGTTGACATCAAATGATACATCGAATACAAACTATCGATGTTGTAAAAAAATCGGAAAGAAAACATCGATTTTTGTAAACATCGATGTTTTTTATAAACGAACAAATAAACAAGACATTGGAAATAATCTTATTTTTATTTATTATTATTAATAGACTCAGAGTTAGCGGCTGCAAGGTATTACGATCCTTCTTAGATAAAATATTAAGTCTATGGTATGATCGTACCTCCGGCTGGAATTTTGTAAAGTGGTAGGCGGGACCATCAGGAACTGTCATATGCAAGGATTTAGTTTAAAATTCCTGCCTGTGATTCCTGCAAACAAGACGTCAGAGAACTGAAAGTTGTAAAAAATATCGACTAAAAACATAAAATACACACACTTAACATGACTCTTTAGCTCAGTTAAGCATTGAACATGTAGTCAATTTTGCATTTCGCGACGCGGTTCAATTCACAATAGATGCAATTTTATTTTTCCAAAATATGAAAATTAAATAAAAATACGTACTATTGTTGTTTATTTATTTTAAATACATTTTATTTAGCATAATAATAATAATTATTATTATTATTATCATTACTTTTAAAATATTTATCATCACGAACAGTTTTCATTTTCTTGCCAAAACTTGTTAATTTTCAAGAAAATGTGTAATTTTACATAGATATGTATGAATATTTTTAGTTTTTTTACAATAAAACTATGTCACTGGTTGTTTGTTTCGATTATTTTGTTCAAATTTATAATAGATTTAGATTTTTAAAATAGCAAACGAACCAGAACTATTAGTAATTATAAGTTCTCTGACCAAATTTATTTTTATATAACCAATTTTCCTTCTCCGAAAACAATTGATTTTAATACCAAAAATGGTTTATTTTTATTTGTTTTCTTTTCCCAATATATTCAACTCAATATAGTTAGTAGATAATTTTTACACTTGCTGCGATTACAAAAGATGCCACTTTGTACCTATAAGTCAAAATTAGAATAACTTTAATTATTAAAAAATATTAAGATTAAATTTCTGATAGGAACATTGCAAAAAAACACGTTTAATTAACAATCAATTTAATTTCTACGATTAATTATATTAATTATTAGATGGAAAAAATCATTATTCAAATGGGAAAAAATAATCAAAATCAAGAACTTTGACTCGATAATGAACAATATACAAATAAGTTGTTTAATTCGGGATTCACTAATTCAGGATAAATAATATTTTAATTTCTAATTAGGCTACCTGTCTAAATTTTAAATCTGTAAATCTAAAATAAAAAAATAAGTACCTACATAATAATAAAACTATTAACATTTTTAATAAAAAAAATATCTCCGTCTATGGGCGGTAAATCAAATAGGTCGTGACCACAAAGCACGTATCTTCTAGAGACCCCACGCCAATGTTAAACTTTTAAACCAAATTAGCGCCACCTTGTGTTTGGAGCTGGAACTAAAGTGACAATTGACAGATGGCGGTAAATTCAAATTGTAATTTTTAGGAGTAGGTAGTAGTTTTAAATGATTTCCACATAAATTATTTTATAAAATAAAGTATGGAACTAGTAAGTTCGAAACTTTTATTTTACAAAATAATTTAGGTCGATAATACCAAATTTGAGGAATTAATTTGTTATAAGGGGTCTGATGTGGAGAGTTGGTTCTGCATATTATTATTATTAAATAAATATAAGATATATCAATAAATAATAAAATAAAACATTCTTAAAATATGTTTATTAATAACTTAAATAAATATTATTAGATAAAAATAAAAACAAATAATAATACATATTTAACGAATACTTACTTGGAGCAAATAGATATATAATCTCAAATCTTTAAAATACCTATCAATAATTTAAATGTGAAGTAGAGACTAGGATATTAGATTTTATTTTAACACTAAAGTTATATATTTTATAAATGTCTTTTTAACAGGACAAATGTAATATAGGTATTGTATTAAAAGGTGAATCCTTTTAACTATTCATTCAATAATAAATAGGTATTTTCCTTCCAAATACAGATGGTGGTATTACTCTCTTAGGTGAAAAATGATTTCGGAATCTAGTCCAGTGATAAATTGATTATCAATTAGTTGTTGTACTCGTTTGTCTTTTTATGATGCAGATGCATGATGAATCAATGAAGTTTTTCTCGAAGTTTTCAACGTAGCACCAAAATTATTGCAAAACACAGTAGAAAATAGAAAAACGAAACATCACAATTTTGCAAATAACTAAGACGAAACTATAAACATAAACCAAAAGCCAAAGCCAACAAAAAATCACTAAAATCAGACGGAAAAATGAAACTAACCAAAAACATAAATAAATACACGTCACATCTTTGGAGTCTTTGGTTAAGTTTTTCTCCCATAAAGCTTAAAAATGGAGTAAGAAATCATAATTTCACCAGTAGCCCCACCTAGAGTTTGGAGCAAATAGCATAAAAAATGTCAGTTGTCGGTTTTGACCTTGGTCATTCACGTGGAACCTCTATGTGCTTTGTGGTCGTGACTTCCGACAAGCAACCTGTAGTTTCCTACACCAATATTTTTCGAGTAAAATTAAAAAACATCGATATTGGATAAAAAAACATCGATGTTAAATGAAAACATCGCATAAAAAAACATCGATAAAAATATCGATAATCGAAAGAGAAAAATCGATGTTTTTTTAACATCGATACATCGTGCGCATCCCTACCACAGACAGCAATCTATATAAATTTTTACAGCATTGATCACATGTAATTTAAAATTTTTCTTCGCCTTTTTAAACTTTCAATTTTTTTTTATTAAATTTTAAATATTGTAAAGATGCTTATAACTCTAATATTTAATATCCGTATCAAAAAAAAGTAACACGTTTATATCGATGAAAACGATAAGAAATGTATTTACTTGTTTCTCTGTCTCTGTCTGTACCAGTGCTTTTGTGTTTGCTATTTCAACAATCGCAAATCACAAATTGAAATTGATGAAATAAAAATAAACACCCATATTTAAAAAGTAAAGGTTTTGTGTATTTCCTCGTCCTCGGACTCCAAATATATTCAAAAATGAATGTTATATCAGCAATTAAGGCTTACATTGTAAAAATGACATCGGAAAGTGAACCGGGAATGAAAATATTGCTAATGGATAAAGAAACTACAAGCGTTATAAGTATGGTATACGGACAATCTGAAATCCAACAAAAAGAAGTATTTCTGCTAGAACGAATAGATTCACCTAATTTTGCAAATTCCACGGGTCTACGATACCTCAAATGTTTAGTATTCGTAAGGCCTACCCAACAAAACATCACAGCACTGTGCAATGAACTCCGCAACCCTAAATATGGAGCTTACTATATTTATTTTAGTAATATAATAGCGAAAGCCGATATAAAAATTCTTGCTGAACATGATGAGCATGAGGTTGTGAAGGAAGTACAGGAATTGTATATGGATTATTTGGCTGTAAATCCACATTTGTTTTCGATTGGATTGAGTACTTGTTTCTTGAATTTAAATTGGAATCCGTCGGCATTGCAAAGAACTGTACAAGGTATCATATCTGTCTTATTATCGCTTAAAAAATGTCCAGTTATCCGCTACCAAGCCAATTCTAATGTCTGTAAAGATTTAGGAACTAGAATAGATGAAATAATCAGCAAAGAATCTTCATTATTCGCATTTAGCCAAAGTAATAATTCACTATTATTAATTTTGGATCGCAGAGATGATCCTATAACGCCTTTATTGAACCAGTGGACCTACCAAGCGATGGTACATGAACTTCTTACTATAAACAATAACAGAGTTAATCTATCTGATATAAATGGCATACCAAAAGAGTTATCTGAAGTTGTACTATCTGTAGAACAAGACACGTTTTATGCTAAGAATATATTTATGAATTATGGTGAAATCGGTACCAACATCAAAGAATTAATGGATCAATTCCAAGCCAAAGCCAAAAGCCATCAAAAAATCGAATCAATAGCTGATATGAAAAGTTTTGTGGAGTCTTATCCCCAATTTAAGAAACTATCAGGGAACGTGACAAAGCACGTTACAGTTGTAGGCGAATTAAACACCATGGTTAACAAATTCAATTTACTAGACATGTCTGAAGTTGAACAAGAGCTTGCTTCGCAAAATAACGACCATTACAGTCATTTACAGAGCGTTAAAAAGCTATTGAACAATGAGAAAATCCGTGATATCGATGCCACGAAACTAGTCATGCTGTATGCCTTGCGATACCAAAATCACAACAATAATGATTTGACAGGTTTAATTGACCTGCTGAAGCGACGAGGCATAACAGCAAGGTTCTTAAAGAACATCGTTAATATAATAGAATACGCCGGTTCTCACGCTAGACAAAGCGACCTATTTAACGTAGAAAATGCTGTCAAAATAACCAAACGATTCATCAAAGGATTGAGTGGCGTTGATAACGTTTACACCCAACACAAGCCTTTGCTACACGAAACTTTGGAAGATCTAGTAAAAGGCAGGCTGAGAGATCACCTGTACCCTTATCTAGGGGGCCACGGAAGCGGACGGCAACAAGACATAATCGTTTTTATCGTAGGCGGGGCAACTTATGAGGAATCCTTAACTGTGCATTCCATAAATAGGAATAATCCGAACTTTAACATTCTATTAGGTGGCACTACCGTTCACAATTCCGCTAGTTTCTTGCAAGAAGTTGATCAGGCTACTAAGAATGTCCCAAGGAAGCATACCAGGACGATCAGGAATATTCAGTTTGATTAAAACAAGCATTCCTTGCATAATTATTTATTTTGTAAAATATATTGATGTTGTATAATATTTATTGTTAATTATTTAAATATAATTTTATCAAGCAGATTGGAAAATTCATCTTTTTTTATGAAGGGTGGACAAACGAAAATTTTTGTTGAACTAATACCAACAATTTTTTATAAAAACAATTAGATTCCGTTTGGATTTGTTTCGAGCCCGGTGCTTTTCTATTTAATAAAACGATATAACAATAAAAAAACTATTTATTCATATATTTATTTATTAGATAAAATACTACTTCCTTATAAAAGTGGAAAAATATCACATTTTGGTTAAGGGTTGTAAACCAAGAATAGTCATTCCGTTCTTCAAAACTTGTCTGGCAGTATTGAACAATAAAAGCCTTTGGGCTGCTACATCATCAGGCATACCCTTCACTTGCAACGTTTTAAATGCTTTATTGATGTGGTTACTAGAAAAAAATAGACTCAAAATCATGTGTTTTCGGTTTTCTAATGTTAATGTTACACACTCACCACAAATCGAACAGATATTTCACCAATACGAAGGCTTCCAACTGTTCATTTGCTGTATACAAAACATCATGGAATTTAGCCATTTCCTTCATCAGATTGACAGCCTCCGGTTCGAACAACAATAGGGGTTGGCATTTATTAGCCGCCATAATCCCCGCGTTTTTTTCTAAATTGTATAAACGACAATGCGCATATTGCAGCTTTACGCCCGTGTCACCTTGCACCTGCAATTCACATTTGAATCGATCAATGTATATCAATCTTTTACAAAGGGCAAAACTAAAACAGTTTGACCACCGTTTATTACCTGTAATATCTTATTCCAATCAAAATCGTAATCTTTCTGTCTTCTTCGTTTGAGATCGTTTATAATTACGCAGGATATTCCTAAGATGTCCGAAGTTTCATCATCATTAATCGATGTCTTCGTAGCTTAAGAAATTAAGTATAAAAATGTGTTTAACTGTGTTATACAGGTACGGAATTTTCAACACGAATAGTATACCTTACACTGAGTTAAACAAAGTTTAATAGGAACATGCACTTAACAGAGAGAGACCGCTGTAAACGAGCATCGATAACATCAATTTCTGCTCATCCCAATGCTTACATGAAACACAAATGTATGCATGAGGAACAAGAGTAGTCTCTGCCTGATAAATAGATATAGTCCTTCCATTATCAATTGCAGAACACAGTTATGTGGGGAATCATCAATATTTAATATATACGCACGGCACTTATGCCAAATTTAGAAACGAAAAATGTTTACTCCCCTTATACAATGCGGTAAATATTAAACGAACGGTCAGTCCACGTGTACTTGATATATATGTGTCAAAATCCATCATCTCCGTTGTTTACCAATTTAAACATCGAATCGTAAACTTAAATGCACTGTATTGGCCGAAGGTTTACGGAGGGCAGGAGTGTTCGAAAATATTCCTGCGATATCAGTGGAGTACTGTCGTGCGGTGTGTGTATAAACAAATTGGTAATAATAATGTTATAAGACAGAACTCTAAACATTCTTATTGCACCAGAGGAAATTATGATATATCTTTACCTAATTACAGATTAACCAAACTTCATGATTCTTATAGATATATCAGCATTAAACTGTACAATTCCCTACCTCGTGCTTATAAAAACTCATCTTTTAATTTATTTAAAATAAGAATTCGCAAATGTTTGTCGAGTCACTGCTTTTATTCCATTGACGAATTCTTATCACATGTGTCCATCTGTGCATGTGAGTAATGTGTAAACCTTTTTGGTGAATATACCTTTTTAATTGTTATCTTTTTAATTATATTTTAATATGTTGTGTATGTGTATCTATATATTTTTTTGTCTATATTTTTTTCAATTGTAACTGTATTTTCTATATCTACCTATATTTTTTTTTTTATACTTTTAACATTGACACACGTAAAATATTTATTTTTATTTTACATCAATAAATATCTATCTATCTATCTATGTGCATTTTCCTATTATTCCTTGGTATAGTTTTCTTGTTGAAAATTCTGATCAGAACATGAGTAAGTGCCTTACTTGGGGACTCAATCTGTTTCTTCGCCATAATGTCCTTGCACTCGTCCAGGATATCTTTCAAGAAAATTGCACTGCCCTTCCTTGAACTCATGCCTTTGACCCTACCAAATTTTACGTGCACTATCCTATTGGCCCAAGGTAAGTCCATTTTGTATAAAATGTTTTTTAGAGCATAAAAGTGATCGCTTTGACTATTGTCAACTACATAGTACATCCGGTCGAAGTTATATCGTTTGTATCTGTCGAGAGCTGCTGCGATATCTCGTGTGAGATAGAGACTGGATCCGTCGCTTTTTAAAACTGTCACTTGCCTGTCGCCTGCAGATTATTTGATAAGGGTATGGTTTATTAAATAGCTAATGTGGGCGTACAAGGGGACAAGTCAAATGATTTATGCCTATTTGACTCAAAATATAAACTTTACTTGAAGAATTAATAAGAGATGGTATATTGCAATGATCAGTTTTAGACCCTTTATTGTTTATTATTTATATCAATGATTTAGAAAACTATATGTATTTTTTTTACATAAAATTACATCCAATTCTGAACTATTAAATATAATACTGCTCAATGTAAATTAAAGATGCACTAAAATAATTACGACGCCACTGACAGTTCGGCAATTTTCGGAAAATTAGTCGCATAGTTCACACCGGTCTTCTAAAGACATATTTTACATGTTCATCTCTATTTGTTAAACTTTTTGTCTTTACTTTTATTTTATTATAACTCAGTTTGTATCGCAGGTATTAAGTTTATAACTCCTTTTAATGTTGTCAATTGTTTTATATTTATTATGAAACTTTGTTATAAAATTCTATAAAATGGGTTTTGATTCATAAACAAATAAAAAAATGAGCCTGTGTCGATCAAAGACTGTTCTTTGTGCAGCCATCTTAAGTCAAAGTACTGGGTGTGTAAACAGTCACCATGACATAAGTATTAGAATAAATAATGTATAGTTAACCCTTTTTTGACTTAACCCCTTTTACGCACATGATAAAACTATTGTATTTTAATATTTAGATTGAAATATTACAAACTAAAATTTTACCTATTTGAGCGGCCTCTTTACCCTCCTTATCTTTGTGAATGATATTCTTCGTCCTCAAAAGTTCCACAACATCTTTAATATCTTTAGAACTGTAATCAGACTCATAGTGATACTCGTCAAATTCGATGCCCAGTCGCTTGTATGTATCAATAAGTTCGTTTTTGGAAAAATTCATGAAATTTCTCCAATAATTTAGTTCATCTTCTGAACCGCTTTCCAAATTTGAAAATATATCTTTGGCTTTGTTCAATATCTGTGGATCTTTTTCCGCTAAACTGTTTGCATGAACATAACATTGGTACAGTAATTTTAAAGGATTTTTTTCAATATCCTCTATACTGTAATTTAATTCGTTTACTCCTACTTTAATAAACCCATACTGCGTACCCCAGTTGCCTATATAATTCAATTTTGTTACTTGATTTTTTAAAAACTTGTTTAAATTCCCAATAAAGTTACCGATAATTGTGGACCTTAAATGACCGTAATGAAAAGGTTTTGCTATATTAGGCGAACTATATTCAACTACGACGTTTTTCGGTTTGAAATTGAGATCAGCTTGAGCGCAATTTTCCATAACATCTTTCATAAAAATTACTTTATCAATCTCGAATGCTATTTTACGATTAGCCCTATCCCTAACCAACTGTATGTTCTTGATGATATCGTCGGGCTCTATTTTTAATATTTCCGTCACATTAGTTACGCCTAGTTGACTTTCTAATACGTTCATAGGCAAATTCAATTCTATTTTATCATTTTCGACGGTGTTTCCTATTTGTATCAGGGGCTGTAATTCTATCGGGGATAGTTTTGTTGTCTTGTGAAGAGATTCTATTACCTGTAAAGTAGAAAAGTAAGTAAAACATAAATTAAATTATATTTGGATGAATTACTTTTCTACCTAGGTATAACTTTAATTTTGTTGACATATTTTGACAAACATAAAAACCGATTCATTTCCTTGGAACGTGATATTTTGAGGTTATATAATTCATAAATATGTCATTTTGACAGATGTAAATAACGGTTATAAATAGGATTCGGATTACAATGTTGTCGTTTTTCTTTCAAACAATAATGACGTCATGCAAAAGTGCTCTTATGATTGGTCAAAATCAAGGTATGGTTACGTCATGCTGTCATTTGTCATTGAGCACATGTCATTTAGACAGGTCTTGTGTCAGTGAGGGTGCTTTAAAGATAAAAAGTCCGAATTGTTATTAGAATTACAATTCGTTTTTAACACTTCTAGATAAATTTAAACCAAATAACCCTAATTTAATGCGGTAATTCATACATAAAGAGATAACTGTAAGTTTCGAAGTACAAAATGGCTTTACAAGCTGGTCATAAACTCGGTAAGGCTCTACTGCAAAAAAATCAGCTATGGAACGTTTCGAAAAATATAGAAAAGTGTCTGGTTAAACAGTACGCTTCCGCGGAATTGGAAAACGAAAGACCAAAAAATAAAGTAACTGAAATGCCTCCTATGAACGAGCCAGTAAAAGGATTACCTAGACCTGTATATGCGAGTTTTAAAGAAGAGGACCAAAAAACTAAAGTTACCATATTATCAAACGGACTGACAGTAGCTTCGGAAAACAGATTCGGTGCCTTTTGTACTGTTGGTGTAGTAATAGATTCTGGATCAAGGTATGAAGTCGCTTATCCGAGTGGCATATCCCATTTCCTCGAAAAGTTAGCTTTTAATTCAACCAAACAGTTTCCTAATAAAGACGAAATGATTAACAATTTAGAAAAGCACGGCGGCATTTGCGATAGTCAAGCTTCTAGGGATACTTTCATTTATGCAGCATCTGCTTATACTTCAGGTAAAATTTGCAATTATAAGCTTCAAATGCTTTTAAAGTCTGTTTGCTAGCAAAAGAACTTCGATAAAAAATTAATGTCTTAAGGACTGATTCCACCGTTGTGTTAAACAAAGTTGAAAATGACATTTTTACATCAATAATGTCATTTTAATCTCGTTTAACACAATGGTGGAATCGGCCCTAAATAAAATAAAAATTCAGTTTAAATGAAGTACTCATAGGAAGTAATGTAAATTCTATATTTAATAATAAAATAAAAGTGCATAAAAATATTATTGCATAAAAAAATATGTAAATAAAATATTGGTAATATTTCTAAACAAAAAAATTGTGAGAAAAAGGCAATATTATTTATTTATTTACGAGTCATTAAAACAATACAATTACAGATAATACATATCACATTCATTAAATAGTAATAAAATCCTAATTATTGAAAATATATACATATTAAAAACAAATTAAAATCTAACATCTATTCCTCACATATAGTTAAATGGTTTGAAAATTATGATGGAGAAATAATCCATAATAAAATTAATAATATCCATAAGTAAAGTTTTAATGTCTTAAAGAAAAAGAATGGTTTTGTCAATAAAAATTTTAAAGTGTTTATGTCCCTTTTTTTAATATTAATAAACTGACTGCATCAGAATATGGAAATTATGTTCAATTAATAAAAATATAATTAACCAATCATACCAAAGACATTTTATTTGTAGTAGTATTTATTGATTTTATTTATTAATTATCTAGGTGCTATATTTAGGAAGTAAACTGCACTATGTCGACATAGTGTAGTTTTGTAAAAAAAGTTATATTTTTAAACTCAGCTTGAGACCTTTCCAGGGGGATACTACACCATGTATTAGTGATGCAATAATAAAAGCCAAAAAAATATAGCACTATGTTCAATAAACTTACGAGGTAACCAGCACCATGTAACTTTCATGTTAATTATATTATCCATTGAGGCATGTTGGCGGTATATGACACTATGTCATAGAAAATTTGCTATCAGAACATATTTTTTAATCAACTCCCTGATTTCATTAAATCTGAAAAGAAATATGAACCTTTTAAAAGAAAACTTAAAAGCTATTTAGTAGATTCATGTTTTTATAATTTATCTGAATACCACCATATTTTAAGGTAAATGTTTTTCTAATTGTATATTTTTAATGTGCATGTCTTAGATATGTATATATACATTTTTTTTGCATACTGTACCTATATTTATTTGTATTTTAATATTTTTTATTCATATATATTATGACTTATCCTATATCATGTAAGTAACATGATCCTAAAGGACAAATAAACTATTATTATTATTATTATTATTATGTCATAAAACCAACAATTTATGCACATTAAAAAATTTATAAATATTGTGACAAAAATTGGCTCTAATTGCATTGTTTGTCAAAATATAATGTATGTAATTATGGGACACAAAATGTACCCAAACAACATTTAATCTGCTCTATTGAAAAGTTGAATAGAATGACAGTGCAGTTTAGATTCAAGGTATAAACCACCCTAACCTAAAATACCATATCTTATCAATGATTCTATAAATGATTTATATATATCATCAGCAAAGAAAGCAATATCCACACCCAAAAAAGAATTTAAGTAAATGATAAACAAAATCGGTCCTAAGGCAGTTTTCCGAGGTATTCCAATAAATATACCTGTCTTTCACTGAGTATGTCATTTAGTTTAACAAGTTGATATGTATTTTAGATAGCTCTTCAATAACGCTAACACAGTTCTCCTGACTATAATGTTCCAATGTATATAGTAAGCTATATGGGGAACCGTGTCGAATGCCTTTGCCAGGTCAATAAACATGTTGTCAATATCCAAGTTTTTTATTAATCTTATACCATTAGCATCATGTATTTCACTAAAATTAGCAATTTTTTGTTTATTCAGTTTGGAATTAACAGTTTTCCAGACAATTTTTTGATTTTGTTGCATATTTTTGTTTGCTAAATTTTCTTGAAAAAATTGCTTTTTGATTTATTAATTTTTTGTGCATCCCTTTTTTTTTCATTTTGTATCGTTCCAATATATGACTATCAGAAACATTTTTTGTGAGCCAATACATATTTTTTAAATTCATTCATTCATTAAATTCATTATTTACCCATTTTGTACTACGTCTGTTTTCAAAGCAATTTTTATTTACCATTGGACAAGTCTGATTTACATGGTAGGAAATTATGTTCAAAAATGTATTATAAATCTCATCAATATCCAATGGAGCTTCAAAAACAAGTGATAAAACTTCTGTGACATTTTCAAGGATAGGCTACATAAATTTGTGTATGAAGTATTTCTAAACAGTTTTCATGTTATTTTCTTTTTGAGAATGCGTAGAGTGATTTAGCGTTATATTAAGCCCATAGTGCTCACCTAAATAAGAGTCTTGTACGATTTCTTTGTAATCGTAACTACAATTTGTTAGATAATAATCTATTTTTGATTTAGAAATTTTCCCATTTTTGGGACACTCTGGTCGGTTCTACATTTTGACATTGTAAATTAAAACTCTCCATTACATTCATTAACAGCTTTTTCACGACTTTCAATTAAAAAATTTATATTAAAATTTAGACATACCATTACACTATCATAAGAATTGTTTAGAACAGTTAAAACGTCACACATTTTATGTAAAAATAATTCAGTAGAACTGTCAGGCGATCTATATATACATATTATACAACATTTTATATTATTTAGGCTAAATGTAATTCCACAACATTCAAACCGACACTCTTCAGAGAAACTTTTAATAAAAATTCGTTTTTTAAAATTTAAGGAATTTTTGACAAAAATAACAGTGCCTCCATCTATTTTAATTTTGCGGTAATATCCATCAGCTACAATAAAATCTTTAAAAACTATATTCTTTATCGATTCTTCATTACACCACGTTTCTGGTACACAAAGTATTTCTGGACTTACAAATTCTAAACGATTTGTTTTGTTGTTCATAGATTGAGCATTAACATAAATAATTTTAAATGTATTTGTTTTAGAGACAATAATTTTGTTATTCGTTCAGGGTTCAGAGCTTGCCAAAAATTCTCATTATTTAATTTTTCAATTTGAGTACTATCTTTATTTGAACTAGCAGAATCATTACAGTTAAGATAAGAATTTTCAAGAAAATGTTCATCACAATCTTACGATTTGATGAAGACTATCCGTTTCCATATCATCAGAGAGGATACTAATATTACTTAGAATAATAATATTTTTGTTGTTTATAATATCGTTTCAGCCACCGGCGGCCTGGTCCCCAATTAACAAAAACTACATCATTTGGGCTCTTTTCTAAACATATTTTATTTTTAAGTAAAAATGACAATTTAAAATAATTTATTTTATACCCTTTCTCATTACTAACATTTAAAAAAAGAAAAATAATTATGTTGGTACCAATCGACATAGTTTAAGAAATCTTCTAGTTTAGAATTAAATTTAATAGTCTGATTGATATTTGTCTTAAGAAGAGGTGTCGATAAGAATATAATATTTGTATGAGTACATTGTTTTAATTTATAATTAATACTCCTACTGCTAGGATACATATTTTTGAGATGTCGTTTTTTCCTCCCATAATAATTACATAATCGAGGTCAATGTTCTTGTGAGATTTGCAATGTCTTCTATTACTTAATCAAGTTGTGTCCCTGGTTTTAGAATAATCTCGACTGATGTATTATCTTGTTGGGTTGGTGTGGGTTCTGAGGAGTTTTAACTATGAAACTATGAGACTCTTAACAACTTTTATTAATTTAAAAAAACAGAAAATACAGTTTAAAAACTTTACGCCGGGTTCAAAGCTCATCGACCCTTTCTCATCGCTTGCTTCGAACCGACTGACCTAGTGATGTAAGAATACGTATCCAAAAATCCTTTGAATCCGAATAGTAAAAGGATCCGGATATTCCGGAATCAATGTGTAAATTCGAATACGGATTCGGAATCAAAAAGGACAGAAACAAAATCTGAAATCCGAATACACGAATCGAATGCTTCATGTACTGTGTTCATAACAGAGCCGATTGCGAGATTTGCGGGTGGCAACCGATGCGAAACCGGAATCGCCCTAACTAGCCTTGTTGCAATTCGTAGTCAGTTAGTCGGCATGTACTAAACATATTAATGGTTACAAAGTTGTATAAATATAAATAATATTCAGTGAATGAGAAATATTATTTCTGATATTATTATAAAAACAAAATATTTGAGATTTTCTTGAGTTTATTATTCTAAAACATTAAAAGCTTCTGCTACTTCACTCTCAAACAAATTCTGCTCTCAGAGTAAGTCTAAGATTCTGCTAGGGTTGGCAACACTGCCCGGTTCCGATTCCCCATATCGCGGTGTATTTACGGTTGCGTATTATTATGACTTCTCACATATGGAATATGGATACGTATCCGCACGATGAATCCGAATATCTCTTGGTTCCGAATACGTATTATCCGAATACTAAAAAGATACAGATATTTACAACACTAGACTGACCGTCCCACGATTCCGCCGTTGTCGCGCACACGCGCACCTTTGGAACTGAAATGCCAGTGGCGGCTCACTGGGTACCACTTCATTGTCCAAATTATTTTCTAAGTTCCCTGTCCAAACCTCTTCCAGTTTCATCTGATAAAATTAGAACCCTCTTTTCGTTTTTTACATTTTTTGTTATATCATTGAGCTTGCTTTGGAGATTGTTATCTTTAAAGTTAATGTTAAGGTTTCTCAATTTAAGTGCATCTTGTTGTCTTTGGTTAAGTTTTCAATATATTTAGTGAGTTCATTGTTTTTATCTTTTAGTTCAGTAAACTATATATATTTTGCCTCATCTATAACTTTATTAAATACCAAAATAAATGTATTAGTAGCAGTTTCCAGATTATAATCATTCATTATGATTGTCCAATCCTGATTATTCAGTAGTTTTAATTTATTTAGATCCGTTTTGAATATACAATTAACTTTTATTATTCTTTTTCGTAATTAATTTAATTTTTCGTTAGTTCGTATTGCTAGCAAACAGTATAGACAATAAAATAATTATTTTTTTCTTGTTAAGACAATTTTTCAAATACTAAGTCAACTTGCAGGTCTGAGTGACATAATTCAAATCCTAGCCGAAGCCACTATAAGACCGCAAATCACAGATGAAGAGCTGCTACTAGCGCGACAAGCCATCAATTTCGAACTGGAGACCCTCAACATGCGTCCCGAACAAGAAACCATCCTCATGGACATGATACACGCGGCCGCGTACAGCGACAACACTCTAGGACTTCCGAAGCTGTGTCCGGCAGGTAACGTCGAAAAAATCGACAGAAACATGTTGATGGACTACTTAAGCAACCACTATTCTCCAAAAAGGATTGTCGTAGCTGGTGTAGGAGTCGAGCATATGCAGCTGGTCGATGTGGTTCAGAAATATTTCGTAGACATTAACCCAATTTGGGGCAAGGAAGGAAAAATAGCCTGCGATGATAGTATAGCTCAATACACCGGTGGATTTGTGCATGAAGAATGCGAGATACCGCAATTCGCTTCCGCTGGTCTTCCGGTTCTCTCCCACGTAGTTATTGGCCTGGAAAGCTGTTCGCATCAAGACCAAGACTTTATTCCTATGTGCGTACTTAATATAATGATGGGTGGCGGGGGTTCGTTCAGCGCAGGGGGCCCCGGAAAGGGCATGTACACGAGATTGTATATAAACGTGTTGAACAGGTACCATTGGATGTACAGCGCGACAGCTTGCAATCACGCTTACAGCGATACCGGGCTGTTTTGCATCCACGCCAGTGCGCCCCCCACGCATTTACGCGACATGGTTGAAGTGATAGTCAAAGAAATGGTAGCTATGCCGAAAAATATCAGTCACGAGGAGCTGAGACGGGCTAAAACGCAATTGCAATCGATGCTGTTGATGAATTTGGAATCTAGGCCGGTGATGTTCGAAGATATCGGCAGACAAGTGCTCGCTTCGGGCCAGAGGAAGAGACCACGATATTTTATAGATGAAATCGAGAAGGTGACCCAAGACGACATCGTCAGAGTGGCCAAGAGGTTGTTGAGTTCGCAACCGGCAGTCGCGGCGAGAGGGGATCTGAGGAAAATGCCTTCTTTGGAATACATACAAGCCGGTTTGATCAGCAGGGATGGTAGATTACCTAGCGGGAAAAAATTATCGTTGTTTAGGTAGATCTGTTGAATGGATTTAGTTTTTTTTTAACGCAAGATTCAAAAACGCGTCTATTGTGGTTGTTTTGATGTAGGGATGTTTGGATTTGATTGTACATACATCGATTCTAGTTAGACATCACCCATAATTATCGCTCTGTGATCGTGATAAGTCAAAGTTTGTACGAAAATGTTGCTGAATGTACATTCAAGTTCGAACCAACCTGTATGTATGTTCCTATAAAACGTCTTCAAATTATTGAACAATCAATTTTGTTACCAAATATTTTCTTTTGACTATTTTTAAGTAGAAATTCAAATTGTCGAATAAATAGAGATGGAATCCATACATTTTTTACCGCACGTGTTTGTTCCTTATTAACGTGAGTCAAAATGGAAGATTTTTTTTTGAGATTCTTTCGAATTGGTTTTTATGTGAGAGGATCCGTAAAGTTCTGTCCGTTTATTATCTAAATTTTACGGAAAATATTTTATCGGGAAGTAAGATGGTATTTTCTCAGTATGTTCAATATTTCCATTTCATTATTTGAAGCATATGAGTCTTTTTAAATGTAATAAATTATTGTAATAATAAATAATTTTTGTAAATAGTACATGGTTGTTTATTATTTATTCCTGGTTTCTTAAAATCGACCATGTCACTTTTTATTAACTTAGAACAGGGTTGTCAGATCGTTAAGTTCGAATTCTTCAGTCAATATTTAAAAATTCCCCAAATTTAGGACTTATACATTTTTCGCAGATACCGACTGGTCTTTCATATCAAGCTGTGAAGACGTCAATGTTAGTGAACAACGCATTCACAATATTATTGTAGAGGGTATTGCCAAATTCGTACCCAGAAAACGTATTAGAAACAGCAAATATCCTGGTTGGTTCGACGGCACACTAAGAAAAACTCATATCGGAGAAAAACAAACTTTACCAAAAATTTAAAAGGACACAACACGCAGATAACTTACTCCGATAAACGACCTGAAGTCAAATACAGAACAGATCTCTGTTATTTAACATTCATAAAAAACTCTGAACAACTGATCCCTTAGAATGTAAAGTACTTTTGGTCATTCATTAAAAACCTTCAAAAAGACTGGCCTACCTTACCTGATGAAATACAACAATCCTGAACTAAAAGTGACCCCTCAGATATAGCCAAAATGCTTTCGCAAATCATTTTCAAACGTGTTACACAAAAAAAGACAATACCGATTTTACTTCAGTTCCATTATTTTATTTTTATCGAAACTCTCTTCATACATTTATAGAAGAAGTAGATGCAACCAAAAATGCATGTCCTGACGGTATACCACCATCCGTATTAAAGGGCTGCTGCGACTCACTCTCTTTGTCTTTAAGTCTAATTTTTCAAAAATCGTTCTATAGTGGACTGTTTCCTACTGTTAGGAAATTCTCTAACTTGGAGTCAATTTACAAAGAAGGGAGACAAAACTGACAAAAAATTATCGAGGTATTTTTATAATCTCTACGATAGCTAAATTATTTGAATCCATCCTGACTGACGAGGTATTTGCCACATAAAAATTGCATTTCTCCATGTCAACAACTGCAACAAATCTTGGCGTGTATCAAGAGTACTTACTCTCATCTCCCGAAGCTGGTCATCAGGTTGACGCTATCTATACAGACTTGTCTAAATCTTTTGACAGTCTTTGCCATGAACTGCTTCTTAAAAACCTAGCAGACATTGGTATTTCGGGTAATTACCTTAATTGGTTCAACTTTTACCTAAGTTATCGCTCTCAGCTAGCCTGTTACTGTGCAGAACTTGGTCTCTAGTGAAGTATCAGTGACATCAGGTGTTCTACAAGGATTGTGGAAATAATAAAAATAGGACAGGGCCAATATGAGTATTGGCCCTGTCCTATTTTTATTATTTTTGAACGACGCAATAGATCGTTTTCAAAACAGTAACTACCTGTTATTTGCAGACGACCTTGTTTTTTAGTATAGAGACTATATAGTGACAACTTAGCCTTACAATAGGATCTCGATTGCTTCACCATGTGGTGCAAACTTCAAAAGATCTCCCAATCCTATTCTGAACTCTTACAAGGTCGATAATGTGACATTAAAAAATTCCTCTTCAGTAAACCATCTCGGCATCATCTTTGAAACATTTAACTTACATATCGACTATTGTGTGCAAAGCCTTTAGAATGCGTGGTTTTATTTAACGTCACTCACATCACATAAATTACACCAAGGCTATTACATCCCTATACAACTGTTTAGTCAGAAGCATTCTAGAATACTGTTCTATAATCTGGCTACCTAATTACACCTGTCACATAAATAGGATAGAAAGGTTACAGCGCAAATTCATTAAATATCAAATTTCGATTTTCATATCAAGATATTTGCTATATAATGAGAATAATGCTTTGCGGTCTACACAACCTAGAAGATAGAATTAAACAATATCTTCTTCTATTCCTTTTTATGCAGTTGAATGGGACGATGTTTTGCGATTCCCTGTTAAAGCAAATCAACTTTCTGGTGTCTACCAGGCGGACATGATATACCTCCCTATTTCAAATAAGAAGACATAATAAAATAATAATACTCTCCCTAATTCACCCCCTTACGAGTGAATTTCAACCCCTGAAGTCGACTGAACGACTTATTGTGTAGGGGAAGGGACGGCTATTATTATTATTTGCAGTGGCGCTCCGGGGCGACTTAAGGATGATTGATGGTGCCATTTGACTTACAGGTGAGGAAAACCTCACCCACCATCATAAACAACCAATAAACCAACAATGGACAGAACCCTTTTTATTGATCGATTTCACCAAAATTGTAATAAATTCTTTTCTGATTGTGCTATTTTTAATATTAACATTCTTACCAATTTATTTTCTATAAAGTATTATTGAAATAAATGAATTTAATTCGGAATTAAAATGTGTTCAGTAAGAAGCGGCCTTTGAATGTAAGTATCTACATCTCCAAGACCTTATGGATCACACGAGGAATTCAAACTTTATTGATACAGCCCACGAATAGTATTGGGTCAGATTTTATATATGGTGTGATATATTGGTTAAGCCTGTACATCGGTGTGACCGCTACAGCTGTTTAAATCGCTTTAGACTTGGAAGTGTAAAATTTGGAAGGATTACAGAAAATAAGCATTCAATAAAATAAAAAAGCTTTTATTAAAATAAATTTAAATGATAAATAAATCAAACAACACCGCCCTCAATGTTTTTCATCCAAATTCCCGACTATAGGCTTCGGCCTCGTTTTGAAAATGATTTTATTCCTAACGATCGATTTGACTTCGTACTCTATCCGACCCTCGACGTTCTGCTTCTCGATCAGAGCGAACGGTTTCTCGATTTTCGCCTCCTTTCCGTAGATAAGATGGTGTCCGATAATCAGCAATGGTATCCCGGTTTTAGTAAAATGTAAATCGCCTATAAACTGCCCTTCGAAGTTCGATTCGGAATACGATTTCAGATCGCCCTGTAGCTCTACTATCGTCCATTCGTCCGGCTGGTTCGGTTTGGCGCTGAAACAACGGCAACGTGGTAAAAAATTCACTAGATTGCAGGAGCGCTAGTAGTTAACTTGTGGTTCAAAATGAACGAGAAAAAAAAACGGTTCGTTCAAAAGTATATTTGATAAAACTTTATTTTTACATAATTCAACTTAATATCTAAACCTCTTGAATAGAGGATGCTTATTCGTCAGGGTGCCGTGTTTTCTGTATTCGTAGTAAACAGCATCATCAGCTCCCGACATCGAACCCATATTTCCGGCCTTTCTGATCATTCCGGATCTGGGGCCACCTTCGCCAGGAACCCTTTCGTCCTCGCAATCTATATCACTAGCTGCCAGTACCTAAAAATGACATTTCCAAGATTGTAACGAGGTACAAATGGTAGCGCAACAATATTTACCTGCTGCAGCAACTGCCCCTGCTCATCTCTATTTTTATAAAACAAATCGGGTTCTTCATCCATACCAGCCAATTTAGTAATAACCTTGTAACTGTAACCTTGATTAACCAAAAACCTCTGCCTCTTTCTAGAATAGTTCATTTCCATTGTATCCTGCGAAACTAACGTGTAGAAAAAGGCGTTGTACTCCTCGGCCACGGCCCCCTTTTTAGCTCTGAGAATACGTCCCAATCTTTGCGCTTCCTGTCTACGAGAACCACCATGCGACGATATTTGAATCAGTACGTTGGCTTCCGGTAAATCAAATGAAGTATCGGCTACCTTACTAACAAAAATAGTGTTTACCTGTAAAAAAAGTATTTATTTACTAAAAATCGATTCAATATCGAAGAATCGATTACTCTGACATCCGTCAAACTTACTTTCGGATTGAATTTGAAATTCTGCAAAATCTGTATCCGCTCGCCTTGCGAAGTGGGACCATAAATGTAGGGTTTGTTCATTTTGATAGCGTAATGTTTTAGAGCGAAAACGTTATCCGAGAAAACGATGGTTTTGTCGCCTCGTCTTTCGTGATAGCGAATCAGGTATTGAGTGGCTCTGAATTTATTGGGATTCATTACGTATAATAGTAAACGTTTGCTCGTTTTGCACACCAGGTATTCCCTGTAGAATTCCGGTGTCATTGGACACCATACTTCGGCGCATTGGACTTTCGCTATGTAACCTAAAATTGTTAAATATAATAAATATTAACTGACATCTGTTAACCATATTTCGAGTTTTGTACTTTATGTTCCAGTGATATGGCAACCTAGAGATTCGACAGCACAAATTGAGATTGGTCCTCCATTTTGCTAAGCTCAAGTTTTCAATTTTTATAGGTTATATTACGAGTGCCATGTGTGTAATTAAATTGAATTTATATTTGAACGTTTTTTGAGTGTTTAAAACATTATAAATTGCTCTAGCAATACTCGTTTGAGTATAAGATCGACTGGAATCAGGGCTGTGTTCCGAAATATATTACGGTTACGACTCATGTCAGTAAATCAAGTATGGTTCGAATTTCGCTTTTTTTTAATTCTGTTCGCTTCAAACTGATTTAAACTGGTTTGAACTGAAATAAAAACATGTACATTTGGGCGTGTAGTGTCATACTTTTTTCCCAGAGTATTTACTATAATTTATTAAAAAAATGCAATTTAATAAAATTATACTTGAGGTTAAACAGAAAATATATTAAGGAAAATTAAAGATTTTCGTATTTGTTTTGTCCTCAACTGTTTGTCAAAATACTGCTTGTAGTACGACATAAGATTACAAAAAATGTACCAGAGATCAACATACCAAAAGAAAAAATTTAAAAGTTAAAGTTATTTATTATCTAAACTTAAAGAATGCAATTGCTTTTAGTTTTTATGTACAATACATTTGAACTAATGCCTTAAATTACTTAATTAGGTACTTACAAATTGCAATAACCCTTACTGTCTTAAATATCAATTATTTAATACTAAATATTTATTTAAACTTAAAAAAATTAAATTAATTTTAGTTTTTGTGTACAATACATTTGAACTACGGCCTTAAATCACTTAATTAGGTACTTTTTAATATATATCTGAACTTAAAAAATTGCAATTATTCTTAGTTTGTATTTTTAAACATTTGAGCTACTGTAATTTCCTTTCTTAATCTATTTTAATAAAAAATTAAATTCTGTATATTTAAACTACTGAGGATTATTTATCAGAAATAATTTTACATTTTAAATTAGGCAAATGTGCCAGTTTTTTTATGTACGGCACATTTGAACTACTGCATTAAATATCGGTTATTAATCCTAAATATTTATCTGAACTTTAAAATGCAATTACTTTCAGTTTTTATGTTCGAAACATTTGAACTACTGCAATTATATGCCTTCCATCAATTTAGTTGAATAAAAATTTTTATTCGGTATATTTGAGCTACTGACGCTTAATTTATAGCATTTTCCTTAAATGGTTTTTAAAAAATGTTCTTGAATATTTTCCTAAATTTTATTTTTACTTACTTTCATCGTATATTCACATATTTTGCATTTAGAAATATATATGAAACATAACTTTATTTTCTTTATATTGTTGTATTTTACATGTAAGCTTGGCAAAGTCGTCAACACTGCATCATTCGCATCGTCAACATTATGGTTTTGTCTTGTGTTAAAAATAAAATAGTTTTAAAAATTAAAGTGCCTGCTTTCAATTCAAGTCACTAGAAAAAAAAGTGAATCTATTTACACTCACAAAACCAACAGCCCACTAAAAGAAGAAATTGAAAATTTACATAATCCGGCTCGAAGGACCATGTAAATGATCTATTTCTTCTTTTAGTTGACTGTATTTGTTTTAAAAATAAAATAAATAGTTGTAAAAAGTAAAGTGTCTGCTTTTAATTCAAATAACTAGAAAAGAGGGGAATCTATTTTCAAAACAAATACAGTCCACTAATAGAAGGAATATATCATTTCATGGTCCTTAGAAATGGATTTTGCTACCTAGAAATCGGAAAATTCTGCAGGTTCCGGCAAAGTAGCAACAAATTTGAGTGACGAAAAATAAATATTGGTCTACACAAAAAACACCCCCTCCAATCCAATTTTGTGCATCAAAAATAGTTATAAATGACTTATCCTTAGGTTGTCATATCACTGATATATTCAAATAACTAACCTCTTTTTTGTAGCTCCAACCAATTGGCCTCATACAATTTGGGACCAATCAAAAAATTCAGATCGGCTATTTTGTCGTCTTCTCTAAGCAGCGTAGCCGTAAGTCCTAATTTACAATGTGACTGAACAAGCGTCAACACTCTTCTAAACATTTTCGCCGGGATGGTATGCACCTCGTCCAAAATCATGATGCCCCATTCCTGTTCTTGCAACCATTTCATTGTTTGTTCAGCTTCCCAAGATCTACGTTGGGTGTGCGTTATCATGGAGTAGGTTGTTACTAATACACTGCAGCCCTGTAATTACGTAAGACAGATATTATATTGTAGGGGATGGATTAGAATCAATACTTACCATGGGTTTATCTTTGGCTTCGGAAGTAAACCGACAGATCATGCTGTCATCGGCAGTCGACCACATTTTGAATTGCTGCTTCCATTGTTCGACGGACACGCCGGAGTTGCATAAAACCAACGCCCTCTTGCGAACGGTACAACAAGCCGTAACTCCTACTAGAGATTTTCCGGCGCCGCAAGGCAGTACTATAACACCCGATCTGGCTCTACCGTTTCCGAACATTTTTCTGAGACTTTTTTCTTGATAGGGTCTCAGCACGGCCGAGGGGCGCAGGTCTACGTTTATGTCCGGATTTACGGAGTCGTTTCTAAAAAGATACAATACATTTTACCATGGACTCAGAATAAAATAAGGTAGTATGTTTGTACAGATTTAGTGACTATGCTTTTTTACAAATTATCATGTATCATATGTAAACAATATTAATAGTGTGATAATTTGAAAACCAAATTTTTTTTTATAAATATTGTGAATTACCTACATTCAAATGAAAAATAGCGAAATTTTTTTTGTATAATAAAATTTTATGTTTAAACAGCATTTTTCTTCAAATTTGATCATTACATTTAAACAATCCTTTGGAGTCTAATGAAAAAAACTACTTGGAGAACCAAACCATCAAAAGTTTATATATTTCTTTTGCTTATCTGAGTTCTTGCATAATTTTACTCATATTTGTTAGTTCAAACTAACCTAAAATCGTACTCTGCCAGCAATGGGAACTCTAATTCTATACACCTCTTTTGTATCACCTCTATCTTTTCTTGATTGACTTCGAAAGATACTGTTTCTAAAGAATTATCCTCCTCGTCTTCTTCCACATCGATTTTTTCATAAAAACTACTGATATCATCAGGTACTGGCTGTGCATCGGCTGTAGAAGGTTCACCAATTGTTGGACCAGGCTTGGCGCCAAATGTGGGGACTGTTTTTTTGTCTTGTACCTGTTTAAAATGGAAAATATGACAATAAGCATAAATATTGGTGCAGGGTTGCAAAAAATATAAATTAAATATTAGTATAGAAAATAACTTTCTTATGCAATATTATGAAAAATTTCTACATAAGTAAAAACTGGGTAAATATACATATTAGTAGTACTTATTTTGTTTGTTAACTCATTAACACTTCTTTTTTGACTAATAAGATTATTTAAATCATTTTAACAAACAACAAAGATAGATTAGTAGGTAAATTATTGTGACCAGTATGTTCTGTTATTTATTATGAAATTTCATTTAAAAATATGATTGAAACAGTTTTAAACCTTACAACCCTGCATAACTGACTTACCTGCTTGATAAACTCTTCAGATTCATTCTCAACGTTTCTTCTCAATCTACATTCTTGAATAACAGGATCTTTCAACAGTTTTTGCAAAATTTCAGGAAAGGGACTCTCAACAAAGTATTTATTGTGCTTCAACACCAACTTAACTTTACCGTAAGACAATGTACACAATTTGATAAATTCGATAATGCCATCTGGGACGCTGGTTTTACTCAACCGTTTTAAATATTCTACGATATCATTAGTTTGCAGCCCGACGCTTACAGCAGCGTACAAAGAATATGCCGTTAATTTATATTCGTGTATGAATTCGGGGCGACAAACTGGTTCAGATATAGCGATTAAAAAATCGTGAGCATGTTTGTATACCGGAGAGAACGATTCTAAGAAAATATGGCCGTTTGGAGCTACCCATAAAGGCCGAGACGCATTATCGGGCTTCAAAATCATCTGCGAACGATAATCTTTCGCGCCGAATTCGTCCTCTTGGACAGACTGATCGTTTTTTTCAGCATCTCTGGCTGCCGCTCCTGGAATGTCGGCTTCCGCACCTTCTACGTCGTTCGTATCATCTTCCTCGTACGCGTATTCGACGTCTTCATCCTTCTTACGCTTTTTGGAAGCTTTTGCTTCCGATTTACTGGTAGCTGCACGTTTTGGGGGTCCCATTTTGATTAAATTGAACGGGTTTTTCACTTAAAAGAAGATTAAAACGTTTTAAAGTACTTACAGTTTAATAAAAATGGACATTATTTCGATAGTTTTATTTTGAAAATTTCGAATTTAACAACGCACCAAACACACTTCTCTCCTCGTCAGTCAAGTTTGTAATAATTTATTTTTTATTTATATTTATTTTTATTAGTCATTACGGTCATACGTCAAATTAAATGCCAAAACAAATTGTCGTGTCACTGAGTGAGTTTGGCAATTCACGCTCCTAGAACTCCACACTTACATTTCTAAAGGTCGCCATCCACTATAATGTTACCCGGTATAATAAACGGGTGAGTAAATTTTACGAAGAAAATCTTAAGAACGAATTATACATACACTAAATACAGTTTTATTTACTCAGTAATAATCATGCTGTAATATGTAATGGAGCGAAATCATGTATTAGTGACGGCGGCTTTAGTTGCAAATCAAAAAATAAGAAAAACGGTGCAAGAGTGTTGCAAATAATCAAATAATCCATATTTAAATTTGTTAGCCGAATTACAATTTGAAAAAGTAACTGGTTCAACCATTTACATATGCAAAACCTACTTAAGAATTGATATGTTTACGTTTACTGACTCAAGCGACTTCCTTAATTCATAATTTCATCGGCACCAGCTTATAGCACCAATGAACTGGAATGGTGTAGAGAGCCAATGTGCATATTATATCAATAGAACAAGATGCGACTCTATGAGTGCAGTTACTTTTATTGCTCATCTCACTCGGGAGTATTAATAATAACCCTTTTCTATTTCATATTGTTATTATGCAGTCTACAAGCTGATGGATCAGACAATAACAATGTGAAATAGAAAATGGCTATTTTAAATACTCCCGAGTGAGATGAAAAATGCCCATTGCATTGGTTAGCACCCAATTTTTTGTTTTTTTTTTTATTTCTTTTCGGAATTACCGTTTTATGGACTCTACTTTATTTTGCACTATTTTTTTTTTCATCGCTGTAGGGTGTCTTTTGCATTTTTTTATGAAGATCATTGTACGTCTTTTTATTTTAGTCTGTAATCCCCCGAGTTTACATTCCGTAAATATGGGTGGTTGTTATAAAATTCGATTACAAAGTCTTTATTGAACATTCTTGTATGTTTATTATCATTAAATACTACAACATTCTTTTAACCACTGAACCATAAAACTATCATAGTTCAGAAGACCAGTCGAAAAGCCTGCCATTTAAATTTACCTCGCAAAAAGTTACAGCTTATTTTCGGTGGCTGAACCTCTACCTAATGTAGCGCTGTTGTCAGACGTCATATTTTTTACGATAACTTAATTGCTTTACTTACTGTTAAGAACGCTGAAAACTTGGCAGCAATGTTCAATGAGATTATTGAATTTTGCTAACAATCTTATTTGTCTTGGTTATTATATAACAGATACACAAAACACAATCTTGCGCACACCATTATTTTATTCCGATTAAAATCGTCAGGTAACATTGTAGTGTATGGCAGCCTTTATTCTGCACCAAACCTTTTGAATTGTCGAAATCACCTATCTTTACACTGACAGCTGTCACCATGTCAGCTGTTAAGGAATAAATGTCAAAAATAATGATATAACCTACAAATGTTGTCGAAAAATAAAAAATTATGTGCCTTTTGAATTTATGTTTTACTTTAAGAAATAATTTTTGTCATGTCTTCAGAAATGCATCATCCCACTCTAACTTCTCTTCGAAACTCTTCCAAATTAGTACGAAACATACTAAAATAATAAATAGAGAATATGCAGCTGTACAAGCACTAATAAAAAGATCGGGTTTACAAGACCTTTCACAACTTTCGAACAGTATATCCAGTAGACAGTACCACTCTTCACCGAAATGTTATCAACAGCCTGGGGGCGGGAATCCAGGGGACCCTAAGAAACCCCCTGATAAAGATGACGAAGATAAAGACAAGATACCCTCTCTTTTAGCTAAAGCGTTTTTATGGATGCTCACTGCTTACATGTTTATAGCTGTGCTTTCCCTGATGTTCCCTAATAGCAACCAACCGGAGGTTGTAAGATACGTTTCTTGGAATGAATTTTTATATCAAATGTTAGCAAAGGGAGAGGTTGAACAGATTATAGTAAGACCTGATATAGAGATTGTAACTATAGTGCTGCAAGACGGGGCAATTATCAAAGGAAAACGCGTTGAAAATAGAACTTATCATATGAATGTAATAGATGTTAATAAATTTGAAGATAAGCTGAGAGAAGCCGAAAGAAGGTATGTAGGTACTTGGATTTAGATATTGTGTATTTTTCTGTTTGTGAAAGTAAAGTTATAAGTAAAATTTAATTTCAGATTAGGTGTAACAGACGGAGTACCCATTATTTATGAAAGAAGTACTGATACTGCAGGAAAACTGCTTATTTCACTTTTGATAGTTGGTCTTCTCATTTCTTTATTAGCCAGAAGTAAGAGTATTCGGCCTCCTATTAGCATGGACAGTTTTACTCAACTTGGACGTGCCAAATTTACTCTTATTGATCCACTTAAAGGACAAGGAAAAGGGGTAATGTAGTTAGATATTATTATATAGTACCTATTATTTTGTAATAACCATTCAATTCAGGTCCATTTTGCTGATGTGGCTGGTTTGAGAGAGGCAAAACTTGAAGTTATGGAATTTGTAGACTACCTAAAACGACCTGAACATTACAGAAGTCTTGGTGCCAAAGTGCCTAGAGGGGCACTTTTATTAGGACCTCCAGGTTGTGGAAAGACCATGTTAGCTAAAGCCGTTTCTACAGAGTCTAATGTACCATTTTTGTCAATGAATGGGTCAGAATTTATAGAAATGATTGGAGGTATGTTAAATAATCACAACATATGGTAGGGTCCGATTATAATAAGAAGAACACAGGTTAGTCATCACTTGATGAAATAATTCATTGGCGATCCTGCCTACTGGGGTTTTAGTGGTGTGTTAATATTATAGGAATATAGCAAATATGTTTTTTATACACAACTTATTTAAAGGTTATGACGTAGCGGATTTCTTATTGTAATCAGATTCTACAAAGATTATATTCATGGTCATAGAGTTCAAATGGAATTGAATAAAAATATATACATATTTTTGGCTAAATATAACGAATTTTCTAATAAAACTATTTTAGGATTTCTTATTTTTGTGATATCTGCAAACAAATGGTTTCCCTAGAAGCACAAAAAGAATTGGGTAGTAGTATGTAATAAATTTATCTCCCTAAAAGAGCACATCTATTCAAAATATTTCAATAACTTTGCTCTCGATCTCTAATATTTTTATAAATTTGATTTTAAAACCTACTCATGGAGTTTATTATTATTTTTATTGTTAAGAACAGGCAAGTGTCATAGTCGATGAAGATGCTCTTTTAGTTAATGACAGAAATTACTCTAAATTACTACATGACAGTTAAAACATAATATACTATAAATTATAATGAATAAAATTATTTCTTCCGTCTTAGAGTTCTTTATAATGAAATCTTTTCTTTGCAGTTTATCACACTGGCCTGGAAGATGTTATCACAGTTGTAATATCTGCTGGTTCACTTAAAAGTTTCTATCAAGTCTCCTTTAGTTCTTCTATCCTTTAAACTCGTAGTTTGGCTAGCCAATCACAATACTCATTGTTTTGTAGAGTTAGTGGTATTTTGGTGACTTTCAAAAGTACTCTTTCCAGCATTTCAATGTCTTCAACTATAGTTATTTCGGTATTTTTCTTCTTATTCTTTTGTTTATATTCTGTAGGACAATTTAACTCAAAACCATTTCCTTAGACCTCTCAAAATCATCTATAATTAACACCTCTCAAGGAGCGGCATATTCAAATGCATTTTTTTATTTAGGTCTAGGCGCGGCCCGAGTCAGAGATCTATTCAAGGAAGCCAGAAAACGATCCCCTTGCATTGTCTACATCGACGAAATAGACGCAGTGGGCCGTAAACGTAGTGGAAAAATAGGCACAGAAAGCATCAGCGGCGAAAGCGAACAAACCCTTAACCAACTCTTAGTAGAAATGGACGGCATGGCCAGCAAAGAAGGTGTTATCATGCTGGCTTCCACTAACAGAGCGGACATACTGGATAAAGCTTTGCTGCGACCGGGCAGATTTGACAGGCACATTCTAATTGACTATCCAGATATGATCGAAAGGCAGCAGATATTCGAGCAGCATCTGAAGGGGATACATTTGGAAAAACCGCCCGAAACGTATTCAAAACGTATGGCGTACTTGACGCCCGGATTCAGCGGGGCTGACATAGCAAACGTCTGCAACGAAGCTGCGTTACACGCCGCCAGATTCAAAAAACCGAAAGTCGATAAATCTGACTTGGAATACGCCGTGGAACGCTTGGTGGGCGGTACTGAGAAACGCAATCACGCCATGTCGCCGCAAGAGAAGCGAATCATAGCCTACCACGAATCCGGACACGCTTTAGTAGGATGGTTACTGGAGCACACTGATGCTTTACTCAAAGTTACAATAGTTCCCAGAACCAGTCTAGCTTTAGGATTCGCCCAATACATCCCTAGGGATCAGAAATTATACACCAAAGAGGAATTGTTCGATAGAATGTGCATGACTCTCGGCGGAAGGGCAGCGGAGGCCATGACGTTCAACAAAGTGACCACCGGAGCTCAAAACGATTTAGAGAAAGTCACCAAAATGGCGTACGCTCAAGTCAAAGAATTCGGCATGAACAAATCCGTGGGGCTGCTCAGCTTCTCTGAACCGGAAAACAAGGAAATGGGACGGAGACCGTACAGCAAGACGCTGGCGAATTTGATTGACGCCGAAGTGCGTACTTTGGTCGGGCAGGCGTACAGGCATACCGAACAAGTTTTGCTGACGAACAAAGATAAATTGGAGAAGCTGGCTGAGATGTTGCTGATTAAGGAGACGCTTAATTACGACGATGTCGAACGGTTACTGGGTCCTCCGCCTTTCGGGGAGAAAAAATTGATAGAGCCGGCGGATTTTGAGGAAAGTTTGCGGAAAGACGCTGGCGATTATAAGGAGAATAATGATGCTGGTAGTACCCCGGCGACGAAATTGTAAGTTGCGTAGTTGTATATAATAAATGAGTAGATTGTTTAGTCATGTGTTTTATTTCACCTGCGCTCATATCTACTTTACTTCACAAATCCTAATAGTATGTATAAAAAAAAGAAAAAGGTAAGATTGTATAACCTACACTTATAAATAAGACATAAAATTGCACTAAAAACACAAGTAAGGGAGAGGGTGGAGGGTTTGAACACTTTTTGGTCTTTTGTATATAACTTTTTATTTAAACACATTTTATTTGGTCTTTGGGTGTTAAGCCATACAGTGTTCCTTAATATACATATATTTTCTATTAAACCAGCGTTAACTTTAATAAAAATTTTAAGATAATTAAACAACCCCACTACATTTGTTCAAATCCTCCCTTGGCTGGTGTGCCTTTGAACAGAAAAGGGGAGGGTTTGAACACGTCCAGAATGAGATCTAAAATTTAAAAAAACATGCAGGAAAGGCCAAATATATTTATTAACTAAAGGAAAATACCATTTAGGTACATATTTTATCTTAAATTAAATTTATCAAAACACACATCATTAATTCTGAATATTTTTGTAGCTTGCAATGTACCACCAGTGATTGAGGGTTGAGATAACTTTAAAATAATGTCTGACAAAGAAATAAGAAACACGTCGTCTATCTCAGGAAAATAAAAAATTGTCTTCTGTTTTTCTAAGAAATTTAACATTCAAATCATCTTCTAATCTCTCTTCTACTTGAGCCACATAGTGAACTATACTTTTTTTTGTATTGAACTTCACTAGAACAAAATCGTTTACTATAATAGTTTCTAAGCTTGCCGTAGCTAATTTTTCGGAAGCTTCCGGGTCATCATCAGTGCTGCTATCATGGACAGATTTTTCTCTTAACAACTTTTTTTTTATAATTTTCCTTAATTTTCTTTTCTAATAAATAAATTACTTCATTCTCAAAGCTACTGCCTTTTTTCTGTTTTTTTTTCTTTAAAACGATCCCATTTTTTTTGTTTTTGGTAATTGTTTCATAATTTTTTTTTACAATTCGTTGGATCATTTCTTCCTCAATATTGTCTTTTACAGGAATATCTGTCAGTATCTTTGTAGCACCTTTTTTTTACCACCCACCTTCTTTCGAGCTTTTGTAACTTTAGTGTAAGGTCTAACAACCTCTGGAGTAATTTCTGAAGTTGTGTGGCGTAGTCCTGATATTGAACCATTTACTGGATTTATTTGAGATGGTCCAGGTATCGGATATATTACTGGATTTATTTGAAATGGTCCAGGCGTCAGGGAGTTTGCTGGATTTATTCGAGATGGTCCAGGTATCTGAGAATTTGTTTGAGTACTTTCTTGAATGAATTGACCAGTTGTAGGCAAAGAAATAATAGTGTCCACATTGCTAGTTTTTTTTCTTCAGGGATATTAGGAGTTGGTCTATCCGTAACGTAAGAGGCATCGAAGTCTGTATCACTAAAAGCATTCTGATTGACTGGCCATATTCCAGGCTTCCTGAAGCTTTCTTTTATATTGCTTATTGTAAAAGATGCTGCATAAGCAATGGCAGTAATCTCCACAACATGGTGATGCTTCTACCGGGGTGGTTCATCATCCAATCTATAGATGCAGTTTTAAATTTTGCTCGGCGATGGGAGCAGTGAGGTGGAAAGGTAAGTAGAAACATACCATTTTCCTAGGCATAGATAATTGCTTCCAGTGAGCAGTGTGTATCGTAGTTGTCCATGAGGATTAGGATTGGATCATCTTTTGAGCTTCATGTGTAGCGTTTGCAAATTATGCAGAATACATGCTGCAGATTCGCAAAAGGACTTAGAAAATTCGATCATATTTCCCAAGCCTTCTCCCAAACTGGCTGGCTAACTGTTAATAATTTATATATATTTATGTTCCTTTCTTTTCTTTTTAAAATACTTTCTACTGCGTCACCATTATATCTTATGAGCAAATTAACTTTTAGATCGTCTACGCACAATGTAAACATAAGAAACAATTTTAATTTATCAATGCCTCGTCACTCTAGTGCTATTTATAATCGTAGTTTTTCGTATAACGCGGTTGTTCTGTACAACACTTTACATACCGATATTAAAAAATCACGATCTCTACCTGTTTTTAAAAATGCTTTAAAAAGGCAACTCTTTATTAGTCAAATGTAAACTGGTAGATATAATGAGCTACTAATGTAAAATTGTATTGATAAACTTTTAATATTATAGTTATTTAAATGTATATGTTTTGTTAGGGTTAGGTGTAAGAATAGCCACAGGCTAAACCTCGCCCATGCTAACTGTACAAAAATGTAATTATTTTGTGCAAATAAAGACCCGTTATTATTATTATTATATATTTATGTGTACCAACACTTTCAAGAAATGTTCAGCAGTCATCCCACCACTTTCCGGACTATTGGGAAAACCTAAACTACCGCTAGGAGCCCCATTCATTAACGACTCCAACATTCTAGCCCTCGGAAAAATAACGAATTTACCGCGTTCTCCGGATACCACCTGACCGACTTGTTTAATTCCTCTACCTGCAATGACATACGGAGCTTAAACAACCGTCATTATTCCAGTTTCATCTAGATTAAAAATTATTTCTTTAGAAAAGCTGTATTTTTCCATAACCTTTAAGTAATTCAATACCAACCCTTTCGTCTCGTATCCAACTCCCAGGAATTTTGTTGTCCAATTTAATCGCATATTCATGTGCAAGTTTACGGGTAGATTCATAAGTTAATCCATAATTCATACGGGAAGTTCTAAGTAAATATGTTTGTAGCATAGTCTCCTCCATATTTGTGAATACCTGATTCGTGTTATACTTAAAAGTATAATCTTTTTCTTTATTCAGTAATATAAAGCTGTGTGTTTTACATTGTTTTGTTCAGCAGCAACTCGCAAAGAAATCTTTCTATCGACCACATCAGTTATTGCCTTCTGCACGTCCGCTTCATTGAATTCGACTCTCTTGCCCTTTTTCTTCGGGCATACTGATGTTTTACCACTGAAATAATTAAATATATTTAGGTATCAATTTAAAATATTATTTCCTATTGGGGATGTTTTGAACAGTCTGGGTAGGCTTTGAACATCGTTCAAAGTCTCCCCGGGCTTGTAGTTCAAAGCCTCCCGATGGCACTTTTGCTCAGAAAAAATTGAATTACACTTCATGCTTTTGAATATTTAAATATAACTGTTTTATAAACTTACCTCAAAAATGTAGGGATACGCTCAAATAATAGAACAATTAAACACCATTGACAGATTTAAAAATATATATGTTGTAAGGATGATCAAAATAAACAAGGAAATTGAAGGAAAATATATTCACTTATATGACCAAACATCTGGTAAATCCCCGCGTACCTAATAACAGGCGAAGAGAACACTGTTGCCAGTGCATTCCTATTTTCATAGAGGACAAGAAAATATTTTAGTAGAAACTATTGTAATTGTTCAAAACCTCCTCGTGTTCAAACCAACCCTCTCCCCTAAGGGTAATTACATTCTACTTGTTGTAAAACACTTCTGGCTGAATGGAGTTAGTAAAATAGTAAGACCAAGGCATTATTAAAGAAGATATATTTCTATATAATTTAGAAAAAAAAAAAAAAAAAACAAGTTTTGTAAAGGTGTTGGCATAATATCTTACATAATATTGTCTATGCTTAGGGTGACTCTTCATACATACGAAATCTAACAATTTGCTATTGACTAATTATTGAAAACAATACATGGCAGGATAAATTATGAAATAAAAGTTAAAATTTATTCAACTTCTCTGATGTAGGACAAAAGTTAAGCATCGTATCGTCGGATAGATCCATCAATCAGGGATGGGCTTTTTAAATAAAAATTTTGTATGACAAATTAAATACAAAATTTTAATTTATTATAAAACAGTTCAATAATATTTAACTTTAAACCTTAATACTCTTAAAAATTGATTTCCACTGGTGTCCATTTATGTTAATCTAAAAACAATTTTATCCAACCATAGTTCTTTTCCTTCCTCTAGCTTTAACGTCTTCATACTTTAGAAAAACTTCCCTGCTGCCGTTCTTGTACTGCTTTTTATATCCTTCCAAAATCTTAGGAAATATTTCCTCAGCTACACTATGGGTGCTTAATAGCGCTCGTTCTAAAACGTACAAATCTACCCCTTTGTCTTCGGTATTTGATTCAATATGGGCTAACCCAAAATCTATTGCAACCAAATCTAACTCGCTTAAACTATCATAATTATGTTCGTTATTTTTATTAACAACTAGAATATTGGAAGAGGTCAGATCTCCGTGAATTATATTGTTTTCGTGAAGTTTTCCCAGTAGGTTTCCTATTTCGTAAAAGAACTGCGATAGTTCTTTTATTAACCCTAATTTAGTATAGTCTTCTATAAAATCTTTAGCGGTTTTACTGTATTCCAGATATTCCATAAAAATCGTACGTCGTTTAAAGTCCACTAAATATATGGCTGGGGTTCTAATTCCTGCTATTTTACATCTCATTAAGGCCCTACTTTCAGCTTTTATTCTTTCTTTGGTAAGGTTGGTGTCTAAACTTGGATGGCGATAGTTTTTGATAAATCGTTCTTTAGCAATTGTAGATTGTCCCAAGTAGATTCCTTTGTACAATTTAGCTTCAGCGCCTTGTTTTATTAATTCAAAATTCTTCATGTTTTTCGAGTTTTTGTTTTGAATATTTTTTAGTCTGGGTCTAGAAACCTGGAAGGATAAATACAGTAACTTCCAAAGCAGTGATGCCATAAATTGTATAAAAGTTAGGGGATTTTTTGGGAAATTACGAAAAAATGCCTTATATATACTTCGAAGCGATGTTGCCAATTTATCGTTATGAAATAGTAATCGAATAGTTTGTATATAATCGATTCCTTGCATTCGAATGATGATAATTACAAACCAATCAGAATCTAGATTAAAAATCACGTGACAATATTTTCATCTTTTTTTATGTCATGTCGCTTTAACGTGTTCTTTTTTCTACAAAATATTTTTATTTTCAAAAACCATGTTAACTAATAGTTTAAAGAAAATTAGTTATGCAAATTTTGTATGCTATTGTACTAAAGCCGAAAAAAAATTAAGCTACAGTAATACACTTTTTCTACCCAAAACAAAATTCCCTTTGAGGTTAACCAATAAGAAGTTAGTGGAAAGAGATGAACAAATCTATAGTGTGAGAAACTGTTTAATTGTAGAATTAAAACAAGGTTTAATTTGTCTTTGATTGTAGGCAGCAGAATTTGAAAATCTCTATGACTGGCAACGGGGGCATTCGTTTGAACCGGAATTTGTTTTGCATGATGGACCACCATACGCAAACGGGTTGCCTCATATGGGACATGCCATTAATAAGGTTGTAACTGAAATATACTTATTTTTAATCCATTGTTAGTTTACCAAATTGAATGCCTTTTAATAACTATTAGATTTCATTTATTTTTAGATTTTAAAAGATACTATTTTAAGGTATGAAATACTTCAAGGAATTAAAGTTCACTATATTCCTGGCTGGGATTGTCATGGTTTACCAATAGAATTGAAAGCTCTCAATAGTACTAAAGGACTAGACCCAATAGATATCAGAAATAAAGGTATGATTTCATAAGTGATGCAATATTTGGATTATATTGTTTATATTTTAGCGAGAAAGTTTGCAAAAAGAACTGTAGAAGACCAAAAACGCATTTTTAAATCGTGGGGTGTGTTGGGTGATTGGAAAAACTGTTACACGACCTACTCAACTGACTATATCAAGACCCAATTAAGGCTGTTTTATAAATTATATAAGAAAAACTTGATTTACAGAGATATTAAACCAATACATTGGTCTCCATCTTCTAGGTTTATTTTTTAATAAAATTTTGTAAGGTTTTTATTATTATTAATGATTGTTTTTGTAGAACAGCTCTAGCAGAAGCCGAGTTGGAATATAATGAAAAGCATAAGAGTCCAAGTGCTTTTGTTAAAGTTGAAATCAAGAATATACCCAAATTGGGGCCTCTCGAAAATAAGTGGTATGTATTAAGGAACAAAGGTAGAATTATTTATTTTGTATAGGTATTTGATGAATTAATTATTGATTTTGAAGACTTTGTTTCTTTGTTAAATTCTGTTTTTGAACTATTAACTATTAACATAAAATAATTATTGTAGAATTAAAAACATTATTTTTGGTATAATAAATTTAAATGGCTTCTCCCCTGCAAGTTACATTTTAGACACACTTTATAGGGCGTTATTAAAATGCCTGTACATATTAAAAGTGATATTTAGATAAGCTATGCCAACTACAGTGGTGTATACCTGATTTATAATATATTTTGAAAATGTAATTACTCCTTCAATAATTAATGTTTTAATAACACTGTATTTATGTAATATTAAGACAACAGTATCATCAAAATATGTCCAACAGAATGACAGAAACATAGAAAATTATCCATAGAGTCTATTAGAGATGAAGTAATTTCTGTTCCACTGACAATTACAGTGGTAGATTTACAAAAATAGAGGAGTAGATGAGTTCATAATATTTCTTCAGATCTGGGGAAAATGATGAAGATTTGTAGATATGACAACGTTGCTTTGCATAACAAGCACCAGTAAGAAGGGATGGGCGATATTTCATGTCACAGTGATTTTGTCACTGTTGTAACTGTGACAAGCTCTCCGTGATTCGTGAGTTTGAAGTTGTGACATGACAACAATTTCACTACTGGAAACTGGAAACCATAAGATCCATAAAAAAATATTCGAGTTAAATTATAAAACGGTGTTATGACCTTATACCCTTATGTAGGTGATGTTGTTTTATGCTTAATACCTTACTAATCCAAACCATAAGAGATAAACAACCATTTTGCAAGTCAATAATGTTATATGTCATATCCAACAGTTTTATTTTTTATATTTCAGTAAATTTTCTAACTTGTAAATAATTTATTTTTAATTTGTTTTGAACCAGTAGTTGTGTTTCGACACAATAGACTAAGAAGAAGAAGAAGAATGGTTAGATTTGAAGCCTTTTGTGTAAAAAGGATGCAAGCCACACATTGTCCTAAAGTTACTGTTTTAGCGCAAAACATCTGTTAACAAGGATACATATTTATATTTAAATTTTTTTTATTTAAATTTTACATATTTAATATAAATTTACAACTCAATTTTCTCTAAAACTTACAATGTGGCATGTAACCTTTTTACGTCAAGGTCTTCATTTGATAGAATATTAATACCCTTATTTCATTTGTAAGGAGTAGAAAACTTTTGCTCATTTGTTGTCACTTTTATCACGAAATCACGTACAGGAACAAGTATCACTGTTACTTGAAAATCACTATATTGCCCATCTCTACAAGTACTCTATATTTCTCCAGAAATTAGCTACCGAATAGCAACACTGTAGTCCCAATCGTTGATAGCGAGCAGTGGTCGAGCCATCATGTTGTTTCAGAATAACGGAAATTAACGTAGAGCACTCATCCTTAGAATTAAAATTCGGCCCTGCATGACTTCGGTTTTGGTTCAGACGTGAAGTTAAACTTTTTGCCATTAGAAGGTCACTGTTAGTCTAGTTGCTTTCCTATTTTGTGAGGTTTTGTTATTTTTAAACATTAATAAATCAACATGTAATGATGCAAATTTCAAAATTTTTTTGCACGGTTGAATAGAGAATAAAATCCCCTTTCAAATGAGCTATCACTCACCATCCCATGCCATTTAAATTTTTCGAAAGGGTTTTTACCCTCCAGTAAGGGATGAAATTAAGGGTTAACTAATCATGCAAAAATGTACATTGTAGAAATTAAAAATCAAACTGTCTCGGCGATTTTCCTAACAAGACCCCAGTAACGAGTTAGTTAGAGGGGGTAAGACTTAAGATGCTCACTGTATATATCAAACTCAATAAGGGAATATTTTTGTTAAAAGTTAACTGTCAATGAAATACAAATTATGTCACAATAATATAGCGTATTACATTAGAGGCGCTTATGTTTCAACAACCCAAAAACCTTAACCTCAAATCGTGTCATTTTTACGCAGGTTTACTGACAGTAAGCTGAAAATAAAATCACTTTTATCTCCAAATATGTAAAATGCCAATGTGTTAACAGTGCAACTACAAATTGTGGTAAAACATTTCTAATGTGAGTGTAGAGGCAGCGTTCTTGTCCGCGATGTTTAAGGCCTTTCACGGAGAAAAATTAGGGCTCGTGTGTAGAGCATTCTTAAAATTTCAATTGTCGAGTCGATTAGGATGTTTGTAGTAGTGTCATGTACAAATATCTTTCGCCAAATCCTTTCATTATAACAGCGCATTTTTAACGTGCAGAGGGTGGGTTACCCCCACAGTACTTAGGCCTCACTAGGCCTGTTGTGCATCCTCCCAAATTGATAGACCTTTATTAGCTCGTCAGCCAGCCTATAAATTTAATGTAGTTATTAAAATAATAAATTATTTTCGATTAATCGAAAATAATCGATTAAGTGAATATAATCGAAAATAATCGATTGACCGAAAATGATCGAGTAATTGAAAATTGTCGATTAATGGAATATCGATTTAAAAAAAATATATAATAAACGATTAATCAATTATTTTGCCCACCCCTAATCCTGTATTTAAGATCTTTATCAATTATAGCCTATTGAAATATTTTTTGTGGATCAATCATTATTAAAAATTGCATAATTATTAATTTTAGCTACGCAATTATATGGACGACAACACCATGGACCCTACCTGCGAATCAAGGCATCTGCTACAACGAATCCCTATTGTACAGCATCGTAAAAAATACGAATTCGAACGACAATTCTACGTACTTGTTAGCTACGGATTTGTTGCCGGACATTTCGAACACGCTACAAACTACGTTCGAAATCGTTAAACAGTTCCCGGGAAACAAGTTAGAGGGCGCCGCTTACGTACATCCGATTTATAAGGATCGAGATTGTTATCATTTTCTTAGCGCTGCTCACGTATCGTCTTCCAAAGGTACCGGGTTGGTGCATCTGGCCGGTGCTCACGGTCCTGACGATTTTTTGGTGGCTTTGAATAATAAATTGCCAATTGTAAGTATTCTAGTCTCAGATAAACAAAAAATAGATAGATAAGTGTTGTTTGGAAGAGATGTGCTATGCTAATTGCAACCTAAAGATGAAAGTTGTGGACCAAAAATGCGATATTTAGAAAATCAATGTTGGTTCTTGGCTCAGTAATAAATCTTTTGGTACGAGATAAGTGGACTGTATACATATTAATTATTGAATCTTTTATATATTTTTTTGAGAATTGACAGTGTTGTCGAATTATTAAGTGAAAACAATCGCTAATTTGGGAACGTTTTTCGTAACGCAATTTAAGTTTTTGTTGAATAGTTCAAGGTGCCGGTGGGCCAATCATTAACGCCCGATGTAGGAGCCCACGAGACAATTTCGAACGCTTATTAACAGTTTTGACTAAATTTGCCTCTGCAATTTAAAATGGACGAATCACATCAAGGAAGAATCAAAAACAAAGGAAAATAATAGAACGAGTAGAGTAAATCTTGGCTTAAAATAAACCCAAACCATTAATATCTATATTTATTTTGTTTATCTGAGACTTTTAGATACTTTCGTTATTAATTCAGTCAATAGAGCAAAAAGTAGGATGCCGTCTTGTAGAAGGTCAATGAACGTTGTATTTTGGTCGTTAAGTTTGACGTATGAATTAATGGTTTTCGATCTTTATTGAAAAGAGCTAATTGGCCGTGTACGGGTCTAGCTAATGGAAAAGAATTCGGAAGAGCGCAGCAGCACAGGGATTCTCATGTGCGAAATCGATACGTTACGTAACGACTAGAGAGAGACATTACATACGAATTGCAGTCTGTCGAATGAATATATGCGTATCGATACATGCCGTATCGAAAGATGAGAATCCCCCTGCAGATATTACACCTTTCGTTGACCTACCAGATCCAACCTACCTATCGACAATTCCTCATGTAAATAAAGCACCGACAAACACATTTTCTTTCAGGTCGATTTACTAGACGATGCTGGTTGTTATTTATCCAAAGCCGGTCCGAAACTCGAAGGTAAATACGTTTTGAAAGACGGCAATAAAATGGTGATCGATATTTTAAAAGAAAATTCGAGTTTGCTAAGTTTGGACGAAATCGTGCACAGTTATCCGTACGATTGGAGAACCAAAGAACCTGTCATAATCAAAGCCAGTCATCAATGGTTTATAGATACTAACGCTATTAAAAACAGAGCTGTAGTAAGTACTATATAGTTTTTTCTTCTAACATTTACCAGCATAATTTTTATAGCTCCATCCCTGTAACGTATTTAATAGAATAGTGATTAATTTGCGAGTCAGTTTTAGGAGAAAAGAGCAGGGAAAATAGGGGTTATTTTCCAAATAATGTATTTGCGATTCTCTTAATTTCATATTCGTGTTCTATTTGTTAAATAATCCTAAAAAGTCCAGAAAATTTTCAAACTGACGTCATTCATATCATGTTGTCATTATGTAGTTTGTTTCTTTCTCTCCATTTTTTAAATTATCAGTTAAAAAAATTATTAATAACTATCATTAGGGTGGTTGTCACCAATTGGTTACAACCTTGTTCAGGACAGGTATTCAATTGTCTTTTTCCAGATATGTTTGATTTAGTTTTGGAATTTCGTTTAGTAGAACATCAGTCGAAAGTTGTGTATATTTAAATCACTACTTTTTTTAGGAGTTGTTAGAAAACGTAAAATTTTTGCCTTCCGACAAAAGCGAACTATACAAAACGAATCTAGCGAAACAAATTCAAAAACGTCCGTATTGGTGCATTTCGAGGCAAAGGAAATGGGGGGTACCCATACCGGTGTTGTACAACAGAACCACTTCGGAGACAGTAATCACAGAGTAAGAGTTAAATTACTCTATTTATTAATAATAATGGTTTCTAATTAAAACGTTTCTTCTAGAAATACCATAAATCATCAGATGAATCTATTGGATACCGTAGGAACGGATTTTTGGTGGAAGTCTACTGCTCAGGAACTTTTACCGGCAAATCATACTTACTCTCCTTCTGATAATATCGAAAAATGCGAGGTACCCTATTTATTATTTTTTTTACAGGGACAGTTTTAATAGATTTGGCACTTTAGAGATATTCTTATAAAAAAATTAAAAAATTCGCCTTAAATCTGGCGATGTTGTTGGTTATGTAGAAATGAAAATTGTTTTAAATCCAATTGGACCTTTTCATCTGCTATAGTTCAGGCCATAGTTAAAATTCAGTACATAAAGCATCGTTGTAATATATTTTAAATGAGAAAAGGTTCTACGTCGTTGCCAGTCTGGCGCCAGTCATGTACAAGTCCGCAATTAAAAATAAATTTAACTTCCATTGACTTAATTTATGTTCTGATAACGTTACTTTTAGTTTTTTAAGTTAATTTTCAAAAGTAATTCTGGTTATGGACGGTTTTTACCTTAAAGGCCAGTCTAAACTTATCTGTTTCGATTTTTTTTACATTCAATATTTTTTACAATCGATTCTTTTTACAGGCGATTCTCTTCTAATATCCTTTTTACAATCGATACTTTTCACAATAGATTACTTTATTACTCGATTTATTTTAAAATCGAATCTTTTTTACTAATATCCTTTTTAAAATATATTCTTTTTACAGTCGATTCTTTTAATTTATACTTTACAATCATTCTGTTAACCGATTCTTTTATACAATCGATACTTTTCACAATGCATTATTTTTCACAATTTATACTTTTTACAATCAGTTCTTTTTATTATTAATACAATCGATTCTTTTTACAGTCGGTTATATTATAATCCATTTGTTTACAATCGATACTTTTCGCAATGGATTATTTCATTACAATCAATTCATTTTATTATCGATTCCTTTCATACAATCGAACCTTTTTAACAATAGTTCTTACAATCGATTATATTTATTTACAATCGATTTTGTTAACCGATTCTGTATATAAACAGATTCTTTTTTACAATATATTATTTCACATTGGATTATTTCACATTGGATTATTTTTAATAATTTATACTTTTTATTATCCGTTCTTTTTTACTATTAATACAATCGATTTTTCTTACAACCGATTATTTTTACAGTTTGTTCCTTTTTTTTACAATCGATAATTTTCATAACGAATTATTTTATTACAATCGAATCTTTTTACAATAGTTTTTACTAACGATTTTTTCCAAAATCCATTTTTCCACAATCCATTTTTACAATATCCATTTCTTACAATCATTCTCTTAGCAGATTCTTTTTATATTTCGATTCTTTTTAAAATCGATATTTTTCACCATTAATTATTTTTACAATTTATATTTTTAACTATCGGTTCTTTTTTATTATCGATTTTTTTACAGTCTGTTCCTCTATTGGCGATTCAAATTAATTTTCGCGCGCCTGTCATTTGTCATCTATAAGTAGGATGTTTGTTTATTTACATGTTTTTGTTTTGGACGGATTTTGTATTTGTGATTTTTTTAACTGTTTTTAGATAATATTCTCATTGTAATAGTGTTTTTGAGTTTCATTTAGTGTTAATTTAAGTTTAAGTCTCGTGCTTTCGTCATAAATATAATATTTATCATGTGTATGACTTAATTTGTTGGAAATATTTACCTATTTGTTACTACAAGAACATCTAGAAATATGTATTCACTAAACCCAGGACATGTTGTATTATGTGGTTTAAAGGATATTTCAGGTACCACACGTTTATTATTGATGAACTTATTTAAAAATCTTACTAGACTTATTCTTATATTATGAAGTGAATCACGTAGTACTTTGTATACATGTAAATGGTAATAAAACCGTCAAAAAATAAGATTTCAGTTTGATTCTAAACAAAGTTTCGTAAAATTTTAATATTGTGAATTTGTAGATATCCATTTATCGTAAAAAACAAAATTTTACGACTTGTACTTGGAAAATAATGAATCTTCAGTTTTGATTTTGACATTAACACCATATAGATTGCAATTTTCTGGGGACTTCGTCACAGATTTCATTTTTAATATAAACACTATCACATGCTATAAGAAAAAAACAAATTTAAAGCTAAAAAGTAAAAAAAAACTATTTGTAATTGATACAAATTAAAATGTAAACAATGAACATGAACGCCAATGTTGCCAAATGATGAACTGATTTTAAAACAAAATTAATAAATGAACTGAAATTTTAAAAAAATCAATATAATAAATCGGTTTTATAAAAAAATCCTTAAATAAATATAGATTATCATAACATACACAAATTTTGATTCTTAAATAAAAGGTTTTATCCACTTCTTCCAGAGCTAAAATCCGACGACGTAGCGAAGTTTTGCTACTTCTGGCAACACTGAACGATATCCTACTTATTCGGACCTTCTACAAATTTCCTCCAGAGGGCGTATCACTTAGCTTGAATCGCGAATAATCTATTTTTTACAATCGATATTTTTTGCAATAGATTATTGTATTACAATCGACTCATTTTATAATGGAATCTCTTTTACTAATGTTGTTTTTAAAAATCTATTCTTTTTTACAATTGGTACTTTTTGCAATTTATATTTTTTACAATCGATACTTTTTATTCGGTTGTTTTTACTATTAATATATTCAATTCTTTTGTTATCATTTTTTTTACAATTGATTCTTTTCAAAATTATTCTTTTTTAGAATTATTTTTTTAACCGATTCTTTTTGTAAGCCAATTCTTTTACACAATCAATACTTTCCACAATGAATTATTTTTTTCAATTTATACTATTTTTACAATCGATTCATTTTATGATCGATTCTTTTCATAATAGAATCATTTACAATTGAATCTTTTTAACAATTATAGTTCTTACAATCGAACCTTTTTAAAAATATTTCTTACAATCGATTCCTTTTAAAAATATATTTTTTTACTATCAATTTTGTTAACCGATTCAGATTATAAATCGATTCTTTATAACAATCGATATTTTTCACGATGGAGTATTTTTATAATTTATACTTTTTATTATCGTTTCTTTTTACTATTAATACAATCGATTTTTTACAGCCTAAACTTTTTTAAATTTGGTTCTATTTTTTACAATCGATACCTTTTACAATAAATTATTTCATTACAATCGATTCATTTTGAAATCGAATCTTTTTACAATAGTATTTACAGTCGATTCCTTTTAAAAATATATATTTTACTATCTAATTTTGTTAACCGGTTCAGATTATAAATCGATTTTTTATAACAATCGATATTTTTCACAATGGAGTATTTTTTATAATTTATATTTTTTATTATTGTTTTTTTTTACTATTAATACAATCGATTTTTTACAGCCTAAACTTTTTTAAATTTGGTTCTATTTTTTATAATCGTTACCTTTCACAATAAATTATTCGAATCAATTCACAGCCGAATATTTTTAAAATCGATATTTTTTACTATGCATTATTTTTTATTATCGATTCTTTTTTGCAGTCTGTTCCCTTATAATCCATTTTTTACCATCGATTCTTTTCGCAATAGATTATTTTATTACAATCGATTCATTTTATAATGGAATCTATTTTACTAATATTGCTTTTAAAAATCTATTCATTTGTACAATCGATTCTTCTTTCTTACAATCGATACTTTTTATTATCGGCTGTTTTTAACTATTAATATAATCGATTCTTTTGTAATCAATTTTTTTACAATTGATTCTTTTCAAAATCAATTTTTTAGAATCATTCTGTTAACTGATTGTTTTTATAAATCAATTCTTTTATACAGTTGATACTTTTCGCAATGAATTATTTTTTACAATTAAACTTTTTTACCATCCGTTTTTTTTACTATTAATACAATCGATTCTTTTTATAGTCTGTTCTATTATAATCCATTTTTTACAATCAATACTTTTCGCAATGGATTATTTCATTACAATCGATTCATCTTATGATCGATTCAATTCATAATCGAATCCTTTACAATCGAACCTTTTTAACAATAATAATTCTTACAATCAATTCCTTTTAAAAATATATTTTTTTACAATCGATTCTTTATTACAATGGATTATTTTTTATAATTTATAGTTTTTATTATCGACTCTTTTTACTATTAATACAATCGAATCTTTTTTTACAATTGGTTCTATATTTTTAAAATCGATATTTTTCATCATGAATTATTTTTTATAATTTATATTTTTAACTATCGATTCTTTTTTATTATTAATTCAATCGATTCTTTTTACAGTCTGTTTTTTATGATATATTTTTTACAATCGATACGTTTCGTAATGGATTATTTTATTATAATCGATTCATTTTATAATGGAATCCTTTTTACTAATATTGTTTTTAAAATCTATTCTTTTTTACAATCGATATTTTTTTTACAATTTATACTTTGTTACACTCATAATCAAATCCATTTTACAACTGAATTTTTTTAACCATAATTCTTATAATAGAATCTTTTTGACAGGATAATTATTTATAATCGATTCTTTTTAAAATCGATATTTTTTACAATTTATATTTTTTACTATTAATGCAATCGATTCTTTTTACAGTCGGTTTTTTTACATCTATTTCAATTGATACTTTTCTCAATGGATTGTTTCATTATAATCGACGATTTTTAGAATCGATTCATTTTATAATGAAATCCATTTTACAATCGAATCTGTTTAACCAAAATTCTTATTATATAATCTTTTTAACATTTATAATTCTTATCATCGATTGCTTTTAAAAATATATTTTTATTTATTTTATAAATCGATTGCTTTTAATTACCGATACTTTTTACATTGAATTATTTTTTACAATTTATACTTTTTTATTCATATCTTTTTCTAATACAATCAGTTCTTCTTATAATCGATTCTTTTTACAATCGATTTATTTTATAGTCGAATTTTTTAGTCATTATTTTTACAATCAAATCTTTTTTAGTACAATATATTTTACAATCTAGTCTTTTATACATTAATTTTTTTTACAATCGTTTCTTTTACAATTTGTTCTTTTTTTAAAGTCTATACTTTTTACAATAGTAGTTTTTATAATAGAATCTTTTTTACAGTAAAATTTTTTATATTCTTTACTTTTTAATATCCATTATTTTTTAAGATCTATACTTTTTACAATAATTTATACATTTTACAATTGATACTTTTCAATTATTGATACTTTTTACAATCGATTCTTTTTTCAGTCGAATCGATTTAATATCCATTTTTTACATTCGAATAAAAATGACGGTTTCTGCGGAAAGTATATTTTTATTCACACGCGTGTGATAAACGACACTTTAAGGACGAAACGTGCGATAAGATTACTAGAGACTGAGTACCCTGTATATTTTTTAGTTATATTTTGATCCTGGTCAATAGTAAAAGTCCCGCACGTCACTCAAAATCCAGATGTAAGCGGCAACTCAGCTCGCCCTAAAACCAAATTTTAACTATGACCCGTAGTATAGCAGTGATTTTGTAATTACATGATTGGTATTATGTATGTAACATCTCGTATCTTCTGATAGCTATCTAAATTATTTTATAATTTTAACGGTAGTGATTATTAAGTTACTTCTGCTGTCATACGTATTTTTATGATTTCTGCTATAAATATATTCGAATCGCGTTTTAGGACATCATGGACATTTGGTTGGACAGCGGCCTTTCGTGGGCGAAGGTCCTAGAAGGTACCAAAGTAGCCGATATGTATTTAGAGGGGGTCGATCAATTGACAGGTTGGTTCCAATCGTCTCTACTGACGTCCGTAGCTTTGAGGGATAAAGCGCCTTTCAAAACGGTATACATACATGGATTTGCTGTCGACGAGAATGGGATAAAAATGTCAAAATCCATCGGGAACGTCGTTGATCCCATTGAAATTACCCAAGGGGTCGATGGAAAGAATGCTCTAGGCGTTGATACTCTAAGGTAATTTTCAGGACAACATTCTGTCAACGAGTGACATAATAGTGTAACTTTTCAGATGGTGGGTCACCTGTCACGCCAACCAAGACGCGCAGGCGTACGTAGGCAAAAGAGTACTGCAAGCCAGCCACGATGAAGTACACAAAATCCGGAGCAGTCTCCGATTCGCCATAGCTGGTTTGACCGATTACGACAGATCTGAAATAGAAACTCGCAACAAAGATAAATTATTGTTAATCGACAGATATATGATGCATTTGTTGTACCAATTTCAAAATAAGGTGAGTACAATTAAAACCACGCCTATCTAACCGTTTATAACCTCAATTTATTTTCCCCAAGGCCAACGAACACATGAGAGAATTCCAATTCCACAAAATATCGACGTCGCTGAACCACCTCTTGACCAATTCCGTATCGGCGCTGTATTACAACGCCATAAAAGACCGTCTGTACTGCGACCCGCTAGACAGTTCGGCTAGAAAATCGGTACAATTCACGCTCTATCACGTTTTCGAAACGGTCACGCAGGCCGTGGCTCCGATGTTGCCGCATCTAGTCGAAGAATTGTATCTGTACTACCCGTTGAGGGAGAGCAAAACGTATTTTACAACGGCGCATCCGAAATTGGATGACGAATGGGACGATAAGGCAGTGGAAAGTTTGTTCGAGTTGCTGTTGAAGTGGAAAAGGGACGTTAACGTGGAGATGGGGGCTAGTACCGGTGATGGCGTTGTTAATGTTGTCGTTTCACCGGAGATTGGGCGTAAGATTAAGGTAATATTCGTATCTAGATTTGTAATAATTGCCACATGTCAACTGTCATATTAATTTGGCTAACTTCACTGCATGTATTTATAATTTTTACCTACAATCGATACTTTATCGGTTTTTTTTTTAATATTAATACAACCGATTGTTTTTGTAGTCGGTTCTTTTATAATTACTTTTTTATAATCGTTACTTTTCACAATGGATTATTTTATTACAATCGAAATATTTTCAGATCGAATCTTTTTACAATCGATTATTTTTAGATATTATTTTTTACAATCGATTTTGTTAACCGATTATTTTTTACAATCGATATTTTTTTTTAGTCGATCGGATTATTTTTTTACAATTGTTTTTTACTATTAACGCAATCGATTCTATTTACAATATTTTCGCTTATTATTTATTTTGAACAATCGATATTTTTCGCAATGGATATATTATTACTACTTTATTATAATTGACGCTTTTTTACAATCGAATCTTTTTCTTATTTTAGTTTAATAACCTCCATCATAATGGTATTTAGTCAGCGTAGGTAAATTAGCTTATATAGAGTATGCTTGTCTTGCTCTAAGCAATAAAGTACCCTCAAAACTTGGTAAAATCAAATTTATTTTCATCCAACTCAAAAATATCACAATATTGTTGATATCTAATCACTTCGAGATAAAAATCACTTTTCGATGGCTTTTCTTATTAAATATTTTTACAAAAACACATGACTCCCGATTCTGAGACCGCCATTTCAATGTTGACACCACGGTGTCAAAATCGGAAGTCCCCAATCGAATCTTTATAATAATAGTTCTTACAATCGATTCTTTTTAAAAATGTATCTCTTTACATTTGATTCCTATTAACAGATTCTTTTGATAAATCGATACTTTTCACAATGAATTATTTTTTACAATCGATTCATTTTATAATCAAATCTTTTTAACAGTAATAGTTCTTACAATCAATTCTTTTTAAAAATCAAATTTTTTACAATCGATTCTGTTAACCGGTACTTTTTATGAATTGATCCTTTTTTCTTAATAGATTATTTTTTACAAGTTGTTTCTTTTTTACTATTAATGCCATCGATTCTTTTCATAGTCTATTTTTGTACAATTTATGCTTTTCACAATGGATTATTTTATTAAAATCGACGCATTTTAGAATCGATTGAAATTATAATTGAATCCTTTTTACAACTTATTCCTTTATAATCTATCTTTTACAATCGATACTTTTCACGATGGATTATTTCATCACAATCGATTGATTTTATGATCGAATCTTTTTTACAATAGTATTTAGAGTCGATTCTTTTTAAATCAATTTTTTAACCCATTGTTTTTTACAATCGATACTTTTTACAATGGATTATTTCATTATAATCGATTGATTTTATGAATGTTTTTTATAATAGTATTTACAGTCGATTCTTTTTTTTAATTTTTTTTTTAAATCTATTTTTAACTGATTATTTTTTACAATCGATGCTTTCACAATGGATTATTTCATTATAATCGATTGATTTTATGAATGTTTTTTATAATAGTATTTACAGTCGATTCTTTTTAATTTTTTTTTAAATCTATTTTTAACTGATTATTTTTTACAATCGATGCTTTCACAATGGATTATTTTTTATAATTTATACTTTCATAATTGTTTTTTTTTACTATTATTTTTACTTTTTTTATAGTCGGTTCTTTTTTAAATTCTATTCTTTTTATAGTAGATTTTTTACTGTCTATTTTTTACAATTGATACTTTTCCCAATGGATTATTTCATTACAATCGATGCTTTTTACAATCGATTTATTTTATAATCGAATCCTTTTTTAACAATCATTACTTTCTACAATGTTAAGTTTTTCAATTTTAACTAAGGTAATATTCAATTGTCATTCTGTCATTTTCAGAATGTGATTTCGTTAAAAGATTTGGAAACCCAGATAGTGGATGTATTTCAAGTTTCCCAAGTGAGTATAATCCAAGGGGAAATGGACGGTGAAGATTATAAAATTAATATTTCTAAAAGTTCGAATCACTTGTGTCCGAGATGCAGAAAAGTAAGTTCAGATAGAGATGACGCATTGTGTAAGAGATGCCACGAAGTTGTTGCGGAATTAAGTAATAAAACCGCGGTTGTTAATTAAATAGTGTTTTATTTAAAAATTCTCGCAACGTCCAAATTGATTTCGATTAATAGATTGTTATCGATTATTCCATTAATCGAGATCGATTATTTTCCATTTATCAGTTATAAATAGAAAATCGAATAATTTCGATTAATCGTTAAATTGATTATTTCCGAATAATCGGATTATTAGATTAATCGATATTATTTAATTACTTATTAAACTTATATTCGATTCTTATTGATGTATCCATTTCGCAAGGTTTTCATCCTAGTCCTATTATATGGTTTTTATGCAGAGGATTTAAAATTTACGACTGGCACGGCTAAATGAATGGATGAAGGTAAGTAAAAAAATCATTGATATGCATAATTTTATTGGTCAAACTTTGAAAGATAACATTACTGGCAATACAGTAATCCCGACCTCTTTTTGTTAACCCGATAATTTTTCTCATTAATTAAACACAAGTCCTACATAAAACTGATTTTAAATACTCGTAAATACATAAAGATTTGGCAACGTGCATAGAACCTGTCATCTATCAACTGTCATTAAATTTAATTTTGAAAAATTACGTCAAAAGGTTACATTCTATTAGGCATTCCAACGACCTGTCCAAATGGCTACCAGTGGGTAATGACAGTTTAGATATGGCAATCCTGTTGTCACGTTGTCATTAACATGGTCAATGATACATATATAGTTATATAGATTGCTCAAAGCTGGTCGTTTAGGAGCGGCCATATTGCTTGGCAAATATTTATTAATTTGAATCGGTTTAGCAAAAATATGTTTTAAAACCAATTTTTAGCCTTTAGATATTTAAAAAAAATAATTGCTTACATTTTTAGTTCAAGGCATACGCTTATGTTTATTTTGAAAAATATGGATAATCAATCTATGTAACTATCTATTTAATTGACCTTGTCAAATCACCAGGCCTACAGGGTTGCCATAATTTTGCCATATCATAACCCACTGGTAGCCATTCAGTTTGGAATGCCTAATTAGGCATTCCAACGACCTGTCAAACAATAGGTGCCAGTGGGAAATTCTTGTATATTTAAGGGGGTAGCGACATAGTCTTGCAACTTGGACGCTATTTTTATTCGAAGTAGTACTCGCCAAGCCTGCCAATTTATGAAGAAATGTATAGGTGGGTTTTTTAAATATTATTTTTATTGTGTTTGACATAAAATATTTAAATGTAATCAATTATTCATGATTTTACGTAAAGTAGATAGAATACACCAAATGTCGCCACCCTTAGATATACCAAACCTGCCCACTGGTAATTCATTTGTTTGGAATGCCTAATTGTTATCATGTCGTCTGTCATTGGATATACCGTATTTATACTTGTCACTTTGAGAGAAATCGTCAACTATAGTAATGATTTGTAGTTCGAATTACTTCCAATAGTAATTTAGTAAAGTAGACCATGTTTGATAAGAAATCATAAGACATAAAATCTAGATGCAAAATTCGCATCAGCACGTTTTGAAAAACTTACATTTTCTTTTCGTCAAGCTCAGATGTTTTTTCAGCGTTGCCAAGTCAAAATCATTGTAACCAACCGTCAGAGTCTAAAATGATTCCGAACAAGCTACCATAGCTGTCAAAAATGTCATTTCATTTGCTATTAGGCTGGTTCGGTTTGAAGGCAAAAGAGATGAAGTTTGGGTGGTTGCCATGATGACAATTATTGTCTTGTTTGGAAACAAATTATATATTTATAAAAAAACATGTTGCAACATTGCCTAAAAGACACAATCGTATATCTTTGTTATTATTCATCCGATTCAGATGCTGAAAACGTCATTCAATGTGAAATTAATTTGACTTCATCACTAACTTGATCCAGTTACTACTAAAATTACGGGTTAACAAATGAGAGGTCGGTTATATCCTAGAATTTAATATAAATCCAATTTTACATTTCGTCCACAACTTCTTTCGGAATAAAATAATTACAATTTATTTTTCTCTTGAATTTTATTAAATATGTACAAATAATTTACGTCGTGCGTTTTAAAAAAATAAAGACTTGTGATATTTGACCAAAGTTGTGAACGCAATTTCGAAAAAATTTTAATCAGTCGACATTTATTATAAAATTAATTGAGCACCAAGTTTTATCACATTCATAAGGCAACAAATGATTATCGGCTTGCAAACTACAAAACGTCAGTAATCCCGTCCATTCATAAAATCCGCCTCACTCATTTTTTATCAGAACGCAATAGGGTTGACAACATTGTGCGATGATAACACGCTGTTGTTATCCCACATTTAATTTATGTGGGATAACTACTATTTTCAAAAAAATAATTTTAATCCATATAAAATTAATTTTATCCCATATAAAATTGTATCTCACATAAAATAGATTTTATGCCTCAAAAAATTAATTTTATCCCACATAAAATAAATGTTATCCCAAGAAAAAATAAATATCCCACATAAAATTAATTAAAACTAAATGTGTTATATATGGGATCGATCTTATGCAGGTTTCATTGATCTCATTTGGGACATATTTTATGTGGGATTGATCTTATGTGGTACCGTCTAAATACAGAATACGTGGGATAGATTTTATTTGATTCAGAGACAAGCAGCCGTTGAGGCCATATCGAGTCAGGAAATGATGTCGAGGATTGTATAAAATTGCACTGAAGAATTTAGAACATTTTATGTTTAATTGATTTTATTTGGGACATATTTTTTGGTATTAATCTCAATGTGGTACAGATTTTTGTATAGAATCGATTTTATGTGGGACAGATTTCATACAGAATCAATTTTATATAGGACATGTTTTATGTGAGATTAATCTTACGTGGGACATATTTTATGCGAATTTTTTATATATATTTTATTTGAAATAGATTTTATTAGGGACAGATTTTGTTTTTTATGTGGTATATATTTTATACAGAACCTGTGGGAGATTTTATGCGGAAACTATTTTCTGTGGTACATTTTAATGGAATTGATCTTGTATGGGACATATTTTATGTGGTCTAAATAATGTCAGAGATAAGCTGCCATTAAGGCCATATCGAGTAAAAAAGTGATGTCGAGGATTGTATAAAATTGCATTGAAGAATTTAGAAAATTTTATTTTAAAATGATTTTATTTAGGACATATTTTATGTGGGATTGATCTCATGCACACATTTTATGTGGGACATATTTTATGCGAGATACGGCTCATATTTTGTGACTAATCTTATGCGAGACATATTTATGTGTTACACATTTTATGCAGGACCTTTGTTGTGGTCAATCTTATGCGGGACAGATTTATATGTGGTACATATTTTATGCAGAATCGATTTTATGCGGAAAATATTTTATATAGGACAGGTTTTATGCAAGATTATTCTTACGTGGGACATATTTTATGAAGTTAATCTTATGCAGTACAAGTTTTACAAAGGAACCTTATTGTGTGTGGAAAAGATTTTATGTGGTAACTATTTTTTGTAGGACATGTTTTATGCGGGATTGATCTTACGTGGGAGATATTTTATGGGATATTGATTTTATGTGAGAGATTTAAGTGGGATTGATCTTATGCAAGACAGATTTTACGGAATTTTTTCGTACAGGATTGATTGATTTTAATCAAATTAATTTTATGTGGGAATGAAAGGGCAACTTTTTGTGTGACATTTGAAATAAGCTGCTGATCCAAAAAATGAGGATGTTGCAAACCCTATGGGCCTTGTAGGCGGACTCGAGACCCGTTAACACTGAATATAACCGATTTGATATTCTTTCAGCTCTAGGAAATGTTAAATTGGCCAAGTGCGGTATCCATTGCGCTAACTTGCCTTCTTTTATAGTAGTAACGTTCTCTTTAGCTGTGGATTAACAAGGATTCTATTTACGAATAGTAAGGGTAAATTACTGAAGAAAGCGTCAACTTGACCGACCCCACACTCTGCCTGTTTCTGCCTTCAGTCCTTAGCTTACACTATTTTGGGCGGGATTGGCTCTTTCTACAGTAATGATACTCTTAACAATCGATTAGGAATATGTACTATCAATTTCATAATTTTGCATGCCGATAAAGTGTCTACCAAACATCGAAAGACCCAGTAGTCCCTTTACTAGTCCCTATGGCACTCTTGGGATCAGGAGCTAAGGAGCTCCAATGCGTTTGTTCGCAACTATCTAACTGTAGACCGCAAATGGTCCCGCACGTTTGTGCGATTTTGTAAAACATCGCGAAAAGTTGATCGATCCATGCGGCGAGCTCGTCGCCAGTTTTTTGGGTATTCAGATCGCTCGTAGCTCGTAAATGTTGTTTTTGTTCAGTAGATGGCAGGAATTTGTCGAAGAGGGAATTCTTCAAGTCTTTTTTTTCTTTTGAGCCTCTGTTGAGATATGTGAGTTGGTGGACTTTGGCGGGAGAGCCGTTGTACGTGTCAAGCGGTAATATCGGAAATTTGACTTCGGCTAGTTGGGTGTTTTTGTACAGCACTTTGACGCTCCAGGTGCCTGAAAGATTTTTACATCTATATCCAAATAAGGATATGGTTTCAAACAAATATATCGTGTGAAAGGTCTATCAACAAAAACGTAGGTCGTCGATTCATATTCGGTTCGAAGGACCAAAAATAGAACAGAACGTATGTTAGGCTACTAAAATGGCTTATTCTTAATTTATAGAATATAAACGAATTAAATTGAAGTGATAACGTATTTGACAACTTTACGCTAAATATTTATTTATTCTTCAATCGGGGTAACAAGCGGTAAGAAAGGTACATAAAATAGCGGTAGCGAGCGATACGTTTCTATGCCGATGGTACATGCGGTTTTTTCTGTTCAGGTTCAAAAGTATGAACCTTTTAGGTGGGACACGGTGTCAAATATATTGCGCAAAAAATCATATTAAAAATTAATTAGGTAAATTAAATCATTCTTGAACAGTAACATTACATTAGACATCTCATGCCAAAAATGTGTGAAATGTATTAGTATTAAATGTCAAAAACATCAAAAAGAGCATGTCAAATGTCACCAAGTCAAAAAACATTAAGGGTATGGTCCGATATTAACCGAAATATCGATTACTCGGTCCAAAACTAACCACACTGCTTGACATTTCTGAAAAACCGTTTAAATTAGGGACGCGGTTATCTAAAAATGGTGATTCAAACGTCTAATAAGTCGAATGTCAATCTGTCACAAAAGTGACGTAAATTTCGGTCGTTCGCCAAATGTATCGAACAAATTAGTTTTTTCAGGAACCACAGTCAAAAAATGCTGATTAGTAGTTGGTTAATACCGGACCATACCGTAAAATGTGAGTCACTTGGTGGAATTTTTGACTATGATTTTGTGACTGCTCACATACGCATATAGCTAATCTACATATTCCTTAACTGTCTGTTAATGCCTGAAACAGATGTATAAATCTTACCTGGTAAAATCGGCTGCTTCAATCCGCTCTTAACGCCCCCAGCGACAGAAGACTGATCCACAAAAAACTCGACGACGTCATACAAATGCCCATCAGGTCCTACCCATATCGAAGTCAAATTATAAACCCTGGAATTGGACGACCATCGCGAGAATCCGTACACCAATACCGGTTCCGAAAACGGCGTCAAAACCCGCAAAAAGTTTCTAGAAAGCTGCTCCTTCTGATCGTAATCGCTGGTAACCATTAGCAAATCCAATCGATCCATCAATGTCGAATTTTTCAACAACGACAAACGACGTTTCGGTTTGACGGCTATCTCTACTCTGTCAGCTGCCAAACTGTACATAAACAAAGTATAGATGTAACTATCGTTGTGGTGATACGACGTCACTTCTACTAAGGTTAGATCGCAATCGGTGGGATCTTTGAGCGATTTTAAGTAGCTTCGCTTCACGCTGTTGCTTAAAGTCAGCAAACCATCGTTTTGATTAATCTCTAAGTCTCTGTGATGGTATATGCTCTGCCAATATCCGTGCAGATTAGGAACCTCTTTGCTAGGAGAGTCCAGATTATGCAACCACAGTTCCAATTGTAGAATGACCGCTTGATTGACGGTAGATTCGAATTTTCGCGCGAAATACAGCTGCCTGACGAGGGTGTTTTGTATCCTAGCCCAATCATCGGGTCGGAAATTGTTGGGACTGCAGCCGCACCAATCGACGATGTGTTTGTACTGGCATTTGCAGCCCAATTTGCGTTTCCAGTTGGTCACGTGTAGGTTGTTATCGATGTAGGTATCGCAGAATTTGGAATTCCGTAAAGCGGTATGGAAAAACGATTCGGCCGGTAATAGAGTGTGTTTGAAGATTCTTAACAACCCAGCGATTAGGTCGTCCGGATAGGGTTGAGCTACGTACTCGACGAAATTGCGTGATAAGGCAATCCAGTCGCTACCTCCATCTAACTGTATGCCAGCTGGTAACGTTCTATCGCCGATACGCCACATCCTGTACTCGCATTCGACGAACGTCTTATCCAAACCCTGTTTCTGGATGAAACGTTGCACTTCTCTTCCGTGAGATTTCACGAAATTTCTGTTTTTATTTAAGCTCAGAAACTCGGACAGTTTCGAGATGGGTTTCACGGGGAAATCGCTTTCGCTGAGATTAAGTACAAAGTCCCATTTCCAATCTTTGATGTTCAACAGCTCCCACATGCAGGATCTGAGCATTTCGAGTAGCGAAGCGCCGCCCCATATAGTAGCGAAGCGTTGTCTCGTGAGACGCACGTTCGGTAGGATTTGTTCGAGGTGTAAAAGTTCCCTATATAGGTAATCTTGTCTCTGAAACAGATTAAGATTGGTTCTGGTGGTTGTTTTGCAGTTATTTTTCTGTTAGTTAAAAAAGTACGAACTTTGGGGTATAGAAGTTCTTAATGGATCGTGATAGTCGTGGCATCATAACAAAGTTTATATACAAAATAAGTTATCATGACAACGATGTCAGATGTTACTATAATCTGTTGTACTGCGATAACATCAGTTAGTCTCAAGACCCACTATTGTCACCAAATGTAACAACCAGCTAGTCTAAAGACCTATTGACAAAACCCATGACACTTTTACCACTGTTAAAGAAATGATTGATTTTTGTAATAAATACTATATTGAAGTTGGTAGTAAATTGGCAGAAACAATTAAGAAACCATCAAACAAGTTTAAAATAAATTATCCGTCTATCAAAGAATCTTGCTTTGTAAAACCAGTTGATGAAAACGAAATTGCGTCACACATCAAAAGTTTAAAAAACGGTAGCTCACCAGGAATTGATAACATCACAACAAAAATGATTAAAAATAACCATAATCATTTCCTATATCCACTTACACATATAATGGGTCCTATGATTGAACGTTTACGTTAATTTTAACACGAATCTGTTATGTTTTGCTAACAGGGAATAGACAACGTATGAAATAACAGTAGGTGTCGTATCGGTATGATTGAAAGTATCGATAACAGAAGATGTTAAGCTGGCGAATGAAAGAAAGTATTTATTTGCGTTATTGCGCATGCGCACAAAAGTACCTAACTTTACTTCATTTCTAAAAATGACTAAAATGAGGTTTCCATGTTTTTCTAAATGTAAAAGCAACAAAAATTAGGTTAGAATTTTTTGCAGTTAATTTTTCATTTAATTTAATTTATTATGGCGAAAAGATTAGCCAAAACAACTGTGAAATAGTATGAGGAGCTACTTAATTTTGTTAGAAAAAACATTATATTATCATTGTTGTTGTACTTTTATTTATAGAAAGCCTGAACTGAGACATACTGCAAAGCACTTACACAAGATCCAGATTAAATGAGAATCTGAGAACTCCAGCAGTTCAGCGAAATGCAAGTCAAAGATTTGTAACTTATGTTGCTCCCAAAATCTTTAACACCTTGCCTGTCAATGTGAGGAACATAAAAAATTTAAAATTATTTCAGAAGAAATCAAAACAGTATATCACTTCTAATATTAGTGCATATCGAAATGTACTCTAGATAATTTTGTATTCTTATTACTGATATTTTAAAACTATGTATATATTATAAAACTATCTATTTGTATCGACTGATAGGTTTTTAGTTACTGTTGTTAATATACTGGAATGTTGGAAATATATCTAACATATTTTACTGATACCACAGGCTAGCCCTGTTCCATCAAATTAATTAGAACCCTTTTTAGAGCGTTTTGTATCCTAAATAATTTATACTTATGTATGATTCAAGTGATTTTAATTCTAGAACGGTATCGTTTAATTCTTATCGTAAAATGTACGCATTTACACATTTTTACAGACATGTAGACTTTGTAAAATAATGTTTTATTTTTTTTTAGAATATAAAGCAGTAACCAATGACGTGTTTTTAACATTATTTAATGAGAAAACAATTTTAAAATGAAAAATAGAGTACAGTAATTTAATTTAAAATAAAGGGAACGTAATAATAATATAGGGGGTGGGTGGCTCAGTGGATAGAGTCAGGACTTTTGGACCCAAGAATCCCAGGTTTGAATCCTGCTGGTGATAGGATTTGTATTTAATTCAATGAATTAAATGTAATAGGTAGGTAGGATTCCCCAGCCGATCATTTACTGTTGGTTTTTAATTAATATTGTTCCTAAAGTGGCGCTGGGAAACAGTAACAAAGCTTATACAGAACACGAGGCTAATAACCACAGCAGTTGATGCAGATGACACAGAAAAAAACTCCTTACAAATCCCCCATTGCGAGTGAATTTTAACCCCTGGGGTAGAATTCTCGAGTCTCGCATGAAAATTGTCGCACACGGCAAATGTCGCATAGTTGTTAAAAATACATATTTAGAGGTGCGTTTGAACCTATGACGCCGGGGTTTTAGAAAACTGAAATTTTCAGTGAATGTAGTCGTGAAGTACCTGATTAAATCCCACTTAGTCAGAATGTGGCACAAATCGCCGTTTCCTCATAAAAAAAATAATAATCTTTTAGGGGTGCTTTTTAACCTATGACGCCGGGGTTTTAGAAAACCACAGGGGTAGTATTCTCAAATACCTCGATTCACATGCAAGATTAGTCAAATGTTGAATAGCAACTAGGTGATTTTAAAAAAGTGTACCATCGAAAACAGGATACGACAAATGTCAGGTAAAGTACCAAAACCAAATAGTGAGTTTTTTAAAAACAGTGTAAATTATTTAGGGACAAAGTTCTATAACGCTCTACCTTTTCATATAAAATTATTAAACAAATATAAGAAATTCTGTAAAGTTAGCAAAATATACATTTTCCAAAATAATGCAAAGTTTATCAGAATATTCCAAGAATAACGGACTTAATACATGGATTTTTTTTCTGTTTCTTGCATAAATTGTTCAAGTTTTATTTTTTATTTAAAAAAAAATGTTTTTTTTTATTTCCTTTATAATTCATTAAATATAATTAAAATAAAATTTTAATTTTTGTCAGCACATACAGGTGTTCTCACCTAGGTGCTTGTTATTATATAATTGATTTACATTATTATTATATAGGGTGTTTTTGAAATGCATATTACATATTAAGATAGGTTAATCTGTATACTCTTCCAAACATACTGGCTCTTTGAGGTTGGTTAACAATGAAACAAAGAATAATTTAAAAAAAAGTAGAAATAGAGTCTTAAATTTTAGAATCGATGCCGAAATAGGTGTCTTCATTTTTAGACATCAAACACTGGTTATTTCTAATATGAACAAGTTTTTCAATATTACCCTGTATAAAATGCATTAAATTTATAGCAATTTGACAAATATACTTACAATATCTATATGTATGTAGTAGTAATGATCCCTATGATACAGTATTTTCAACAGCCTTTTTACTTGTCTTAAAGCTCTACCATTTAAAGTTAATAGGAACACAATTTTTACAGGTTTTTTGGTATCATTGCTTGATTCTGATATAGCGTTTTGCGGAATAAACCCTAAAAACAAAAAAAAACAGAAATAACATAACCTTGTCTACCTTGAGCGAATGATTCAAACTCACTTTTTATTCCTGTATGATATATATTCACGGTGTAGTTTCCACCGCACGTTGCATGTGAATCACCGGGACATTTCATATTGCAAGAAGAATCGGGAATTTTCAAAGTTAATGGTGGGTCATCAATGCCACAAAAACATTCATTTCTAAAATGTACATCATATAATTTTAACTGAAATCAATCTAAAAATATAAATTACATACCCATACTGCACCCCTGCATATGGAAAACCAGATTGCAGACACAATTTAATACAAAATTTCGGAGAATTATCATTCTTGTTGACTCCAAAATATCCTGTAAGGAGTCTGAAATTTTTCTCATCTTTAAAACATCCCAAGTCCCTACCAGCCACGAATTCACCTGTAGGGCAAGTACTTTTCAATTCTTTTGGGTACAAATCATTTCTGTTCGACAAACAAGTAATGTTCGCTATAATTTGTTTGCATTGCTGTGTCTTAGCCCTGTTTATAGCAGAAACTGCTTCTTTCGCCGAAATCTGGCAAACGGGCACGAAATCCAAATCGTCATATTTCAGTAAATGAGTGTAGTTGGCTTTGTCTTTTTGTTTACTTTTTTGTATCGCTGCACTGACTTCATAATCATGGCTTGCTTTGAAATTGTCAGAGGAATGTATTTCTATTTCTTGATCCAATTCTTCGAAGTTCATGGAAAGCCATTTGTTGTCTTTGGGCTCGACTGCTGTTTTATTTATCGACAAGAATTTTAGGGCTAGGAATATTTGGAAGGATAGGATCACAACTCCGATGAGGAAAAATGTTCTATACCTTCGCATCCATTTGTTGTTTTTTGAATTGCCTTTTACCATTTCAATAATCTTTAACCGTTCATTTAATAACAGTGGTTATTGTCATTGCTTTATCTTTAATCATTATTTTTAATAGCTAGAAGGAATACCAAATTTTATTTTTTTTCCAGTTATTTATTTCAAGCCAAGCGCATGCACCAAAAATATCAATTTCTTCTGTTTCGATGACAGTTGGAAATCGATTTACACTTTTTACAGTTTAAATATAATCGATTTTCGTATCATCCATTTCTTAATTTATTTTGATTATCTAGAAATAAAAGCAATATAAATGCCCTGAACGTAATATAAATTATTATCATTCTTATTTGATATATTCTATTAACATTTTTTTTTTAATATGCTTGTTGAATTCTTTTTACTTTTGGAGACCAATTTTGGCAACAGGGCAGATTGGAATCCTGTTAAGAGTCCAACTTAGTATTGCCATTGATAGGAAAATTTCCCTAAATCTGGGAAAAATCTGCAATCGCTAGAGGAAAAAAGGGAAATTTTCTCTATAATTTAGGGAATTTTTAAAGTTCTTGATTTATATTTGTGAAAATATATATTAAGTACTCACCTAAGAAATTATTAAAACCAGATTTACTCTTGGCAAAAACGCTATCTATTCTAAGTCCGCTTTAATACATTAGCAGCTGAGGCTAATGGCCGTAGTAATCGACGCCGATGACACCAAATTAAAAAGAAAAAAAAATATATTAGCAGCTCAGAATCTCAGATAGGTCTAATTTACTATTATAATCCTTGTTCCCAAAATATAAACTTTAAATTAATAGTAAATTCCCAACCTCAACTCGGAGGAATTTTCTATTTTTATATTTAACGGCCTTTAAAAATATTGGCGGCCTATAAAAATATGTTCGTATTCGTTAATTATTTAAACAGATTTCTTTAAGGACCGATTCCACCGTTGTGTTAAACGAAGTTTAAAATGACATTTTTACTTTAACAACGTCATTTTAATCTCCGTTTAACACATCGGCCCTTCCAGGGCCGATTCCACCGTTTTGATAAACGAAGTTTAAATTACTAAACGAAGATTAAAATGACATTGTTTAATGTAAAAATGTCATTTAAATCTTCGTTTGGTAATTTAAATTTCGTTTAACACAACTGTGGAATCGGCCCTTAGTACTTAGCTAAGTTAGGACCAATTCCACCGTTGTGTTAATCGAAGTTTAAAATGACATTTTAAGGGCCGATTCCACCGTTGTGTTAAACGGAGATTAAAATGACATTGTTAATGTAAAAATGTCATTTTAAACTACGTTTAACACAACGGTGGAATCGGTCCTTACAATGTCATTTTAATCTCCGTTTAACACAATGGTGGAATCGGCCCTAAAATCATGCAGATATGCCATTACAAATTGAGTTTGCTGATTTTATCATAGATCCCTCCATCATATCTTGACTAAATGTATAAGGGGCCATCCCTGAAGTACCCCTATTTCTAACAAAAAAAAGAATATTAGAAATCGGACAAAGTGTTGTATTTTTTATAATACTGAAGTTTATTTTTTATGCATTTTATCTTGTATATGTTGAATAAAAAACATGGACCATAAGTGACTTGGTATTTAGACAAAATATTATTAATAAATAGGATGTTTTCAAGAATATTTCTTCATTTCCAAATTAAAAAAATGTGAGGAATTTTTGAGAAATTATTTAGGGAAAAAAAATTTGGACCTGGCAACACTGACCCAAGTTAAGTCAAACTGTCAAAATCAACAATTTTTGAGGTTAGGTTTTGTTAGTGATCGAAAAGTTGTTTGAAAATACTTTAAAAATGATTGCTGTACAAGGAATAACCCAATCAGGCATCCCTGATAAAATGTGGCAGCCCCCTTTTGTACAATTCGACACAACAATGGGGGAATTCGTGATAGAACTTTACTGGAAACATGCCCCTCAAACTTGTAGAAATTTCGCTGAACTTAGTCGAAGGGGGTACTACAACAACACGGTCTTCCACAGGATAATCCGGGACTTCATGATTCAAGGCGGTGACCCTACGGGTACGGGAAAAGGAGGTTTGTCTATTTATGGTCAAACTTTTAGAGATGAAATTCATCCAGAGTTGAAACACAGTGGTGCGGGTATTTTATCAATGGCAAACTCGGGACCGGATACCAATGGTTCGCAATTTTTCATTACGTTAGCCCCGACTCAATGGTTGGATGGAAAACATGCTATTTTTGGAAGGATATCCTCAGGAATGAACATTATTAGTAGGATAGGATTAGTAGCGACTGATAGGAACGATAGGCCTGTGGAAGAGATTAAAATATTAAGAGGAAAAGTATTGAAAAGTTAATTTTAATTAATGAGTCAATAAGATAATTTATAATTTTTTTAATAAATATTTTTTATGTGTTTCGCAAGTTATTTCTCTCGTTATTTCTGTAGAGTTTGTCCACTGTAAATAAATTAAGGATGGGGATAAGAGTTAAAGAAAACAAATTTACAATTAATAATGTTATTATTAATTAAAATTTAACATATTTCACAGTGTTCTATAAAAAATACTTCTTCTGTAGAATCCAAATTCACCACTAAAGAACATAACATAATTTTATAATCTTACAATTTTAAAATAGTTTTGGCTACGAGGAAACGGAGAACTTCAACTCGGGCACCAGTCACCTACCAGGGTTACCAACCAAACAACATTAACTGTTATCCGTCAATTTATTTTCTAAATACGTCCGTCAAACGGTGAAATTTGTCTTTTATATGTTGGTATACATGCTAAATGTCAAATACTGAAGTTTTGGCAACGTTTTTAACTAATCTACCACCTAATTAAAAATTGATAAATACATAATTTTATTAAAAAGAAGTCCATTGAAATTCTCCATTTCCAGTAAAACAAATTAAATAATTTCGATAACAATTAATTCATAAATTCAAAATAAAAAATGTGGGGGTAGACCCTAATATAATATTTTTTTTACTCTTATCTTTTTATTGGCGGTCTATGTTGTCCATATACAAACACCTGTAGGCTTTGTTTATTAATTACTGAACACATTATTTTTCACCTATGTAGTAGTACATTAATTTTAGCCAGGCAAGTAACAATCTTAAGGACAGCGCGAGTTACGGTCGTCGATTATAAACAAACGTGACATTAAATGACAGTGACAAAACGTCAATGTCATTTAACAATCAAACGCGGCGACATAACCCGCACGTTCACATTGTGTGTATTATTGACGTCGATATATCCACCTAAACATTAGATATTTATATATAAATGCAGAAATAATATAAACAACTTCGCAAAATTGCAATATACTTAAAAATCATTCAAAAAAACAATAATCACATTTATGCACGTTTTTATGTTGTTTTGTGCTTTTCATAATGAATCAACCAATCTTTTTAAGACCATCCCCAACCTTTTTAGTCCTACAAAAAATAAATTAACATAAAAGATATAAATTCTAACAAAATTGAAAAGATGCCAAAATAGAAAAAGATGGATCACTTTTTAGCTTGACACTTGGCAAGCGATACTAACTGTCATAAAATGTGAAGAAATGTGTCAAATCCAAAAATAATTTCATCAGAAATTTCAATTTTTTAGTGACGCATAGGTTGCTGGAAGGAGCAAATGTAAATTTTTGGGGTCTCAAAAAGATTAGTTTTATATAAAATCGGATAATTTTGAACCAATTTGTACGCGGTTATGAATTGTAAGTACAGAATACAAGGCGAACGTAAAAAGATTTATTTCCATGAAGAATATTGGTTCAAAATTAAAAGGGAGTTCCCTCTTTCGTCCTGTTCCAACTTCGATGCACGTTAAAGAACATTTTAAGAAACTCGGATTTTTTTCAGTTTTTTTCCTTGAAAATTTCCGAACTCGCCCATCGAAGTGGAAGGACGCGAGACAGCCGCTAAAAACACAACAATTTTTTAATTTCATTTTTTTTTTCAAATATTTTTTGTTTCCTCTCTCTCTCTCTCTGTCGCACGCGCGCGCTTTGAATTTACAATTACAAGATGTTACACCTACGTTTTGGTTTTACTTGCATGACGGGACACAGTACTGCCCGTATGGCTTCATCAAATACTGTCTTTAATCCTTTTTGCGTCAACGCGGAACATTCGAGATATTTCACGGCGCTGATCTCTTTCGCCATCGCCAAACCCTGCAAAAAATAATAAAAAAATTAAGTTTCATAATCAATATATACAGGGTGTTATTGAACATCCAATGTTTAACATTTAACTAATCAAAATTACTGTTAAGAACTAAATCATACAGATTTATTGATGAATGAAAGTAAGAAATAGTATATCTCATATGTATAAATCCAAAAAGAATCATAAGTTCATCAATAGATGGCACTGTAAGTCGTTAGCACTGGTACCAGGGTAAAGGACAACAAGTGCTAAATGTTTTTTTTTTATTTACGGGATTACCCCTATTACAAAAATTTACCGTATAACAATTTAAATATTTATTTATTTAACGGAAAAACCTCTTTATAGTAAAATAACAAAGTGGCATTTAACCTACATAGATACAAAAAATAAATAAATTTATTGACGAATCATAGATATCATGTTTTTAATGCTTTGCCCTCAACTTAGCTTTAAAGGAGCTCAGGGAAGGAGCGATAAAATCAATGCCCTGTTCACCAAGCATATTGGCTGTTCTTGATAAGCGAAAGACAGGAGTGTGATATCTATAAATTGTATAATGAAATGGAATAGCCAACAAATTATGGTTACGAGTGGTCCTATTCTGAATCCTAAGTGAGAAAAGGGACAGGAGTTATGGGCAACAAATATCCCCTGACAAGTTTGAATATCGAAATTATTTCCATAAATACTCTACGGTTTTCTAATGTTAATAAGTTAAGTGAATTCAAAATACGAGGTGTGACAAGTAATGAGACTGATTTCATAAAATCCGTATATTTAAAAATTATTCTACAACTCTGCCATCCCCTTCAAAGTAGTCCCCATGGGCAGCTATACAACGTTTCCAGCGCGCTTTCCTCGCTTCGCAACATTTCTGGAACGCTTCGACTGGGATGTCTGCGAGTACCCTCGTCACGGTCTTTTGGATGTCCGTAACCGACTCAAAATGGGTTCCTTTTACATTGATTTTGCTCTAGGGAACAGAAACAAGTCACAGGATGACATATCAGGTGAATAAGGCGGTTGTGGAAACACAGTGGTTTCGTTAGAGGCCAAATATTGGGACACGCTGAGGGCGGTGTGGCACGGCGCACTCTGTTGACTCGTTTTCGCAATCCTTCGAGTACTTAGCGGTAGTATACTTGATTTACGGTTTGTCCCGATGGAAAAAATTCTTTATGGATAATTCCACGGCTATCAAAAAAGGTCAGTCCGCACCTCGACTGGTCTCCCGCTCCGCGCCTGGCCTTCAACGCTTTATGCCATCGAAACACCAGGGCACGACTGAGAGCACTATCACCATACACTTTTACGATTTTAGTGTACGTTTCCGAAGCTGTTTCGCCCAATCTGGCGCAAAATTTTATCGCGACGCGTTGCTCTAGATTTTTCTTCTCCATTTTCGTGACGAGCACCACCAACACCCGTCTACTAAACACGACAGCCGGCGAACTAAACAAACTAGAGAGAAGGTAAAAATATTATGAGAAAGGATGTCGGGGGAGGGGAAAGGGAGTTTCAAGGTTGCAAGTTTACTACAAGCGCGGCAATAAAATCGGTCTCATTACTTAATTGTCACACCTCGTATAACATATTGACTACATTAAAATATATTGAAATACAAATAAACAAAAGTATAATAATTACAGAGTATTGTGCAGTAATTTTGATATTGTGAAGACTATAAGGTAGCTGCGTATTGTAGTTTCGAAATAATAAAGGAAAAATATACTATTCTTATAGCCCAGATAGATAAATGACGGCAGTTTTGTAAAAGCCTAAAATCTTAGAGGATTCCACTGCAAGTCGGTTTATATGCTCCACAAAATGCAATTGTTCATCAAACACCACTCACAAGTCATTTATCAATGTCACATAAGACAGCTGACCTCCGTATATTGAGTAATGAGTGTTAAATTTTGTATGTATTTTATAAAAACTTATAAAACAACACTTAGCAACAATCAAATGCAATTTGTTTTTTGAACACCAATTATTTAAATTATTTAGATCCTCCTGAATTGTATGTACTAATGAAAATAAATAAAATTTAAAATCATCAACAAATATTACACCATCCGTGTATTTTAAGCAATCTATAATATCATTGGCGGTACTCCAGAAGGTACTTTAATAGAATTGTATTTAAAACAGTCTATTCTCACTTGTTGTGTGCAACCGATAAAAAAACGTTTGAATCATTTTAAAGACTAAAAAGGAAAGCCAAGTTGTCTTAGTTTTTCTATCATAATGTTGTGTTGTACTTTATCAATTGCCTTGGAGAAATCAGTATAGATCTCATCCAACTGACCTTTTTTCTCCAATGCAGCTAGTATTTTTTGCTCCAAAATTATTAAATTAGTAACAGTTGATTTGTTCTGAGAAAAGCCATGCTGATTACTCATCTCTTTGCCATGAAATTTTAACTGGTCGCTCGCAAGACTGCCCAAAACTTTAGGGAGAGATGATTTATTACAACCACTACGATATTTTGTTTTGTCTCGTTTGTTTCCTGATTTATACTGGATATAGATTTGAAAAATACACATTTTAAAAATATTTTTGGATATATTGGATGTTGCGTTTTTGCCTGCCATATAAAAATGTATGTGTTTTAATAGAACACCCTGTATTTTATAATGGTTTGGTAATATTGTATTCAACTCTAGAATGTTCTTAAAAAATATTAATCTTATGATGCAGACCCCAAATTAAATTATCTTAATTTAGGTAGGTTTACATTGCTTTCAAAATTGTTTAATATACAACACCCTGTATATTATCTTAGCATAAAATTCCTTATACAACGATACACATATACAGGATGTCCCATTAGTGCATAACTGATCGAGCAAGTTAAAACATCAGTACATTAAGACAGGTATAACCAGGGGCTGGTAACTCAAATGGAAAAACATGAGGCTGGTAACTTAGTACCACTCCAATTAACGGGATGGCGCTCGTATCGAAATATCATGTCAGTTGTCAGCTCGTCAAAACTTCAAACTCAGATAAAATAAAATGGCTATTTTGATTCATCTAAAATCTAAATTTATTTTTCAACACCTTCCAATTTTAAGCATGTTTTCAAAAGATGGGAAGATGGATTTCAGCAACAAACAATAAAGCACTCCCAGATATTGGTAGTAATGCAATTTATACCACATTAAATATGCAGTCGTCCCCCAAATTGTAATAAGTGTCTTAAGAAAAATGCACCATCACTGTACCAACGGTAAGTAATATTTACAAACTTGTATTTGATTCAGTGTTAAAATAATTGGTTTGTTATTTAAATTTCTTTTTGTTTTCTAAATGATCATTTTTGTAAAGAAAATGTTGGCCCTCCAAAATACCCTGTCGATCGATGAAATATTTGAGCCTCAGCCATCAATATCAAAAATTGATTCAATGCCATTGACATCAAACAAGAGAACACCCTTAAATCTTCAAGGTTCCAAACGTGTGTAAGTTTAATTTATGCTCAAAAGTTAAATTTATTTATCACAGTGCCGACATGATGAATAAAAATTTGATAACTACAAGTGCTGTATAAATGAATCAAGAAAACAATTATCGGATGAAGAAATGCTCCTCAACCTAACTAGTCAACTCAATAACCGTATGGCAAATTTTATCCACACTCAAATTTGCTTCGATAGTAAAAAAGGATGATTGATGCTTCAACCTCAATTTTTTCAAACTTATTTGCCACTCCAAGTCGCAAAACTTTTATAAAGGTCTTGAGCACTTATATATGCTGATTTTGTTACAGAAAACATTTTTGATAGGTTTGTTTTATAAATATTTAATTATTTAAATGGTGTAAATGCATATTTGTTTGAGTATTTCCATGTTTAAATAGACAAATTATATGATGCGGCGTTAATTTACTGTAATAAATAAAATAAAATAAATTGCATTTTATTTCAAGTTTGAAATTAATGCAAAAATATAATGAAGTAAAATCAAATAAAGATAAAAATTGGCAGAATATTTGACTAGTTTCAAATCACAAAACAGTCAATATTGTTGTTTTATGATTTAAAACTAGTCAAATATTTTTCCAATTTTTTTGCTTTATTTGATTTTCTTCATTACATTTTTGCGCTACTACAAAGTTAAATTTCAAAAAGCCCGCTCGTGGCGGCCATATTGAATTTTAGTACCACTCCAATTTGATAGATGGCAGCACATCGACTCAGAATTTTACCATTGAGTTTCCCATCTATTCAAGTAATCTATGGGTATAACTGAAGCCACCAAGTAATATGGGAAGCGAATAGAAGAGCGGAACTCAGTTCGTTACGGTTTTTGAATCGTTACCAAATGTAGAAGCTCGTAAAATTATACATTTACGCAGAAGGAAGCAACTTTAATGGATTCAAAAAGAAATAATAGTTATTTATGCAACCAGTTGCGAAATATCTTAGTTTATGTAACGAGTGAATATTTTCGGGAAGAGCAGAGCGAGATCTCGCAACATAAACGAGTTACATACAATATTTTTTCTAATTTTGACCAGATTATTTATAAAATTGTGTTTTGGTAAAACATTACTGACTTCTAGGCAACCAATATTACTTTCTTGTATTGTTAGTAGCATATATATCATTTTATTGACAACTAGAAAACAATATTAATTATTTCTTCTTTATATTGCTCGTTAAAGTTATTTAGTTTTCAAAAAAGTGGATTAGTTTGTCCTGTACTGTGTTTTAATTATATTGTGTTAATTTAGAATGGAAAATAAGGACCAAAACAACATTATTACGTTGAAAGTTTATTAAAATTCTATTTTTATAAGTCAACCTGCTCTTCTTTGATATAAACTTTCAAAAAGAATGTATATATTGATTTAAAAACCAACAAAAGTTTATTAAGCTATTGCATAGCTTTCATCGCGGGCTTTGAGCGCGGCGACCGAACCAAGAAAAAAAAAAAAAACGAAACCGTAACGAAAATAAACACCTCCCACTCCGACCGGCACAGCGGTGCGGCGTTGAAAGCCGTGCATCGTCTAAAGTCGTTTCAGTTCGGCAGACTTCGGCACAATGTATGTGTGCGTGCGACTAGACGCATGGTGTAGACTAGCTGCTAATTGCTCATAACTGATTCTATCTCTTTTAGACAACACAATTTCGGAAAAATTGAATTTGAAAATGAATAATGATCCTCAAGAATCCACAACAAAATATGGGACCACCACTGACGCGGTATTTTCCAGATATTTAGAGGATATCAAGTCTCAAACTTATGTTTCGTATTTCAGTTACCATAAACCTATAGTTTAAATGATAAAAATTCCTGAATAACCTACATGTATTGAAAGATAATAAAAATATTTTAAACAATATTAACTTCTCATTTATTCAATAAAAGAAAAAAAAATTGTTCTCTTATCGGTCACCACGCTCAAAAAGTGTAACTTGAATTAATATCAAAGAAAAAACTTGAATGAATATCAAAGAAAAAACTTGAATGAATATCAAAGAAAAAACTTGAATTAATATCAAAGAAAAAAAAAAATACTGCATAAATAAAATAAATAATTATAATTGCATAAGTTGATAAAAAATGCTATGCACTAGCTTTACCGCGGCAGTCCCCGAGTGCCACACGTATTTTTTAAATTTGTTTTCTTTTTGCAACTGGTGACATAATGAATTTTTCGTAACCAGTTTCATAATAGATCATTTTGGCACTTGCTGCGATTTCATAAAATAACGTGTCAAAATTAGAAAAATAATAGTCAACAATTTTCGACTTACCTGTGGATATGTGATAGGTGAGAGTTTTTTGTCCTTTAATTTTTCAATAGTTACACGGTCATCTCGAAGATCCAGCTTCGTACCGACTAAAATAATGGGCGTATTGGGACAGTGGTGCCTCACTTCCGGATACCACTAAAATAACAACATAATTTATACCTGTACTTTTTTATAATTAATTTTTCTTTAAATACTTTTTTCTACGTTCATGCAAAAAACAAAACTTTATTTAACTATATTTACTGAAAAAACTGGTGCTTTATTGCACTAGTGCAATAAAAAATTTATTGCACTCATCTGTCATTTTACTACAGCGTTTTATGATCATGACAAACATAAATATTCAAATCGACGCCAAATATTTAGTCCATTTTCATTTTCTGTACGATTGTATTACGTTTTAAAAAATATTAATTGTACATTTACTTTTAATATTAGTGGCAAAAACAACGTTTAAGCTTAATATTGTTCATAACACAGTTGTTTCTGAAGTTTTGGTTAAATTGTTTTTCTTAACATAGTACTTTTTCAATATTAATCGATGCTAATTATTAGTTATTAAATATTTTGCTATTAAATTACGCTTTTTATTCTTCTGCACTTAGTGTCGCCTAAATAAAACATTTTTTTGGCTTTTGCATGAACGTAGAAAAAATATTGTATGCAACTCGTGCAAAAAGTGTTTATTGCACTCGAAGTGTTGTCCAACTTGGCCTGACGGCCTCGTTGGACAATTTCACATCGCGTGCAATAAACACTTTTTTTGCACTTGTTGCATAAATAACTATTAAATAAAAAAAAAATACTGCTTGCATTAATAATAGAAATACCCTTATATACCTTTGCTCTGACGTTCTCGAAGGACGCCGGGTTGACAAGAGAGAAGCATATTAAAAATACGTCCGTTTGTGGATAGGATAAAGGTCGTAATCTGTCGTAATCTTCTTGACCCGCCGTATCCCACAAGCCCAAATTGATGGGCTTGCCGTCGACCATGACATTTGCGGAATAGTTATCGAAAACTGTGGGGATGTATTCGCCTGGAAAGGCGTTTGTTGTGTAACTGATCAGGAGACATGTTTTACCGACGGCACTGTAAGAAAATTAAAACTCTTAAAATAATTATAGTTTATTTACAATCAATGCGGAAATTTCATATGAAAAAGAAATACAAAAAAAATTTTGTTTAAGTTTAACATCATTTTTCTCTCAAAGTTTTTTTAATTGTTGCTTGATTCTTTAGGGATAATGTTTTGTTATTCTTTTTGAAAGATATGTCAGTATAGTAGACGGCACAGATACATTTTACTATTCCACAATTAAATATCAGTATTATTAATATATCTATATATATATAATTCACAAAGACACCGCCGACGTTCAGCTTAAAAAACACAGTTGTCAAACTGCAAAAATAAAGTGGTGCCATCAATTCTATTACAACTAAATGACTGTGTACGTTAAACGCATAGTACCCTTCGAGCAAATATGCTGGAATCGAGTATCAAATAAATATTTTATGCCTGGCATCGCTGTACGATGATAATCTGTCGGCTCGATTAATTATAACATCTTAATTTTAGCGTCTTCTATTGGTCGAATCGAGCCTTTCTCAAATTTCTATTTGTTGTAGCCCAAGATAGCCTGTAAAAATAGCCGGTCAACATGGACTGGGATATCCAATAGTAATTCTGTGATTTTTTTCAACTCATGTTCTAATTGGTTATTTGGCACGCTTCCATGCGTTATCGTCATTTTGACTGAGTAAAGATGGACAATATTTGTTTATTCAGTGTTGTATTCACATTACTGTTTGGATTTTTGGTTTATAAAAAAATGGCTTTTTGGAGGCCCTTTGAAAGTGATGAAAATAATGTAATCCCTGAAGGCATGTAAATAATTATAATTTTGATTGAGTATTTTTTAAATAAATAGGATCAGTTACACCTCAAAAAAACCAAATTGATATTTAAATACATAAATTGTAAAATTTAAACAGTTCAAAGTGGGCTTTGGCAGTTTAAATTGTTTCCTATACAAGGTGATTCACAAAGAAAGGATTATATTTTACCTGCAAATTCTATAGTGGAAAATGTTAAGATTTCGCTTAAAACTGGGGGTCAAATATTAATATGTACTAAGAAAATGTAAAAAATATAAAATCTCTACGAGAATACAGGTCGCATTCAAAGTCACTATCACTACTGTCGTTTTTCGTCTCAAAATCTTCTGGCTCTTCCTGTAAAGTACCAGATTGAGGTTCAGGTGTAGGCTTAGGAAACAGGACACGTCTATGTGCCGATTGTATGGCTCGATTTTTTCGGTTAATACCCGTTATGTTCACGGAACAAAAATAACAATCGTCATGGTGGTTCATGGGTTCATTCCAAATCATAGCGGTTTTGTACCTGAAGCTATGTTTTTTCTTATTTGTCCATAAACGTAGGAACTCAACGCATGTTTTGCATACCTTTTGCGGAATCCAAGGCTTATTCTTCATTTCCAGCAGGTGTCCAAAGTAATTTTTGTAAGCTTCATTTACGAAAGTTGTCACATTTAAACGGTATTCTTTAAATACATACTCTCCGCAAATGAAACAAAAATTGTTTGAATCATTCACACATACTCTTCTTGACGATGCCATATCAAATTACAAAATAAAACAATAATTCAAACAAGAAAGATAATTTATTTCACTATCGTCTTACTAAACCTTCCCCTAAAATAACAAAAGATTATTTCTTAAAAATTCTGAAATTGGGGTTTACCAGTCATTAAAGAGAGGTACTTTTACCTTTATAAGAATGTTCTAAGAAACTACAACAACAGAGGGATCGTTAAAGAGGATTATAAATTAATGGTATTTCCAAATAAAATTAAATATGTATAATAATTCAATAATTATTATTAAATAAACTACAAATAAATACTATAATACAGCGAATTTTTAGTAAAAACTATAACTCGTAAACAAGAGCTGTCAGAAAAAAAGTGGGGGTATATTTAGAATCAGCGACTTAAAATTAGTAAACACCATGTGACATTAAGTCATTCATCAGTCAAAAAGTGTAATTTTGTTGGCCAGTGAATAGTAGTTGGGTGATTAAAACATGAACTGTGATTGGTGGATTTCATTTTTTTCAATCTTCTCACTTCCTAGAATGGATATGAAATATATTCGTTCAGTTGAACGTAATAGCATACTTTTTCGTTATGTAGTCTGTGCGTACACCTCTGTACATCATTTATCGAGCAGCTTTCAGCCTCGTCGTACAGCGATGCCAGGCATAAAATATTTATGCGATACTATCTTTGAGCATATTTGCTCGAAAGGTACTATGCGCTAAACGTATACAGTCGTTTAGCTGTAATGGAATTGAAGGCAACACATTTTTTTTGCAATTTGACAACTGTATTTTCTAAGTCTGAACCTCAGCGGTGTGAATTATATTAATATTTCTGACATTTAATTGTGGAATAGTAAAATTTATCTGTGCCGCCGACTATACATATAATATATAAAAAAAAATGTACTAATTTAGCTAAATTCGCTGTGATCACATTTGCATGACGGCGCTCAAGCAAACAAACTGTATAGTGAACAACAAATAACTTTTCAGATAGCAAATAGCAGATCTTTTTTGTATTTTTTCTTTCTTATATCTACTTTGATATCTCAATTATTAAGAAAAATACAAGGTTTCCAAAAAATGAATGCAGGAAAATTTAATCAAATTTGAACAGGGTCAAGCTTATTTGTACATCCAACAATATATCAGCCCAATTACAGGAGTTGGTAATATGTTTAAATATACAAGGACACTTAGTTAACTAAATAACACCCTAATTACCTACGTACCTAATTGGATACCAAACTGTAACATTGCTTTTTAAATCGGTAAAATTACGTGGCTCGTTGTGTTTCCAACTCTTTGAATATCGTCGGAATAACAACAATGAATGAACATGCATGTTCCCTAGAGCTCAATCCGATCGAACGTGTCTGGGACATGCTATACGATCCAAAATTTCTGCTGTGCAAAATATTAAGCAAGTGAGAGCTGCTCTGGTTGATATTTGGGATAACCTGCCTCGAAAAATGATTGATAACGTCATCAGAAGTATGGGGAGATGGATGGATTCCGTGATAAGAGCACGTGGAGGCACACGCGTTACTGATAAAATAAATTGTAATTTTCATTGTTCAAATAAAATTATATTCCTGCATACATTTTTGAAAACCTTGTATTTTTTAATAATTGAAACATCAAAGTTGATGAAAAACGAAAATGTTCAGAAAAAATCAAGCTACCATTTGGTGTCTGAAAATCTTTTAAGTTCTTTGTTGTTCACACTACAGGGTGTTTTAAAAATTACAAAAAAAATGGATAATTTATGAAATGTTCCTAAAGTATTATACATTATATAAAATTAGTAGTGCCGAAAATAAATTAAAGGTTGTAATCTAAAACTTTTATTGTGTACAAATCAAATAGATTGTAAAACAGCGAATCATATGCTGTAGCAATGTAATCTATTTATAGAAAGGTAGAATAATAGGCTTTTTTAAACACCTGTACCAGGAATATACAATCATGTTTATTTTCTATGTAAAATTATAATCCAGTTGAATTCTTGCATATTTTCTGTTCTCTTGTAGTCATTTATGTTTCTTCAATCCTACATGTAGATAATTAAGATTTTTATAAATTTAACTTATGATCTTAGGTCTAATAAAAGTACAAAACTTAATTTAACATTATTATTTAATATATTATTTGTGTTTATCATTTATTTTATACACAGGGTGATCATTTGAAAAATTCCCACCCAGTAAATATAAAAAATCGGAAATACAAGTCAATTTTATTTGCAAGGGGGACATTATAATGAATATTTTTAGACCTAGGAGAGGTAGAATTCTAAATGGGAAAGGGGTCAAGTGGCACATCATTTTATAGAAAATTCTGCAATACGGATATTAATTGCATTACTTTTGACACTTCATTTGAAAGCTAATTTTATTTGTAATTTAATTCACAATATAACAGAACAATTCAGTGCAACATGAAATTATTAAAAAACAAATTTTAAACGCAATCAACTAAAATAATAAATTTATGTTATGCATAATATTTGGCAATGTTATCTTCTTTGGGATTTGTATCATATATTAATTCATACACCAGGGTTACTGTAGAAACGAAATCATATATTGATGATATTTTTATAAAAAATAATATGCAAACAAAAATTTTTCATTTAAATCGTTGGCAATTGACACTGATCTAACTCATCATTTTCCAATTTTTTTTTTAAATATTACAACAAACGAAAGAAACCTTAACATTAAACCAACATACAAAACAATACACCGATATAGATTTACAAAAATTATTAGAAAATGTAAACTGGGACAACGTCATTTCTCTTAGCAATCCAATTTTGGCCTACCAGAAATTTATTGAAATAATATATTCCCTAAAAGAACAATGTAATATAAATAATAGGCATAATATTTATAAAAAAATAAAATCATGGATAAGTCAAGGCATCATGTCTATTAAACATAGGGATAAAATGAAAAAGGAAATATTAAAAACCAAAAACAACAATCTTCTAAGAGATATATTGTAACCAACTAAATAAAATAATAAAGCTAAAAATGATTATTATATAATTCAAATTCAAAATAGTAACAATGATATTAAAAAAAATATTCAAAATAGTTAAAGAAGCTTTAAATGAACACTGAAACAATAAACCAATGATTTTAAAATTCTAAACAACAATAAACAATTTACAAATGACAAAGAAATGGCCAACTACTGCAATAACTATTTTTCAAAAATTGGTATAGATATGGCAACTAAAATCAATTCTGTAGATGACTTCATAATAAGATATTCACCTCTAATCAACTCAATGGCATTAAATCCTGTCAATAAAAATGAATTAATAGAACATATAAATTCGTTAAAAAATAACAGTGCTCCTGGGATTGACAGAATTACATCTAGAATGTTGAAAAATGGTCACCGATACATAATAGAGCCTCTAATGCACATTATAAACCTAATCTTTACAACAGGTAAAATACCGGAAGAACTTAAAATATCAATTGTAAATCCAGTTTTTAAAAACGGATCCAAAAAAGATGTGTCAAATTACAGACCAATAAGTCTGATTACAAATTTTGCAAAAAATTTTGAAAAATGTTTAAAAAAAAAAGATACGAATTTCTAATTGATAAAAATATTTTAAATGTTAAACAGTTCAAGTTCCAAAAAGGTGTTAGCACTTGTGATGCCATGTATGAATTGATATCTAATATAAAAAAACAGTCTTGAGAATGAAAATAAAAATGTGTTTTTATCGACCTCGCGAAAGCTTTTGACACTGTTCCTCACAAGCAACTACTTGTTCTTGAACATTATGGCATTCGAGGATTGGTTTTAAAAATGTTTGAAAACTACCTACACAAGAGAACACAGATAGTTAAAATTAGAAATGAATTTAGTAATCCTGTTAAAATTCAAATAGGTGTGCCACAAGGAACTGTCCTTGGTCCAATTCTTTTTATCATCTATATCAACTCTCTTTTAAACTTATATATAAATGGTATAGCAATATCCTATGCAGATGACACCGTATTAATGTTTGAAGGTAAAACCTGGGAGGCTGTAAAATCAAAAGTGGTTAAACAGGTAAGAATTATGAAAGACTGGTTGGATTATAATAAACTATCTTTAAATATATCGAAAACAGTATATATGGCATTCTCACTCACATATGCTAACAGGCCTAACTTTAAACAGATTTGTATTGAAGAATCCAAATTCATCATCAAAGAAGTGGAAAATGCCAAATATTTGAGAATAGTTGACAAAAATCTTAAATGGACTAATCATGTTCAGTACTTAACAAACAAAATAAGAAAACTTATATATAAATTTCATTTAATTCGTAACATTCTAAATAAAAAGTTATTACACTTGATATATACTGCTCTCATTGAATCCTTAATTAGATATGGCATAATTGTATGGGGTGGTTTATATGACAATGCCCTACATCCTTTAAGTATCATTCAAAATTATATATTATCAAGATAATAAATTATAAAAGTCGTTTGTTTTCAACAACCCTCTTATACAACGAATTCACTCCAAACGTAAGATCACTATACTTTCACTCTAACTGTATGTTCTATTTCAAACTGAAAAATAAAAATTTTGTAAACCACTCTTATATGACCCAAAAACAAAAGAGAAGAATGCTAAATGTACCATTCTTTAAATATAATAGAAATAAAAGATTAATATCTTCAATTGGGCCAAAAGTATACAGCTCTTTAAATGAAAATATCAGACAAATAAAAAACATAAAAACCTTTTCTAAAGGGATCAGAAAATTTATATTTGATAAATATTTATATCTCTCAAATTTGTTATAAATACCTAGTTTTATGTCCTTCTAATCATCAAATGTTTCTGCATCTAGGTGCATATTTTAAGAATAATTTCTCATTGTAAATTTATTTGATTTTGTATTATAAAATGTTCATAAATAAATAAATAAATAAATAAAAAAAAAACACCTTTGTCATATATCAAAATAGCAACAAAAGTTCAAATAAATAACTTTCTTTCTTAATTTTAACTAGGCAACTAGTAAAAGACAAAATTTGGGTGTTTCTTTTGTCATATATTTTCGATATGTTATACTTATACTTATAAGTATAAATATTTCCTTTTCATAAAATTTCCCATTATAACAAAAAAATCAAATTTCTGTAAAAAAATATCTGAAAAAATAGAAATCATCAATTTATTTGCTATATTTAAATTAATTCAACTCTATAGATATCTAGGAAAAACAATAAGCAGAATTTTGCTATAATAAGAGTCAAGAAACCAGCAAATTCAAAACATACCACCACCTGTATATTTTACATAAAAACAAAACAAACAAAAATAAATTTATTTGTGTGTACCTACATGATATAATCAAATACTGACCTTCTAGTTATATCAATGTTGTAAACGCAATAATGATTTTGGCAAAGCTATTCTCATAAATTTATGTAGGTGTTACTTTTTATAGATCATTGCAAATTATAAATTTCTATATTAATGTGGCATTAGTTAATTAATTAACAAATCTTTTCAAAATCATGTCATAAGTCATAATTAGAGTTTATCATAAAACTTTACTGCTAATACATAATACCAGTGGATTACAGATTACTCCGAATTCAAAAAGTGATAAGTATAATGATAATAAAATTAACAAACCACTAATATTTACATAAATGGAACGTTTTTATGAGTAATGTACAGAAGCTTAATTTCCTGAAACCAAATTAAATAGGCAAACAATAAAGGAACAATTTCTTATCTTTTTTTACTTTTAGAAATAATTAATGATTCATGTTTTTATCTTCTACTGTCAAACTTTTAGGTATACCTTTTTGATCTGATTTAGAATCACTCAATACTTTTGGCAATAATTTCTAAATATAAGAATTACTGTAAACATTAAGATTATTTTCAAGTATTCTGAAATTTTCATGGCATAATCTGTGCATTGTTTGAAAATTTATTTATGAAACTTCAAATCTAAATATAGAGGATATTTATTATCTTTCAAGTATTTAATTTTGCAATATTTAGTTTGCTTATTGCCAAAAGATAGAACATTCATTAAATTTTGTATTTCCCACCTAAATCGAATTTATTTTTATAGGTTATGTAAATATAATTAATTATATTAGATTAATAAAGTGAAACACAAACGAATTCTTTAACGCTGAAACAATATAAACAATTTGAACTTTGTTCTTCTCGGAATTAGAGCAAATATAAAGAAAATTAAACCAAACTTAACATTATCCTTCAAAAGCTTTTGAACCCTTTAACTCAAAAGAGCAACTTTCAAATTTAAAAAAATATATTGTACTTACCCATCACCAACTACCACGCATTTGATAGCTTGCATTTCGTTATCTTAGCACCCGATAACGAATAAAATGTATCAATTAAGGAAATACTAATTAAACAACCAATGCTCAATGGTTTGGGTGTGTGATGTGTCAAATGCTGGGACACCTTGCACTTGCTGGCCACTTGGGGTTTGACTTCATCAAAATTTAGCTTGGAGGTTCGATTTGGAAGCTTCACAGTGACATAGTATGATTTATTAGCTGTGAATATTCGAACAATGATTCTTTTTTCTGTGAAATAATCAAACACGACCACACACAAACTTATGACGGATGATGGGTGTTTGACAGAAAAACTGCGCCTTCTGACAAGTGTCAATTGTCAGATGAGCGGAGGTGTCCGTTAAATAGCATATAGACGCGAGCAAACATATTGCCAAATTTCGTTTAAAATCTAGAAACTGACGGAATGGTTAATCCATTGAGGGGATAATGGAGGAAAGTTCAGAAGAGCAGTATGTTTTAAAATATATATGAAACAAAGACGGATCACCAGTATCTCTATTAACCAGGGATGGCTATTATAAAATGTTAAGTAGGATTAGAGTGGTATATTAAGATGTCTTTATATAAATTAATAGTATATTAAATAAAAAGCTTAGTGTACAAATTACGGACGATTAGGGTTTGTAATTTTACGATGTGGAAATTGGCAATATTCGTATTTTTATAAAAATCGTAGAACAAAAAATAGGACTTTTTTGTAATTTGTTCATTCTTTTAAAATGTTTCAAATAGTACTTTATGTCCAAACTAATTTTAACGTAAGGGTTATTAATATCAACTCAGAGATAAGTTAGATTTCAGTACATTCAGTAGGTTGGTTATTCGCGGTTTAGTTAGGAATTTACGCGGGACAGGAGCAGAGTTTTTTAGGGTCGATTTGAGTTAAAACAGTAAATGGAGTGAATGGACTTACTAAACAAAAACAACCGCAGCTAGTGAGAAAGAGAGAATTCGGAAAGCATGTAATTCTTGCATGTCAACAACCCTGTACATGATATTTTTCAGCTCACGGGTGCATAACCGTTAATGTTTTTGAATATTTTGCATGACTGGAGTATAGGCAACCAACAATACTTTTATTTATACTTATGAAGTGTTTGTATAGATGTCGCTAGCATCTTTATTGGGATTGTAATTATTACAGGGCCGTCTCAATTAATACTAAGCCATTTTATAAAAATGTTTAAAAGCTAAAACCTCAGATAAACAAAAGAAATAGGTAAGTAACGGACGCCGTTTAACTTAAGTTAGTCGATAACGCATGTCCCATCAGTGTGTAATTGATCGATAGCTGTTTTATTATTGGAAATACGAAGAAATTTTTAATATACAGGATGGACCATAGACGAGATGCTGACCAAAGCTATACTTTTTTAAAGAAAATCACCCTACAGGTAGTTATACATATTTGATTGTTTCCATATTGTCAAACAATTCTAGTTGACTTAATTCATTTACTATGTTGTATATAGGGTGGGTCAAAACGCGAGGTTAGCATTTTCTCAATTTTTTAAATGGAATACCCTATATACAACCTGCAGGGTGTTCTGCTTTAAAGATTTATAGGTTTGGTCAGCCCCTCGTTTATGGACCACCCTGTATATTTAGGAATAATTAATAAATATGGTCATACAACTTTTAAATTAAAAAAATCTTCGTGTTTCCAATAATAAAACAGCTATCGATTAATTATGCACTGATGGGACACTCTGTATATGTGTTATTGGCTAACATGTTGGTACTATTGGATAGGTTAATTTATAAGGAATTTTATGCTAAAATAATATACAGGATTTTGCAATTGAAAACTGTGGGTAAATTGAAATTAAAATTAGCCATATTTAAGACATGTTTTAAAACACTCTGTATAAAATAAAGCAGATCTATCACCACTATTCGTTAGCTTATTATCTTATAGTGCCTAGAGGTATGTATTTTAAACAATTTTTAAATGTAAACCTACCTAAATTATGATAATTTAATTTGGGGTCTGCATCATTTTCTAATTAAAAAAAAATAATTGCTTGTCAACCCTCTGTAATATTTAAAAAAATTCTAGGGTTGAATACAGTATTACCAAAGCATTCTAAAACGGAAATAAAATACAGGATGTTCAATTTAAAAAAAATACATGTTAATTTGTCAGGTAAAAAAGAAAAATATTTTATATTTTTAAAATACATATTTTTTTAAATCCACATAACATTTATTTTAAACTTGTTTGCGTATTTATAGGACAAATTGAAATATTTAATTCGCAACACTGTAGGCCACAGTCGAAATTATTTTCATGTAGTTCTAGGATTAATCTAATTTTATAAGGATGGAATATATTTTATAAGAATCCATTTTCTTATCAAGGTTTTTAGAATATTTACACGGCAGCTATATAACGTGAAAGGGCCCGGCATAAGCACATTTTAGTTACCTACTTGTGAAAGTATTGTTAAATCTTTATATTAGTTTTATAACACGCTATAAAAAGTGTTTGTTATGGTTTTGTTAGGCGCTTGTAGACATTACTGTCAACGGTTATTAATAACATATTATATACAATATAAATGTTCTTAAAACTAAATAATAAAATACTTTTGTATTTAAGACAATAAAATCTTATCTGTGACCTGTGAGTGCAATAAAATAAAACGTTAATTCACGCGCTGTTATAAGTATCTATATCTATTTGATAAAATATTTTAATCTTATCAATCACTAAATGTGTTAGTTGGGAGGTACACCAATTTAAAAAAAAGTCATACATATATTTTTCGACGACTATGTTTTTATCCGAAGCAAAACATCGATTGATTGTTTTGAGGTTTAAATTAAAATTATCTGTAATTCACCTTACACATGCAGGTATACAATTTTTTATTCGAATATTTGAGGAGGATATAAAAATGCAATAATATACAGGGTGTTTCTTTGAAAAAATAGAGTGACTATGGGTAGGAGAGGGTATACATGAGCAAAAAGAACGTCCCTTTTATGATATATATTTGTATTTTTTTCATAATAGTCGCACTTTTAATAGTAGTTTATTTTATAACGACATAAAGTAGAAGTCCGAAAATACACTTGTCATCCGTGTTTCATATATTATTTTTTATTCGAATGTGCTTATAGATATTAAAGAAAATATAGGAATTTAAATCCAAAATTTGTGAAATTAGAAACAAGTAAGCCAGTACTTTTTTTAATTATTTTTTATATTTTTTAAATATATATTTAAAAGATGTCTTTAAGATGTCTATTTATGTGTCCTAGAAGACGTCATTACAAAGATATCTTTAAAACGTCTTTTTTAGGTCTTTACGTTCAGTCATAACTACGACATAAAACAGACGTCTTTATGATGCCGTCTGCTGTCTGGGAATTAATTCACGTTGTTTTATTATATGCTTGTATGAATGATTACTTTTATTTCCTTTTAAAAATGAATTTCGAAGATAAAGCCAAAACGGTGAGTGAGATTAGAATTAAACGAATATAACGATATTTACTGGAGCTTTCATCTACAATCTCCTTTTTCTAGTCTATCTACACCGAGCCAACAAGATTCGTGTTCCCTCCCTCCTTACATTCTCAAGATTTATAGAGAAAACTCAGAGTCCTCTTTTACATATCCGGACCTTCTTTGACGGGGTCTATACCACTATTTTACATAATCAGCCTTGTTTTTTATCCCGAGCAATTTAAATGCATTCGTAATTGCTCATTTTCACCTCTTCTCTTGTAGATTCCGTACCCATTTTTCTGATTTTTAGTTGTTTACACTGCTCTTTTATTTTTCCGTTTCCATAGCTTTAATTCTAGAATACTAGGTGAGTTCGGGCTACGCACTCTTTTCACTCTATTCGCTCCAAAAGTAACTAAGGCGAAAAGTTTCTTTTTGACTGTTTGGAGATCATGGAGTGGAGTGTGGATTAAGCATGCGCAGAAGGTGATTTAAAGGCAGTGCCGCAGATATGTCTCCAGAAGTAAAAAAGCAGTGCGGCTTGCAGAGACGTTTCCAGGAATAATAAAGAATTGAGAATGACAGCTTAGGGAAATGTTGAATATAATTCAACAAGCATATTGTTAAATAAACATATTATTTCATTAAAATATGTAGTTTTATTGTGTGAATAAACTAAATTAATATCCGCATATTTGAGAAACCATAAGTTATGATTTTCAAAATAATATTTTGGACTCTTTAGAAAAAAGTACAAGTTGTTTTTATACTATCAAATAGTAAACCAACTTCGACACAGATTTCAAAAACTGGTGGTCGCAATTTCATAAAAAAACCTCTAAATCAGCTGATGAACAAAAAGGTAATTTTGTCATTCCGCAGTACAGCAAGTTTATATACACTGGTAAAATTCCTGGATATGTTACTACAAGTGCCTTCATAGGTGGTTTTCTCTCGCACACTTTTATGTGTGGGGCGCATTAGACTGATCAAACCTAATGCCAATCTGCAGTTACCCATATGGCGGGCATACACGCTACGGTCTGTCTGTACAGGTACTTATAAAGTTTTTAATTGATTTATAGCGTTTTTAGGGTCAATCGTTACAAGCTTTAGTGAGTTCAGGATGAAAACATAATACTCCAAGTTGTATTTTAGAATTTACCAATTTGAAAATAGCTAATTCTGGGAGTTTAATTTTTTAATAAAAATAAAACAATTCTTTTATTTTTTTCTCGAAAACAGTTCATTTTATCGACAATGAAGAAGAGTACCTTTTCTTTAGCTTAATGTTTAAGGTATCGAAATTTATTCTTTTTAACTCCTTATCATACAGGATGTTAAAAATGTAAGCATTAAAATGTACAACCTAGTCCGCCCCTGGTAAACTAAACAAGCTAATTATGTGTTAAGGGCAGAATTTTAAGAGGTTCTTACTACTTTCTATCATATTAAATTTTAATTAAATTATATTACGTAGTTTGAAAGTTATTCAAGAAAAATTGATTTCAAGTGGCGTCCTTTTGGAGGCCGTATCTCCGTAGGGAGGGCCGCTAGGAAGAAAATGTATGGGAACTTGTCGTCTTATTTTTTAGAGAGACCTCTCACATTTTCCCGGACACCCTGTATACCTATGTAAATATATTTTAAACATTTTAAAATAATTTTAATTTGTTATACCTATGTACATTTTAAACGTCACACACAAACATCCTTGACGTTTCAGTGATTATTCATGTTTATTTCACAATGTAATTTTTGTTGTATACATATTGTTGTTTCTTTTGGAAAAATAAACATTATTATATTATTATATACCTATCTATTTTCCTTGTTTA